GAGTTAATCTTTAATTCGGAACTTTAAAAAGTTTCAAAAAAGAGCTGAGGCGATTTGGGCAAACAGCTCATTTAAAAGGATATTCCACTGTAAAATTAAGTTAGGGTCAAACACACCGCAACACCGAGTTAGACACCCCCCGAAGAAAGCAATGTTTCCGACTGCTCGCTTCTCTAGTTATACCGACTTTAGTAACGACCGCATGATAGCAATACACAGTGGTCTATGGATCCACAGGCAACCCTCAACCAAAAAGCCACTCTATAGCCACAAATAATGCTCAGAACAGCACCTAACTTCATCAACAGTACAAATAGGGTCCCAGCCACAGCACTAGCCACCAAACACCTTATTAGTTTAGCCTAATTTCTTTAGCAAAGAGACTAAACACAACTCATCTACTCTCTTACAGCAGCCGCTTGTTTGTAGGGAGAGCTTGCACAAGTCCATCACAAACTGCAGCGTGTTGACGCAGCTCAAGGAAGAACATTTATGATCATTACTTTATCAATTCCTTGAAGTAATGATCACCATATTAATCATTTTGCACTGCAGATGTAGTAGTTCTTCTGCCTTAGCGTCTCAGTCTGATTGCATTTGAATAAAGAAATGATGGTCAATGAAGGTTAAAGGCCCTGAGCAGTGTCACTGTAGAATTTCTTACCTGAGACACAAATGTGTTTTTTTTTTCCTCTGTTTCACAGCAGCGTTGTACTGGGCATATAGAAGTAGAATGTAGCAACAGCAAACAAGATGAATATTTGTTGTTTATATTGGTAGTGGCAGCACAAAAAAAATAAAAATCTATGATCACATTATGTGGCTAACATGCTTTTATTTGTTGTTGTCAAGCTTTTAACAAGGAATGGATGAATACAGTTTAACTGGGACTCATTCTAAAGACAAGTACACACCGTACCACAGTAAAATGTTATTTTTTAATTTGAGACCTCTCTCATAAGTAACAGAACAAGCCTTTTTACTTTTACTCTGATGTCTTCACCGCAATGTTAACAATGAGAGGGCAACTCACACACAAAAAAAGCAATAAGAATATATTCACTAAACTTAGTTATGAAATAAACTAAATGTAATTAAAGACCTAAACTTTTTCTCTTTTACTTATTGCAAAAATAAAATAAATGTAGCACAGAAAAACAGTCTCTGCCTGTTAGCAGTTTTTTTGTGTCATTAAGAAGAGTTGTTTATTTTCCAGGAATATGGTGCTTTCACATTTGTTTATCCCAAAGCCCAGAACACCAGATTCTTTTACAGTATACTAATGAGCGGCTGAGCCGGCACAGCAAGACCTCCAGAAACCTAAACAGCATAAAAAAAGAAAAATGTTACTCAACAAAACCTCCAGCCCAGCATCTGGCTCCAGTCAAGAATTTCATACTCTTTAGTCTGGTCTCAAATTTGAGCAGAGGAAAGCTCTGAAGCTGCATGCACAGTAACCGGGACATAGTTAAAATTCTCAGTTGCATCTTGTTAAAACGACAAAGATTTCCACCAAACTTCCCTGATTTTGTTATTCTGCTGTTACAGGGAGTATTTTTGTGAGTTTTGAAACACAAAATAAGCTCAAAATTTTCACCACATATTCTTACCTTTCCCTGTTACTCCTACTCTCAAAGAAATCAGACTTTAACTCAAATTCCTTCATTCATGATCACTAATTATTACATTTCATATATTTTCCACCAGAGGTCACTGTCTCTCTGCAATGCATCTGCTGGAGTTTGTTCCTTCATGATTGTAAAGCCAAGTCCTTCATGACCAACACCAATTCCTCATAAGGCAACATAAGATATTCCTTGATTAGTCCCACATGGAGGGAAATTCCAAATTTACAGCAGCACATAAATATAAAAAGAGAAATTTAAGGATGAAGAAACCTAGGAGTTAAAAAAGATGGTAACACTTTACCTGAGGTCTATCTCTGTAAACATGTTATATGTATAATGCGTTGTAATTACATTATAGCACTGCATAACTATAGCTATAAACACTCATATGATCATAATGCTTAATAGCAATAATCATAACACATTATGGAGCATTTTATCATGACTTACAAGGTCAGGTATTGCTTAAAAGCATTATGATCATTTATGAGTTTTTATAACTATAGTTATACAGTGCTATAACGTGATTATACCACATTATATATATATTTATAATGCATTATAGAGCTAGGCGTCAGGTAAAGTGTTAATAAAAAGATATATACATGAGTGTTATTTACAGCCCATCTCGCTGCATTCTCATAATGAAGTCAAGTAACACAAAAAATAACAAAGAAGTGAAATGGAAGTTAAAGTTTTTTAAGCCTGTACAAAAACACTGCATATTACAGTATTGAGCTGCTCTGAATTAGTGCAGAGGAAATCCCCTGACTATGACAGCCCTAATATATACAATGCACCATTTGAGCTCCAGTACATGATAGCAGTCAGTGTGGAGCTGTTAATATACTATAAAAATAAGTCATGGCCATTAGCTTATTCTGTGCCCCCCTACCAGGCAAGCACAGCAGCCTGCCAAACACAAATGGCTCAAAGCAAAACAACAATATCTGTGTCCCTGAAATAGACGTCATGTTCATTTGGAGCCATGAAACTTCGACATCTTCCTCAGCATTAAGCTTTGGAGAAAAACATGAATCATGATTTCTCTGCACAAACAGCCATGAAGACTTGTTCCTCCTCTCTGCTTTTAGGTGAATGTCTTTTTAAGGTTGGAAATCTAAACCATGATTAAACATGATGCATTAATGTATTTTTCTACATCACAACAGTCACATAAGAGATTTTCAACTAACCTTTTTATTACTCCAGCAACAGTTTTCCTCTATAATCCTGAGGATACGACGGCTAAGTTCTCGCATGACACAAACCAGGTCATCAGCTCAGATGGAATTAATTTCTTCTCCCTGAAGGACCTGCTGCTCTTTCAAACTTTCAATAAGGTTCTCTGGTGCTGGATAAATGACTCAACAGCTATAATGTGACCTCTAAATCTAGACTGACTCCTTAGCTGACGGTGAAGGCTCAGCGTTGGATTTTTGACAGCTATGATGCTGATTGTGTCGTTCCTGTGAGATTTCATATAGCACAGTTCAATCTATATAATATTAGGACGATTATGAAAAGCAGACACTTATTTTGTTGCACATTAGAGACAGCATGCATGAGCAGGATTAAGCTGAGATAGATAAGCCATGCCGTATGCTCTGCTCTGAAACTTACCACTTTATCTCACACTGTAGTTGAGGGATAGGTTTATTAAACTGATTGTCTCACTCATCAGCCACTTGACCCCCTACAATGATCAACCATCATGTCAGAGTTCAGCCTCATCCACCTGCTAGATTTCAGTGAAGTAGCAGTTTAATCTGCATATATGTACTGTTGTGGGGTATTTGGAGTATTTAAGACACAGACCAAAAGGGAGAAGCACTTAACTTGTGTTTTAAATGATAGGATGACAACAACTTTACGAAAGATCGCCCTGATATGTCAGGAAAAGTGGGATCACCTCACAGCAGTCAAGCTAACATGGTTTACAAGACCTTCGCACTTGCAGGAAATGTGGAGACTGACAGTCTGGTGGAAAGAATAACTACTGAGGTGCTTCGAGGCGTGGAAGCCTCCGTCAACAACAAAAGCCTGGATCCACAGAGTTAGTCTACTCCCACTGGGCTCTCAGCTGCTGCTGCCCACTGTCCAGCCAGTGACCTTGAGCTGTTATTGTAAGGTGTCACGAGTACACTATAATCCTGCTATTTGGGGATTTCTCAGCAGCTGTGGTAAAGAAGGGTCGAAAATTTAAGTGAAACAGCAGCTCAAAGAGAGAGAGAGAGAGAGAGAGAGAGAGAGAGAGTTTGTTTTTGAGCCCCGCTGTCCTCAGATTCTCTAACCCAAAATTTTGGAGAGGTTCTTCAGACATCCTATAGATGCTGTTGTTATATGTCATACTTTTTTTTTTTCAGCATGAATCACTTTAGACTTCCACTGAAACATCTAATTACCACAAAATCTAAGACATTTAAGCAGTTTGTGTTGACCCTTTCCCCCTGAATTTTATCCAGATAACTTTGCAAAGGAAACTTTCTATTGCATACAAAGACTCGAAAATATTGGCAGACATGTATCCAGGTAAGAAAAAAAAGTAATCACTTTTTCACGTGGCATTTTTGCCACATAAAAAAAAAATAAGACCTTGAGATTAAAGTCATTAACTTACGAGAATAAAGTCATTACCAACGAGAATAAAGGCGTAATAAAATCATTAGTTATGAGAATAAAGTTGTAATTACATCATTACTGACGAGAATAAAGTCGTAATAAAGTAATCACTTACAACAGTAAAGTCAGAATAAAGTCCTTATACCCTAACCATTTGTTTAAGGTGACAGTTGTTAAAATGAGAACCATGGAGCATTTTGTGAAAATGTTCCTCAGTATAGATTTCTCAAACAAGGAGATACTCAATCTTCTGGCACATCAGCACCACATTATCATGAGTATCATAACGATATTTTTTCAACTTTATTCGCTTAAGTAATCACTTTATATTACGACTTTATTTTTGTTGGTAATGATTTTACTACGACTTTATTCTCGCAAGTTATCACTTCATTACAACTTTATTCTCGTAAAAAATGATTTCATTACAACTTTATTCTTGTAAGTAATGATTTTAGTACGACTTTAATCTCATAAATTAATGACTTTAATCTCAAAATCTTACTTTTTTTTTCTTAATGTGGCCTTAATACGCTGTCATAGGTTCTGATGAAAAATGTAAAATAATGTGTTTCCTCTGATGTAAGTGCGTTTCCATAAAGAAAACACTAGATGGCTCTGTAGTCCAACTTTACTACTGCTGCTGCTGTCCAAGGAGAGGAGGATGACTCACTCCACAGATACAGACCTACATGGTGACTTTGGAAAAGAGTGATTACGTAGCAGCATGGACACTGCCACACACATGCACACACACACACGCATGTGTACACTTACAAATGAAAGACACACCAAAACAAATGCATCAGTAACAGTGTCCTTCCCAGGCAGAGGACATCCAGACCCTCATAAACCAACGTGTTGGAGACGGAGCAGACCAGACAATGAGCCTGTGGCCTTTACACGTAAACAGCAATGACAGGAAAAGCTGCCAGCGTGACAATGCCGGGAATCAGTCGCTGTGAACAAAGAGCAGAGGAGGGAAAAGAGCAGAGGAGGAGGACTAGAAAATGTAAGAAAACATTCATATTACACTGGATAGTGGAATTTTTATTCTTATAATTCATACAGTAGAGAGAGGGTGAACTTCAAGAATTTCTTGATGTGTGTAACAAAAATTTAATAATAGATGTTAAATTGCACATGCAGGTATACATATTGATAAAATGGGAAACTGCCTTAAGTAGGTAAATCAAAAGTTGTATGTCTGATTTCCAGCCTGGAGTTCCTGGTTATGTTCAATCTGGCTCACTATCATGGTTCAGTGAAACAGAGTAAATGCTGTTTAGATACCTTCCCTAATGAAACATGTCTGCTGGGGGAAAAAAAGGCTAATAGGATGCAAATCTGAGGACGGATGAATTGAAGCATATCCCACTGGCACATGGCAACATTTTTGCATCAGCATCGAACATTGACATCAAACTTATAATAGGAGATGAGGATGAATCAGGGACTATGATCTTCCCTTGCTGTCCTCTAACACAGATAGACATCCAGGTCTGCTGCTACAGTCTCATCCAGGTCCCCCTCTCTCTAAGACACGCTCACATGCAGAGACGAGCAGCTGACTGGAACACGTGTTTCAGTCTGAGGAGCATCTGTGGGTCCCCGACACTTGCTGCTACCTCCTGTCTGGGCTCATGGCCAAAACTGAAACTGAATACCTGAAGAGATTTAACAGTTCTTACACTTATTTTAATGCTTTCTCGAGGCTGGTGATAAAAAGTTTCCCAATTAAATGTTAACCATTTTCTCAAGTCACAAGCTAGCACCCACAAAATGACTGAGAGCATGACCCCTGAGGTTATGAGTCATTTTAAGACTTCTGTTTACTTGCAATAAGAGACAGATGTGGATTCAATTCAGTCCAGGTCATGCATTTTGAATCAGAGGATCTATTGTGGCCGTACCTTTTACCACATGAACGAATGACAATGTAGATTTGGGGAGAGAAGAAAAAAAGTATTTTTTATTCTCGGCACACAGTCTCTTCAATTCCATCCAGATGATGTTTTGGTATAAACTTCATGCTGGGGATGTACTTTGTTTCTCTATTCAGGCCAAATGTGGCTGACTAAATGATGATGGAATACTGTAGCTGATTCTTCCATTCCCCAAGCCAAGAAACCATCACACAACAGATTTATTTCTATCTCCAACTCATTACATGAGAAAATCACCAAACCAGATTACTCTGGTTCTCAGTCCAAGCATGTGTCTGTCTGTGACTCTCTGTCCTCTGTTGGTTTTATTTCACTGCAGGTGAGGTAAGAAGAAAATCCATCTTTGATAGTTACATTTTCTGAAAAATTGTCAATCTGTGTTTTAATTTTCTTGTTCGTATGCTCTTTTTTGTCAAATCTGCTCCCAACACATCGTCTAGCTAAATGACTTTTTCATTCACTGAGCCCATTTACTCCTTTTGCGCTTGAGAAAATTGAACTCCCCGACTAAACATCCAACCAAACAGCTGGTGAAGCTGATTTTTTGGCCATAGGATGGAGCAGGATTGCCATGCAGCAGTGTTCCTCAATCTTTATCCTCTTCACGTTCCTCCTCTCAACTTCCCTGCCTCCTCCCTCCCCCCTTTTCCTCTTTGCTCACGTGGATGCGGCGGGAGCTGCATGAGCGGGAGCAAAAAAAAAGAGGCTCATCTGTTTCTTACTGGGGCAGCTGTGCCCTCCTTTTTCCTTCCTTCTTTACTCACCTACTCTACACACCTCTGCTTTCGTTCATTTCGCCTCAATGTTCATACCATTTCTGTCTTTGTCTCATCATCTTTTCATCTGTACCCTGATCTGCTCTCAAGGTCAGGCTAGAAAACTTGTACTCGTCAGTATTTTGCATGTGAAATCTCCGGCAGAGCTTCTTTTTGATTATCTCTCTGTGTAACTGCTTTACTGTGTCAAAACTAAAAGAGAGGGGTTTTTTTTCCTCTCTCTTTTTTTTGTGCTAATCCTCAATATAACTGTAATCTGTGTTTTCCTGTCCTATCAAACACATTGATACTTCATCTGTGGTGCTAGTGTGCACTGAACTTAATGGTAAAAACTGTTGAAATTGGATGAGGACGTTAAACTCTGACCCCCTCCTACCCCGACCTGGGAGGTACACCATGAAGAGAGGTTAGAGGGTAATCTGGGTCTGTTCAGCGTCAACCCAGAATTCTCAGTGGCACGAATCTGTCTCTCCTTTAACATCACCATGGTAACTTGCTTTAATCTCATAGCCAGGACCAGAGTATCGGCTGTTAAGTATCATAATTCAATTACTCAATATCTGATGATACTCTCTAAAGATCATCATCTGATGTAGTTTGGGAATTTCTGGAACCATCACGTCACACATTTAATAACACAGACAGGAAATTCTCTCACACGCAGAATGCATCACTGCACAAGAGCCTTTAACTCAATTTAATCGATTTCCCTGAGTCATGAATACAATCAGCCTCCCCCTCCCCTCTTTTTGAGTCAGATAAAATTAACACTTAAAACTCAAAATATCAGTTAGATCACCATCTTTATCCTTGATCCACATGATTTATATGTTTCACTGATTAAATCATCTTATCTAACTAATCAGGATCTTATTTGACAAGGTGCTTCACTTATTTCCATGTTTTGTTTGTTTTTATTAATCTGTTAAAATTGCAATCTCTGCCTGCACTGCACAAACCACCTGTATCGTACTGATGTTCAGAGTGTATCTTTTGGGGAAATGAATATATGACCATAATATCTCTCATCTATTAATTTCTCATGAGGGAAGAAACATCAAATAGCACGCTGAACATTTACAGAGCCTGAAGCAGAGAGCTGGAGTTAACAGATACGTTTCATAACAAGATTTTTGATAGCAGGCATCTCTATCTGGAGCCACCTTTTCTATAAAAGCCAGAGTATGTTGAGCCCACCCCCTGCTGGGACTGGTAGTGTTTGGAGGTGTTTGCTTGTGGTAGTGTAAGTGTCTGTGGGTGTGTTGGTGTGTGATTTGTGTCATGCACCTGTCTGCTCCCACCCTCCTGCATGCACGCTTTACCATCAAGTCTAGCATGAACTACGGCTGAAACGCTCCCTTTGGTTAAGATGTTGAGATAAGACTTAACTGATCCCCAAAGGAGAAATACCACAGACACAGTCAGCAAGTAAGAATACAATAGCAGAGAAAACATTTAAAACCAAAAGGTAATAAATGAATGAAAACAGAATATAGGGGAAAAAGTGATATATACAGCTGTTATAGTTATTATACAACTGTTACCAATATAGAGGTGAAGCTGTGGGTTAAAGTGACATGGCATGATATTATGAAGTGACACAAAAGACAACTATGATATTATTAATAAGGTTAATAAACTATTCAAATGGATTTTACTCAATCATATGATTTTACAGACAGAGTCAGAACCATCGTCAAGGCTTTGGTCTCTCCTACGACAGTGATGGAGACTCCAGCTCTTTTAAGTGTTCCAGATCAGCTCAATAAATCCGTCTCTGTCGCCCCCAAACAGCTCTCTAAAATACCGACTCATTTTGTTACTATGCAAGTCTCACTCAGCAGTGAGGCCTGTTGCTTTGCCTCTAATTGACACCATGTCAAAAAAGTCTGCTGTGGGTAAATAAGTAAAGTGTTAAGTTTTCTTATAGCAGTTTGCTTTTTGCAGCTCAACAACAAACATGGCTGAGTTTCCTTGTCGTTATTATTATTTTTTTTTACAGGTTGTCTGCGATCAAACGATTCATCCAATCAACCTTTGAGTATGAATCAGACTTGTGCACTTTCTGACTATGTTCTGTTTCAAATGAAATATAGTGTGAGCTTTATTCAAAGAGTTTTTAGTGCTGCCATTTGATTTTTCTTAATTGTGCCCTGACATTTTTGACTCAGCTTGGACCAGTTTTGGATTATGAGTGTAAGAATAAAAAGTCAAAATAGTCCAGTTTCTGTCATGAGATTTATTTAACCTAACCTGCAATGGTCTCCTGAAGATAGTTTGGGTAATAATGTTAATCATAGAAACGCATCATTTCTTAAATCTTGTGTCAAATGTGCCTTAAAACTCACAACTGCTGTAAATACGGGGACACCAGAAAGAGGACACACTGAGAGCTAAAGAATAAGAGTCATGATACAGAGAGTGGACCGGACGCAACATCATGTGGTTTTTTTTTTTTACACCTCACAAGCTGGGAAACTGATATGATCATGGGTTTTGGGGTAGAAACCATGAACACGTTGATGACTGGCCGCAGAGGCAAAAGAAGAAACATACACTGGCCAGTCGTGATATTTTTCACTTTTGGACATCTAGGCATCTGTTTCTTTTGTCATCTGGATGGTGTTAAAACCAAATTAAAAAAAAGAGAAACAAACAAAATGGGTCTTGAGAAGCTTGGCATGGCATTGGGGAAATCTCAAATCTAGATTGAAAAACCTGATAATGCAGTGGACCCGTCACACCCACGAATCTTGGCTGAGTTACCAAACATGAACACCACAATTTCACGAGAGGTGTGAAGTACATGCTGCAAGTGGGAGCTCTTCTGAGAACGGAGCTTCTTTATTGTTTTGCACCTTTTACACATTCTTCTGTGAAAAGACACTTAATTGGTCTAAAAATATTACCATTTAAATGAACTTGGAGCTCGAGACTTTTGGCTACAGCTTTATCTTCCAAGTAAAGCAAATCTTTTTGAGCTGAGCACTGGCATGTCTATTATATCATCATCATCTCTGAAGGGAAAGTGCTGCAATTTGTGAGATATACTGGGATATCAAGAGTACATAAAGCAGATGTACACCACTCCGATGTCTCTGTATCTTGTTAAATTGCAGAGAACTTGTTTTTAGTGTACTTTATTTAGTGAGCATTGTTGTTTAACCCTGAAACAGAGCAGGGCTGGCTGTTTCTTGCACATATCGTCATTAAGCTCGTCATTTTCTAACTGTAAACAAACATGAGGTGTTACATTCCTATTTACGTGCGCAAACATGATAACAAGCATATTTTAAAAAGATGTCAGACAAATTGAATCACACGCACAGTAATCCTCTCTGCTCTCATGCAGTCTAGAGAGGATCCTCGGTTATTCAATCGTTTTCCTATGAACTCTCTCTCACTCAGTATTAAGTCCCCCTCATGGACCAAAATAGACATGGATTCTCCTTTGGGAACCACAGCAGAGAGATTTGCAGGAATAATCCGTGTGCTTTTATGAGTACGTGCATGTGTGTGTGTGTGTGTGTGTGTGTGTGTGTATAGACTCACACTCATTAATCCACGCCTTTGTTCATTTCAAACAGTTTCACAATTTATGTGCACACTTTTCCCTGCATTAATTTATAGTAAAGCCAGATCCTCTACCTACCCACCTTAGCTGTTGAAGCCTGACGCTTTAATTCTAACATCTGAAGACTTTTTTAAACATTTGGAATTAAAAGTGAGGGGATGAAAAATTGTCTAAAAAAAAAAAAAAAGATTCAACAAAACAGGGGAGGAATCTGAAAATAAAACTTTGGGACGGACTGATTTTATCATGTTTTAGATGGTTAAACTAAGAAGTCATTTAACGCTGTTTGTGTGTGTGTGTGTGTGTGTGTGTGTGTGTGTGTGTGTGTGTGTGTGTGTGTGTGTGTGTGTGTGTGTGTGTGTGCATGAATAAAAATGTCACTGCTTAATCAGCAGAGTCAAGGGGCCCTAACAGGTTCAAAAACAACCACGACAGCAGAATGAGAGAAAGAAAAATATGGGACAACTTTTCAAATAGGGTGAGAGAGGCAGAACGCCTGCAGGGACACACACACACACACACACACACACACAATAATGGTTATACAATGAAATATTGTTAATGTGTGTTATTTTCTAGGCAGTAGCAATAATGATAGGACTGTCATGGCAATAAAGGTCAAGTGAATTCAAATTGAATGGGAGAATAATTGAAAGGGAGAGAGAGAGGAAGGGAAGGAGAGAAGGAGGGGGGCGCTAAATAAGACAAAAACAACACAAACCAAACATTCCGAGAACAGCCTGAGCGTAAAGAGGGGAGAAGATTAACTAGGGCAAAGTTGGACAGGAGAAGGAAAGACACAAACACAGTTGAACAGACAGTTACTGGAGATAAAGAGAAAAACCCAGACAGAAAGATCACACCATCAACTTTCACAGGTTATTCATTTTATATTTGAAATACTCAATGAGGAAAAACTCCTGTGTACTGTCCTGCTTCAAACACACAACATTTCAGTCTGGAATGATGGTAGCATTGACACAACTCCATGGGCGCATAAACATCCAAAAAGACTGAGCCAATTTTCACCCGCCCAACAGAGAGCCAATGAGATGAATGATCACCTATAGGCTGCTTTCAAACAATCCTAAAACCTTGAAGAAATGGTTACCTCCTGAATGCATTAATAAAGGATAATCAATAAATGCATCAAGATTTAACTGGCTATTATTAGACAAAATATACAAAAGTAGTAGTTGATAACTGTTTATTGCTCAGCAATCTTACATGGATGGATCAGTTTTCAGCAACTGGTTAAAAATTAAAAATAAAATAGAATAAAATAAACTTTTTTCTAACACAATTACATAAGTGATCTGATGCAAAGTTTTGGTAACATCCCCTGAACTCACCTTTTTTAGACCCTGTTCAAAGATCCCCTCTCTATACAGTATCTGCCTCATTTGGTAAAGCAGCTTATCTTATCTTTTAGCTGTGTGCACAAGCTGTGATTGTGAAATTTCATATTACACAAAAGAAGAACCTCTGAGAGAGACTATTTTTATCCCCAGATCAACAACTGGTCGCAATAAAAGGGTTACTGTTCTCTGAACTCTGGTAAACATTTTGATATTACTGAGATTCCAGCAGCAGTGGGAGATCTGAATGCTTAGACTCAAACAAGATCAGCAGACAGAGAGAGAGAGAGAGAGAGAGAGAGGCAGAGAGACAGAGAGGCAGACAGGGGGGAAAACAGACCGAGGGAGGGACTGAGGTCAGTGCGGCCGCCAGCTGTTTGAGATGAATAGAGATGAATGTAGAGCAGAGGACAGCAGATGGCGAGTCAGCAATCTGACAGACACACACACGCACACACACACACACACACACACACAACATAAGTTAGAAAGGCTCAAGAGGGCACTCACGAGACCTGAAAGAAGTCTGATGGTTGCCACATTATCAATTCTACACACTGGGGATTTTTTACACATGCAGAGGGGAGTGGGATGTTAAAAATATAAATAACCAGTGCAAAGATATTTCAAAATGTTTTTTTTTTTCATTTTCTGCAAGTATTTGGGTTTAAAAAGAGAAAAAGAGCTGAGAAGTTAACATTACAGCATATTTCACAAACAAACAGAATGCATAAAGTTCTCAGCGATGGCAGATGAGGTAAGTTATACAAATAGAGAGCAGGTTTCATATGTGCCTGAGGAATGTCGTAAGATTTTATCAGATTTTACGAAAGCATCCTTTAAAACAGAGGGTTAAAAAATCATGTTTAAACAGACCTGAGTAGATGTAAACACACTGAGCCTCAGCTGCACCCAACCTAACTGCACGACCATTTGCTCTATATACAAAAATACCCACACTGTGGTCAGGGGAAGTTCAGAGTGGTCGCCCACTGACAGCACGGTGGACTTATGCAATTCTCTGTAGCTACAGAGCAAACAGCCTCCACCCTCAGTTAACTGCACTGTCTGGTGCACTTACCTCCAGTCTTTAGTGGAGACTGCACACAAAAACAGAGCTGGTGCCATCAAATTAACATTACAAGGGAAAAACTCATATTTAAAAACAAGCTTAGGTCTCACGCTGAGTGTTATGATGGTCATGGACATGCAGACAGCAGCTGTAGAAAACTGGTGACATAAATACACTTGTTTTAAACAAGATTTAGATTGAGGTTTAGATTTAGATTAGTGAAAAAGAGCAAGGGCAAAAGCTGCAGGGGATTACAGATATACTGCTGATCTAAAAATAGTACATACAAATGCACAGAAACTAATGTTTTCATTGTTATTCCACAGTTAATTAGCGCTGAATTTCTGAATGTAAATTAACTCTGTTCTGGCACTCAGTGACATGACAGGTGATTGGCACACAGGAACAATGCACAGTGAGAGACTGTGTCATTAGGTCCCCCCTAAGGAAACAATGTAGTGAAAGCTAAAACTAAAGACATAAGACAGGATTAAAAAAAAAACCCTGAGAAAAATAAGTAAATTGAGTGAACGGCTTAAAAGGATAAAAATACATAAGATAATAAATAAATTACTACCAATGATAATAAAACAAATGTGATTATTTAAGATTAATATCATCTTACAAGATAGAACCAACAACATAAAATAAGACACAACCACATGAGAACGTAAGATGAATTTAAAATACGAGTTATACGCCTGATTAAAAGGTCTTTAGCGTTCCTACTTAAACAGTCTTGGGACAAATGAATATTTATTGAGCTACCTATTTTAATTTCTATTTCTATGTTATTACTTTCAGGTGAGTATTTATTCATTGATTGATTTTATTGCTAATTAAATTCATACATTTTATCATCTTAAGTATGTGCTCAGTGTCATCATGTTAATGCTCTGTCCCACGATAGACACGCCCATTAATGCTCTGATAACTGACCCTCAAATAGCGAAAGTGTATGCTGGCTAGGCTTTGATTTAGTGTACATTTAAAACTTTAGTTCACTTCACTAAGGGGATCATCCTCCTCCTTGGAGAATGTACTAAGACAACTTACCCTTTAAGAAAACCTTCCTCTCTGAATGATTACTATGAAAACTCAAGTCTGCAATTTAGCACTAACCCACACCATGTGACTCTGCTCTTTGACCCATATCTATTGAGAAAAGAGGATGTGTGCTTAGAGCGCACTCAACACCTCAGAGACAGTCTGAATTGCGCACACGCAAATGCAAATACTTGTGCACACACTCTCATGAGTCATACCTGCTGCCGAGATACAGGGTGAGATTGTGTCAAAGGGCAAAGAGAGTCAATATTGTGCGCTGTGTCCACAGAAATCTGAGGCTAATCGGTGCCACCGACACGTCAGTTTGTCTTTGAAGTGTGATAACAGGACACTCTGAGCTGCTGCATAAATCTGACATTCGTGGATCTGGTGCATTAAAGGGAACAGCACAACAAAGTTGAATGTTAACATAGCTACAGGCTTTTGTACCGATTAAGATTGTGATTATGGTGATGAATGAGAGTAAGGTGAATATTTTGTCCTGTCAAAACAGCGTTTGGGATAATACTGGTGCATTTATTCCATTTCATCAACTGTAAAATGTAGCATGTCCAGAGAAAATACGGAGTGTACTCCCTGTAGACTTGCTGAACAAGACTTTTATAGAAACAGTGGCCTGGGTAACATGATCTGCTGTAGATATTAACAACAAACTGACTCATGAGTGAATGAATGAGTGCTTCAGGGATGTGGAAAAGAATGTCCTTAAGATCATAGAAATACAGGTCAGGATAAAGTCCATGCCAGAGGGAGTATTTGATTCACGGTTGATGGGAGGGTAACACAGGTGGAGGGCTGAAAGGTGTCTCTAAATATTCAACCTTTGTCAGTTTGAGTATTGTTTTTAAAATTCCACAGTAGACGCATGGGTTTGTGTTTGATCATACTTGGCTAGTGTGTATTTTAAGCTTGTTTTAAAATATACAATTGTTCCTGATTGTTTTGTTTAAATGTCACTTCCTAAAAATTGTTGTTTTACGCAGCTGGCTGTAATTTTGTATTCATACATAGTTTTTCATTCAATCTGATCAACTAGGGTGCCTGCTTGAGTTCATGCCACCTACAATGAATGCTAATTTGAGTTTGACAATGTAGAATCTGATCTTGAATTGTGGAAATGGTGCATTAGGGTAAAGAGGATGTAGGCCTGTTGAGAACTAAAGCACTACCCTATTCTGCATGTTTAAAGGTCAGATGGTGTGTGTTTCATAGGTATTTATAGAGCTTTATTGAGGAAGAAATCTTAACTTTGCAGAGAGAAATTTTAAGCTCACGAATGACAGCATAAAAAATAAACAACAGAATCAAGAGGAGATATAAATATATGTATATTTTATGCCAAACAAACTTAAGCCGCTCAAACCTCAAATTAAAAAGGACAGACAACCATAGACATCCAACATTAAGTCTATGCCACACAACATCATGCCAACACTAACTCAAACCAGCTACTCATCTACAAGTGTGCAAGCATGTGTAGTCCATACAAACAGCAACAACAACAAACAGCAGCACTGACAAGCCATTGTCATCAGACATCAATAAATAAAGTGAGAGCAGCGACTTACTCAGGACGGTTTCATCGGGGCAGCGCTCGACAAGCTTTAAACCAAAACGACCAGAAACTCAGGCAGTTTACATGAAAAGTCCAGTTTGTAATCTCCATATGTCCCGGTGTACCAGCTTTTCAACTATTCCGAAATTTAGTCGACGAAACGCGGCTGGCGACTTCACACAGCAAGTCCGCTGTCACGCGAACTCCATGGTACAAACAGACGCCGACATTTGGACTTTTTAACAGTATTTCAAATCCTGGATGGCACTCAGGTGATGCTGATTGATACCTGTCCGGATGACGTCACGACCATCGTGCATTGCGTTTACTTTTTCTGCGTTTACTCCTTCACCTATTTCATTCAGTCTGTTTATGTTGAGTGGCTATAGTCTGTTGGTGCAAAATCAGTTTGATTTCCCTTGTAAACATTTCATTAGGGCACTTTTTTGCAGTTTGTAAATGACACGCAGTTCAATAAAGTTTATTCAAAAAATATCAGAAACCCCAACCTGGATAGTATTTGCTGTGTGTTGGTTTTGTGAAGTAACAGCAAGAAAACAAAAACATTTGTTGATTTAAATAACATTATAACCCAGTGTAAGAGCCAAAATATATTTGTTTAGGATATGATTTCTACAGGTACGTCACTTCCGGGGATCGTCACTGAGGGGTGTGGTTTTGGGATGTTTGGCGGGTGATTTAAATCTCACCGGTGTAGTGACGGGCACGGTAGTTCTTTTAGATGTACTGAATCACTAGAATCAGCTCACTTAAATGATTAGTTCAAAAGATTCGTTTACTAAATCACCGAATCATGCAGTGCCTGTCAGGAGAAGCCTGTGACTCCAACCTCCTGAACTGATACACAGCCAAACGTTTCAGGATTCAGTTCAACTCATGGCTTCTGGGACTGGGAAATGAGAGTGTTTGGCTGTGTTGCTTTGGCAAACAGGTTTGTAAAAACGAAATTGTTTATAAGTCATGATGTTTTAAGTGCACTGTCCCATGGTATGCTATTTATCAGGTCTGCTTGGTAAACTGGGCTCAGTGAGTGATTCATTCACTTAATGTTTATAAGAATTCAAACTGAACATGCATTGTTTCCTCGCAAACCGTTTCAATGATAGGATGCTGCGCGTTTAATGCACTACTTGTTACATGCTGTGTCTTATTGTATGCAAGCTGTTGTGTTGGCAATTACGCATTAAAAAAGGGCAGTTTGGTCAGACAAAAATGGTTCCAGAGGGTGAAGTTCAATGCGTGATTCGTTCACCAAGCGATTCAGGTGTTGGTGCATGCAGTCCCTCATTCTCCGGCTGGCAATGCTGTTTCTAACTTCAGCACAATTGAAGTGAGAAATGAATGAATCACTCGAGGAAGTGATTCGGTTCAGCACGTTCACTTAAAAGATTCTGTTCTTTTGAACGAATCGTTACCGAATGACACAACACTACACCAGTGTAGTCAGACACTGGGGTTGTGGTAAGCTTTTGTTGAAGGAAAGCAGTCGCTACACCTAGTATTATCAATTTTGCTGTGGATAACCATAGTGTATGGTTATGGTCATCCACACCAAAGATTTTGTTTTTTTTTCAGCGGGGTCAGTTTACAATACATCCTTAGGAGGCTTGAAATTGGAGTTTTACAATCTTATAAACCTGATACACAATCACAACTGAATAATGGTCATGTTGATTGTTTTGTTGTTGTTGTTGTTTGGTATTGGTATGCACTTTTCATGTAGAAATTTCATGCATTGTCATGTATTGCAGTTTTTTATTGGACCGATGTAGTTGTGGTTGCTCAAAAGATTTCTAAATAATGCAATTTGTGCTGATTTAGATTTTTTTGTTTGCTTGACAGGACCCCAAGAAGAGGAGAAGCTAATGGAGATCCAAGGTAATAGATAATTAAATCAATATATACATTGACTCAGACTGATGCTTTGAGTCAGTGAATTCAAGTTCATTATAAGAGGAGGCTTTCTTGATAATTATTCAAATAACCAAGGTAAGTGTCTTGGTTATAAATGATATGTTTCATGGTGTATGTAGGTCATGTATGAAGTCAGATCTGCATTCATTATCTAGGCCACTAAATGATTTGCTAGAAGTTAGGAATCACTGTAAGCTTGGCTGACTTGTAGGCTGTCAGGTTAAACTGTCAGGGCGAGGAAGTAAAGTGGGACACAACGCTACACCATACAAAGAGTAAGTCAGAGGAGAGAACCTGATCCCGAGTACGATATGGATCCCATTGTTGCCAGAATCAATCTTTGAAAATGAGGGATGGTTTCTGTGGTGTTGATATTTTGGTATCGTGCTGTCAGCTTGGCAGCATGGGTGTTGGTGTCTGCTCTAATGTGGACACTAATCCGGTGGGTCTATCATTCACTTTGTGAAATTTAATTAATTTCCCCATGACAATTTACTTTATTATAAATATCAGATTGAACAACAAAGATGGACCAAAGTCAGACTGCTTTCATGAAGGAGGCTATAGACCCAGAGCAGCAACAGCACAGATTAAATATTAAAACGCTTATGCAACAAAGGGCACTTGTTAAGTTTTTGGGTCCCATATAAACTGGTAATGCAGCATGGATGAACTCTATAATTTGTTTGTGTAGAGTCTCTCAAATGGAGACACTTTATCCCCAGCAGTCCCATTAAAGATGGAAAATAAACAGAACAGTGTGTACACATAACAGTTCAGAAATTAGTCAGGGTCATTGATAATGACAGTGAGATCTTTTCAAGCAGTACCCAGAAGTATATTTCCAAGACCGAGTGCTGCAACAATGGCCTCATTCAGCAACTGTGCAGAAGTAGGACACTTCTTGTGCAGCTTCATTACAGCTTCATGGGAAATCATTATTCAGTTCGACCGGACACATAAGTGATGCATACACTATCAAACTGTGTGCAGAAGGTACCTTTATTATATACTGGAGGCTACACATATATGACAACTTATACATTATGAGTGAGTATTCTGCTATCACAAAGAAGCAAGGAAAACCTATCAAAAAACTATTCATGTCATTTGCAAAGGTAGGACAAACACATATTCTATAAGACATGAAGAAAGCTGCACAGAATCTGTAGATATACTCTATGATGATTTGACAGATCATTTAGTACATAGTGACTTTATGGCATATGATTACTTCCTTAAGTCATGCTCATAAACCATTTTCTTTGATTTACATAAGATAGGGTCATGCATGCAAATTAGTGTCATAAATACCACAGATCTCTATTTCATTCAAAACAACCTAAAGCAGTCCCATACAGTCAGTGATATAATCCGCCTCAAGAAAGGCATCACCAAGTCTTTGAGGAAATTATCACACCAGTGATTAAAACACACCTTTTGATGTTTATGGATGATCTTTTTACATGCGGATCATATAATGTTTTAAGAAGTTAAATGTATTTTTTTTAATATTATAAAACCAGTGGTGAAAGCACTAAGTTGAAACCATTTGTTTAGTAGGTGGTGCCAAATGATACTCCAAATCTCTAACAGTGTTTGACAAACCAACCCTGAGCCTTCCTGAATAAAACAATCAGAAAGAGAGATATCGCAGTGGATAGAAAACATATTAGGTTGTTTCACTAAAAAGGTAAACATTGAGCTTTCTCGCTGCCATTTTTTCTGCCCAGTTGCCATTGCTAGACGCTTTTGAGCCTTCCTTGTTCTCCTCAGCTGTCTTCCTCCAGCCAGTGACATCATTCCCCTTTCACCCAGTTCTCTGACGGCTGCGGTAAGAGGTAACCAGCGGTCAAAACGAGAGGCGTTCACTGGCTCTCTAAAAGCTCGTGCAGCAAAGATTTAATAGTGAAAGTGGGTAGAGTGAGTAGTTGCTGGTCAGAAAACATGACTCGAGTTGAAGACGATTTGTTAAAAGTTTGGTTGGTCAATGAACTCCTTTAACAGAGCCACAAAGGGGGGCGTTCAATCAAATGGAGAGTGCATATATTGGGGAAACTGTTCGACATAAGTCAATACACCCAGAGTTTTTTTTTTTCTCTTTTCTTTTTTCAGCAGGGTCAGTTTGCAATAGATCCTTAGGGGGCTTGAAATTGGAGTTTTTTTGTAGCTTACAATCTTATAAACCTGATATACAATCACAACTGAAAAATCTCTTGGTCATGTTGTATTGTTTTGTTGTTGTTGTTTGGTAATGGCAGAGCCGGCTGACGGCATAAGCGAACTAAGGGCCTGCTTAGGGGACCCCCAAGAGCAATCAGAAAAAAAAAAATATATATATATATATATATATATATATATGCTTTCTGTATGATTAAATATATATTATTGAAAAAATAAAGTAAAAACATTTTAATGCTGCTGCTGATGTAGGCCTATGAGTCTTACTGCCGATATGTCAAAGCTCTGCTACAATTATGTGCCTTCTGCTGTGCAATGTGCACAGAGCATCCAAAGCGCTGGTAGGACAGTTTGGACAGATGTAGTTGTGGTTGCTCACAAGATTTCTAAATAATGTCATTTGTGCTGATTTTGATTTTTTGTTTGCTTGATAGGATCCCCAGAAGAGGAGAAGCTAATGGAAATCCAAGGTAATAGATAATTAAATAGATATATGCATTGACTCAGACTGATGGTGTGAGTCAGTAAAATCAAGTTCATTATAAAAAGAGGCTAACCCAGGTAAGTGTCTTTGTTATGAAGTGTATGTTCCGTGTACCTGCTCGTTTGCATGTACCCCAAGATGTTCCGACTGTCCCTGAAAGCCTCACAAATGCCGACGTTGCATGCAGGAGGAGAGACACAGGCAGACATAGACCAATGTTTACTTGACACAGAATTCTTATCTCAATGCCAGCTTTCTCCTAAGGTTTCCCATAGTTTATACAAGCCTTTCTGTGCATTTTCTCCTTTATTGAGAGACGATTTATAGATAAACACACTGATGAACGACCCAATCGCGTGAGCGTTTTTCTCGCAGATGGTTTTGTCTTTAAAGCTGCTCCGGCTCTGCTCTCTCTCTTTAGGCGAACACTTTTCACTTTCTCTGTAAAGTGGACAGATGTGGTACAATGTACAACACAGTGATAAATTTAGGCAACCCGATCACAATCCCCCTCCTTCACTGCTTACCTTCATCACACACTGCCGGGGTTACTATCGGACAACCTCCCCCACCCCCCCTCACTCTGAGAGCTTGGGTTACTATCGGACAAACCTCCTTTCCTTCTCCTCTTCTTCTTGCTCTCATCCTGCATGGCGGTAGCTGCATCATGATTTGATGGCTGTGTGTTTTGCTTTTTAGAAATACCATAAGCAGAGGTGTGTAGGTCGGAGTTTTGTACGGGCTTGAAAACGCATATTACACAGGGAATAGTGCAGCTGAATTTATTCCAACTGAGAACAGATTGTACAACGTGAGCTGCGGTTTTGTCTGGTGTTATTGTCGGTGAAAGTGAACAAGGAGAAGCTGATACCTTCCCTGATTAGGTTACCTCAAGCACCTTAATCAAGGAAGGAGAATGCTTCCCTGTCGTAAAAACAAAATGAAAGAGACGTGAATCAACAGGTTGAATTACAGTCTAAAACAAATATAAGTCATTTCAATTCCCCATTCCTGAAAGAAACTATAACAAGCCACTCTCCTTATCTTATAACTAAACAGCACTGTATGCATTTCCTCAATTGCCCTAATTAAAAAGAAAGTCACTCCCAATGTCTTTTTATCAGCTCAAATGAATGTGGAACATATGTTCCCATGGAAATGTCCCTCAAGCAAAGCTTCTATGAGTATTACAGTCCAGTTTCCTGGGTAATCGAATGGTTTGTATTAATACTGCACACATCAATGCCAACCATAAAAGAGATTTCTACACTGTAAATATGCGATTACAGGCGTGATAGGTATTGGGCAAGCTTACGATTTACATAGCTTTTTGTGGAGCGATTAGAAAACCTGATATGATCCTGACAAATGTGATTACTTACTCCTCTTTATATGTCTGCACCTATAGTATCAAGGGTTGTTTTGTAAAAGAACAATAAGTTACACAGTGGCACATCACATGATATGATGTGATATAATATGATATGATATGATATGATGCAGTATAACACAATGTAATACAACAGAACACTATTAGGATACAATTCTATATGAGCTGATAGGAAACGAGAGAGTATGACAGATGCAGGATGAGATGAATGAGATATCATAATAGACTGAGGTGGGAAAACATGACACAACAGAATATGATCAGATATGTTATTTAATACAATATCACTCTATTTGATACAATGTGATACTCTGTGATTTGATATGATAGAAATATTTAAAAATGAAAAGATCTGAGATGAAATAATACTTGAAGATGGATAGGATCTGATATTATACAATATGTTACAATATAATTTAATTTGAAATAAAATGATACAACACACAAAAAAAACTATACAACAAGATATGTTGTAATATGATATGTTATGCTATCTTACAGTGTGTTTGAGTATGATACAGCACTGTGATATCACCTCTGATACAACAAAATATGTGATATTTCATTTTAACATTATATACTCGTTTACTGATTTCTTTTTTTCCTGTAGTTCTTTGCAAATTATTCTCCTCCCTTACAACATAAGGTCTTTGTGGTTTAAAGACTTTTTCCTAATGTCTTAAAGAAAAGGATGATTAATTTGAAAGACAATAGTATTGAGTTTCCTGCAGCTTTGACTACAAAATAATCTATGAGTGTCTTGAGCTCCTAAGTGGGTTATGGAGCAGTGAGTCCATCAGTGCTAAGAGTATAGACTGCTTCACGCTGTGCCAGCCAAAACAACCTATTGTTCTCCATCTAGTGAGAATGATAGCACCTGACAGCTTACTACGAGTAATCACAAAGAATGAGATCTGAACCGCTGAGCCACAAACAGGGAGGAACATTCTTGACTTTACTACCACACATTGTCCTTTGGCCCTCCTGTACAGTCTGATGAATTTGGAGTATGCAGGCGATCTAACCCCAGCCTGAGTTCAGGGCTGGACCAAATTGGAAACTATGTGCCTGTGAATAATATTTAAAATCTGTCAAAGCAGTTCAAAACAGATACATTTGCAGTTTTATGTCCTAAGATATCCTTTTAACCCTATTTGTAAGTCCATGTGTTGGCCATTCATTAATTCATGATGTAACAAAAAAATGACAGAATGTTAAAAGGATTTTTAAAAAAGTATTATTTCCCTGTATTAATTTGTAATTGATCTTTTTTTTTCTGTGGCCATGGTTTTAAAGATAACTCACTAAGCAAAGTATTTTTATTTAGTCACTGGGGAGGCCTGACATTTTTCCAAAGACTTCAAACTTGACCCTCATCCAGTATAACAAAAACATGCTTTTACGATCAACAAAATTATGTAACATCCAAGAAAATACTAACCATTTAAAAAAACACAACAGCAGCTCCTCAATGACTGCAGCTGAAATGAATTCTTCACTAAATTCTTCAGATAAACAAGCAGCTCAGTCATTCTGGATGTTTGTCATCCATCTTCATCCATGCAGCGAGCTCTTTGATGGATTAAAAGACTACTCACTGTGGCTGAGGATTTCATTAGACCCCATACTAGGTTGTAGACCTTACTGTAGCTGAACCATCTTTATTGTACATCCACAAACTGTGGAAGAAATGCCCCTCCACTCTGTTTTGATTGTGTTTATCCTTATGCATATTTCTAAAAATTTAAAACAAGCTATAACTGATGTCGTCTCTTAATATTATTCATCAAAGAAGATGTCCTCTTCGGGACTTCAGCGGAGCAATTGATTTCACGGATAGATAATTTTGGGAAAAATTGGCCAATTTTTGAAGAAATGGCTTTTCATCCTACTCTGAAAAAGACAAGTAAGAGCAGTGTTAAAATGTAAACACGTTTCTCTTTTTTAATAATGTATCCCCTCTTATTAAATAAAGGACAGGAAAAAAGGGGTTTGGCTGTCCTCTGTTACTTGTGTTTTATTTACAGTAATTGCACCCTGAAGCAAAGGGAGCAGAGTAAAGACAGGAGGCACAGGAGGCCAGATAATCACTGCCAGATGGTTGTCATGTTCTTCAGACTTAGATAGCCTGCTCCACATGTCAGGCTCCTGCAGTTTCCTGATGCATCTTCAAAAGCAAACCAGTACGCAAACAGGAGCAGTTTTGTGATGGAAATGATAATTGTTATTTTTCCTCTGATGGTGTATCTCTCTGATAACGGGGAGGTAAATCAATTTCTGTATAGGTCATATTGTAGCTTTTGTCGAGGTCAAACCAGCTTCACCAGCACCTGTTGTTCTTTACAAACCACCCCCTTTACTTAAAATGATTGTTTTTCTAACAAGGTCATCTGCTGCCAGGCCTCAGGCCTTCTCTTAGCTCTGTTTGATCTGGTGTGAGTGCAGTCACACGAAATGCAGCCCAGCCAGACGTTGGGCTCTATTGACATGTAAACTGTTTACAGTTGCTGCAGAACAGAGCGGTGTTGGTCAATAAAGAGGTCCAGTTATTTCGAGACCAGGCTCAAGATGGGCTGCTATACCAGACAGCTGGGAGTGTTTTGGGGTTTAGAAAGGAACTAAACCAAGGAGGGAATTTGATTCTATGCAGGAAAACGCACATACACACTCCAAGGCTTGTTTTATGAAGCATTTTTCATTCTTCAAAGTTCAACTATCAAATATGGCACAGTGTCAGAAATGAATTTATTTCTGTCAGTTTTTGAAATCACGATAAACTTCATTTGGATGAACTGAATTGATGATTATACTGACTTCAAATTACATATTCCAATAGTATTCCGTATCTCCACAGTGAAATAAGTTATATCCTTTTGTCAGTCCAGAGCAATGCAATTAAACTTCAGTGTTATTTTTACAAGAGTAAGTCACAGAAGCACCGAGAACATGAGGAAATATTAATGTGCTATGGTTGAGAATAACACTTATAGACTGAGGTGGCAACAAATCCTCAGCAGAAGTATCAATTGGGTTCTACTTAAACAACTGTGGTGCATTTTGTAGTTATCTAGTGCTGTTTTCCAAGTGACTTGATGTCTTTCCTTCGTGTAGGTGTAATAGAGGATGCATCAAAAGAAGTAGTACCAATGTACAAGACCCATCCATCCATCTATTCGAGATATATCAAGGTCACAGAGGGCTGGAGTCCATCTCAGCACAGGTGTGGAGAGATAGACATCAAGGTTACTTTGCTAAATCATCTATCCATTTGGGCGAACACTGAGTAAAACGTAGGGATGTGGAGAAGAAAGAAGGATGTCAGCAGGTCACGTTTGATGTCAAAGAGAATTTCATCAAAACTATATGAGACATGAAGAGATTTTATTTGCTACTCAATCTAACCATTTCACACTGATATTCTCTTTGACTAAGGCTCATTTTGGTTATTTTCACCTCCTAATTCCAGACAAAAATATACAAAAAGAGGCTGATGTCAAGCTGCAGATTTAGTATTTGGGTGCAAAGCGTCCCATATTACATGAATGTGTGTCAAAGATGTGTATTTGTGCACAAGACTATTTTACATAATTCCCTAGATTGCAAATTACTCTATCTATCTATCTATCTATCTATCTATCTATCTATCTATCTATCTATCTATCTATCTATCTATCTATCTATCTATCTATCTATCTATCTATCTATCTATCTATCTATCTATCTATCTATCTATCTATCTATCTATCTATCTATCTATCTATCTATCTATCTATCTATCTATCTATCTATCTATCTATCTATCTATCTATCTATCTATCTATCTATCTATCTATCTATCTATCTATCTATCTATCTATCTATCTATCTATCTATCTATCTATCTATCTATCTATCTATCTATCTATCTATCTATCTATCTATCTATCTATCTATCTATCTATCTATCTATCTATCTATCTATCTATCTATCTATCTATCTATCTATCTATCTATCTATCTATATATCTATCTATCTATCTATCTATCTATCTATCTATCTATCTATCTATCTATCTATCTATCTATCTATCTATCTATCTATAACTATTAAAAATGTAATATCAGATTGTACTAAACGGCATGCATTGAACAATTTAAAGCAGTGAAGGAGGAATGTTAAAGTCGTTATGTGGTTATAATGATGATGATTGTTGTAAAAGTGGTACAAGAATCTATCACTAGTTCTTTACTGTGTGACTTCATTCTCTGTGGAGCCTAATTGAAATCTCAATTACCAATGCATTGAAATGTTTAAAGGAACTGCACATAGGCACAATGTATTTCGATAGCGTTGGAGTGCTGCTGGCCCTTTAAGAGATGTTTTGACTCTGCACGTGCTTTCCTTATATGGGAGCAGCATCAAACAGTGACCGTTAGTTACCTCTGCTGCTGCTCTCCACTGCTCTGCTCCGCAACGAGCAGCACTATAAAAGCCTGCTGGAGGACAAAAAAACTGTTTTGTCAGACACTGAGACAGAGCAAGGACCGTGAGGGAGGAGGAGGACACTTTATCTCAGCCTACTTCTTCTGGACGAGGGGTTTCAATTTATGACAAGGAATAGAGTGGATAACTACAACGTTCAAGATAAAGGTCGGTGAGTTTTTAGGGCTTCTTCTCTGGGTTTTGGGATGATTTGTGAGTTTCATTGTTGGCTCAACAAAGAGATGTATGTCACCGTGTTACAAGATAAGACATACTGTCAAATCATCATTCCTCAATGTATTTTAAGTTTGCTCTTTAAGCTTTGGTTTGGGGAATACTTTACTAAAAGAAAATCTTTTTTTTCTTGAATAGTTGTTGCTGCGCCAATTTTTGCTGTTATTTTTCATTGAACACCGCAATGTTGAGTTTAAGTTTAAAATACTGGACTTGGAGTTGAAGTTAAAGGAAACCCCGTTGATGAAGTAAAATGACAAAGTTTCCAGGAGCAGTTTTTACTGTTTTCATCATGCATAGAAGTATCCTCTTCGTCCGTCTGTGACTAGGACCAGTGCAAAGCTAGACATGGCCGATTAGGACGCTTCCGGTTTGGTTTTCAAAATAAAAGCATACGACGGCAACATATGAAGTTAACACTCTTAAACAGATCATCAAGATGACAAAAGCTGATATGCAGATTCTGTATTGATATTTTTAAGTTTAACACACACCTTAATGGATATTTTGATTCTAAATTGGTCCATATTATCACATTTTGACCAGTTATTCTGAAGTCACATTTTTGCAGCTTAATTCTGAAAGCATATCCACTTCACTCGTGGCTGCTTTCTGTGTGTCTTGACTGCTGTGGCTGAGCATCGCGGAGCTGAATGACCGACGGTAACCTCAACTGAGGAGAACAATGAAACACAAGTGTCGAAGTTTAAGACGATGAATTTTGGAGATTTGACACAGAGATTGAGTGTGCTTGATCATGAGGTGCCACAATGACATGATGCCCCCCTTTTGTGATAGATGCCAAAGTGCCTTTTATTTCTTTTATTTTTCAGATGGCTTTCTTCTCTTGGTTTATGTTCGCTCCCCGCAGGCATATGTTGTTATCTGAATTTATATGAAGTGTTGATGTCTGTAGAGTTGGTTTAACGTCGATTAGATGTTTTTGCTTTCTTTTTTTGTCGTATTTCTTGCAAAGCTCGACGCTTTTACATCGTGTTTTCATCCTCGACAAAAATCATCTGGGCTGATTTTTCTGCTGTTATAGTTGAAATGGTCTATTATGTGTTTTCTGATATCAATGAAAAAAATGGGAATTCGTGAAAAAAAAATCCTGTATAAGTGTGATATAACACGTGAGCGAGAATTGATGGTAAACAAGTGCAAAAAAAGACATATTTTCATGCGCCACTAGGGGCGCACTGACTCTGCACCACTTGGGCTCAGCAGAGAGCCCCACTTATCTCTGCAGACGATGTGTTTTCAGCCTCCGTCAAGAAAAATCTGATAATCCAAGGAGGAAAAACTCGACAGAAAAACAGACAGTCCTATAGCTCGACGGAAGACAAAGCAGAATGAAGCTGATGCAAATGAGATTGCATGAAATCATTAATGTCAGGCTTATTAGACATGTAAACACGGCATTGACGACTGAAGATCCGAATAGACTAATTGGTTCATCAAACAACACGGATTATTACCGTAAAGGCAAATATGATGAGGATGACGGACTTAGAATAACTCCGAATGTGCGCAGAGACAAAGATGTACAACGCTGAATTGAATACCTTTCTACACACCCACGGATTTAGCAATGTTGCGCACAACAATCTGCCAATGCAGGTGGTGTTTTTCACAGTGCATCATTCATTTCACGGGATTTGAGCAAAATAAAAAAAATATGTTTAACTTTCCACGAAAGAAATGCAGAGAGTTTTTGGGAATTGCACAGTTTTAAATCTCCTCTGATAGTGTCTCATCCAGTTTAATGCATAGTTGTGTCTTTTGATTATATGTTTTATGCGTCTGCCAGGTATTCAACATAGTTCTTCAGTGAGACAGTTCAGTGTAAGCCCTGAGTGCTGGCATGAAATTAAAGTGACTCAGAGCAGATGTTCCTGTACAGCAGATGCTGTTCATGGGTCACTGTGTTGTTTGTTGATCCCAAAGTTCCTCCTTTTTTTTTTTCATGGTAACATTTCGTACAGTCCGGTGGAGTTGCCTAATTGAGTTGGCCCAATGTGAGAGTGTACAATTTGTGCTCTTCAGAGTGTCTCCTGGTATAAATAGCCATATTTTATTCATATTTGTTGATGATTACTTTTATCAATTGTGGAAAATCTCCACAGGCTTTTATTGAACCCCATAACACACAAATTAAGGTTGTGATGTTATTAATTAGCTACGCTCTCTACTGTGGAGTCAGATGAGGATCAAGTGTTACAAATGTGGCATAAAACCGCACAAAACTGGATGAAACATTTCAACATGGCTGGGCAGCTCGAAAGCCAATGATAATGGAGACAGTCGTGTTTGAACATCAACGTGTCCTTGACATTACGATCCTGTCATCCCACTCATTTTGACATCCAACCAGCTCTCCCCGCGTAGAGACCAGTTGGCATAATAAGCAGGAGCAGGGTGGATTTTATCAAAAGATTTCCATCCTCAAGTTAACCATCAAACCGGAGGAAGCTGCTTCAAAATGGGAAATGGCTTCACTAACAGTGATACTCATTAAACATGTGGGAACATTAGAAAGGGATGTACCCTTTCTACCTATAAATAACTTTCCTTTTGAAGAAGAAGCAGTGTTTCAAGTCCATTATTACTCAACTTCTCCAAAGATTACATCAATCGTACACATTTTAAGACCTGGTCTATAATCCTCCTTTGCAGTAAACCTTGTTGACCTGAATAAAGGAGTTAAGGGTCTAGATCTTAAGTCACCATCCTGGTCTCAAGGTGTTTGTCCCAGATAACTCGATTATGACTTTTGCAAACTAAGTGTTAAAAAAAATTAAAAAGTTTTGAAGCTCATCTGGTAGTTTTTTGGGTCTGATCGGTGGACTTGGGGGTGTGAACCAAATGGTTACATAAATCAGGTTAGTCCACCAATCTAAGGACTTTTGAAACTGCAAATAGAGTTATCAAAAACCCCAAACATGTTTACCTAAAGGATGAATCACTTGCCATCTCTGCCAGAGCAAAGAGTTGAACAAAAAAAAGAGTGAAAAGTGGTTCCTATTTTATTCTAACTTGATTAAACCTCTCATCCGTCTAATCAAAGAGTTGTTTTGATGAGTTTAAGTATTGCCTTTTCAAGTGAGGACTTCTTTCAAGTTCTGAAAAGGTGACAGATTTGTTGATGAAAGGTTTCGGGCCACTTTCACCTCTTAAAAACTGCCCACCACCCACTCATCCATCCATGTAGAGTGTGGTTAGACCTTTGGACTGATTGGTCTACACCAGTTGGACCTGAATCTGCAGCTCTTTACAGCTTTCTTCAGTCATTAGTTACCGTCTTTTGCTGACTGGTGCTGTATCTGATCGGTGGGTGTTTCAGTTTTGTCTATTTTGATTAATAGGTGAATCTGCTGCTGTCATTTGGTGTATTGTTGGAATTTTTTCTTTTTCTAACTTTACTAGATTTCTTGAATGTAATACCAGAATGCAGCCATCCAAAGCTCTTGCATTTCGTTTTGTCTCTTGGTGATTTTTGTCATGTTTTCCTTTCGTAGTTCTACTTTTCACCGCCTTTGCTTCACATTTAACTGGACTTTGTTGCTGTACTTTATCGCAGTATCGTGCTTTTAGTTTTGCTTCCTGATTTGATGACTCTCTGTTCTGTTTTCACATCACTTTAGTACGTCATTGTGTGTGGGAATTATATTTTTGGTGTGAACCGTATCATTTTCCACAGGAACAAAGCAGGACCATTTGAGGCTTCCATTAGCTGACTGTGTTGGATCTTGTCCATTGTGAGAAAAGAGTTGAAGAGCAAAAGTTAGATGTTTTTGACCTTTTATTTTGTGTCTATGGCTTTACAGTGAGGAGCTGGAGCGTGCTCAGTGAGGTTGGGAAGACGTCAGTATGGCAGTCTCCACTCAGCTGGGTTTACTGCTTTGGAAGAACTTCACCTACCGACGGAGACAGACAGTAAGTGGACACAACACTTCATGAGAGCAATAGGCTCTTACTCTGAGTTATTTGTCTATCAATAAATGGACTTGTTCAAAAGGTATTGGATTTGTATTTGTTTTTAAAAAGTATTATTATTTATTCTTTCATATAGTTTGTAGAGTTGTTTGCATTTAATGGACGAAAAACTGAGATTTATTTGTTGTTTGAATGCCACATTGTAGTTAATTTAGCTTTAAATTGACTCTGACTCAGGGATGACTTGCCCAGCAAAATATTCACTTGGACATTACCTCATTAAGATCCGGCATATGTTAATTCGACCCGTATTGATATGCTGCCCACAGGTATGGTAATGGGTTAGCACTCTGCTCAGCCACTCGGACCAACAAGCGTCACACTTCGCAGATTTCTGTGACTCAGTTCAGTCTTGTGCCACATAAAACCCACACTGTACTATGTTAGTCAGATTGACTTCTGGTCATGGCATAGTGCTTCTTTATATGCGAGGACACTCATATGCATACAATGAAGCCATCTGACGGTCAAGCAAAGACCTTTCCTCAGAGTGACAGTTGTGGCTGCTTGATATTCAGTCCAGTGATTTTTAACAAAGGGGTGCAGTGCAGTTTCTGAGACAGTGACTTTATTCTTCATCCCCACGCTGCTGTTAAAGGCTGGGACGTAGGCAGCTGAAGAGGACAGGCCATATGGAACAGATGGACGAGTCATAGTCCCTCTAAACCCCGCAGACCTCTCTCTGTCTCGTGCTGTCTCCCCTTATTAACCCACATACTCTTTACCCGGTCTCATGGTGGGATTACTGTTTACTAAGGAGGACAGCTGACAGACCCCTCTACACACATGTATATACACATAACTCAGGATGTTTCATTTCTCTTAAAGGAGACAGGATTAGCTTAACTGAACTGAATCTACACATGAACTACTTCATATATTCCATGAGTTTTTATCGTCCAAGAGTATAAAGCCTTATTTTATTCTGCTTACTAACCTTTGTCCTCCTGTTTTTGTCTTTGTTTTTCTTAGATTCAGCTACTGATTGAGATCATCTGGCCTCTTTTTATCTTCTTCATCCTGATCTCAGTCCGGATTCATTATCCACCCTATGAGCAACATGAATGTAAGATCAAACAATATCACATTTGCATATTTTGCATTTAAACTGGCCGCTGAATTTCTTGTAACTTTTGATTTCTTTGTGATTTATTGCCATTCAGAACACAACAATAGTACTCTTTTAAACGCTCCTGTCATGATTCCTCTGTTTGAAGGCATTGTATGCTTTGTATTTGCTTCCAAGAAAAATCAACATGTTATTGTCACTGAGGGATCAGTTTCATTTGTCAATATTTGTTTGCCCTCTGCGAACATGTGACAGGACCTTTAGCTCCTGGAAAAGGGAATTGTGAAGTTGTTCCTCAGCACAGCTTGTTTCAAAACTGCGATCGGGTTTCAACTCGATAAGATTATCAATGGTCCTAAGCACAAAAAAAGCCCCTCTCAGCATTTAGAAAAGCTTTTTCAGCAGTGGGAAGGAAATGAGTAACCTGCAACGCACTTTCCAGAGAGTATTTATTGAAACTACACGGGCGTATTTAGGAGTGAATAGATTATGTGGACGAATTAACACCAATAATCTGTGCTTGTGATTTATTGAATGAGCTGTACTGAAGTCACCTTTTTTGGAGAGATTGTTTAAAATTTGGTCCAGGAAGTTGATTCAGATACTGGTTCACAAGTACAGACAAGTGCACCAATCGAGTGTACTTCTGTGACCATTATGAGCTTGTGCATGATTCTTCTGCTCTGGTTGTAAGTTTTAATATCAATAAAACAGGGAAAACACAATTAACCCAGTGAACTCCCAAAAACAGGTCAACCTTACGACCCCAGCTTTGCCCTCTACACTCATCTCTTCAGTAATAGAGGTAGTTAACATCAGCAAACAGTAGCTGTAAAGCTCGCTGATAAGAATCCAAGCAATCGTAAAGATAATGTTGGTGCTTTTTAAACTGGCTGGCCAGTGAGAAGGTTGTGATGGTTTTTATGTAACAGTTTGCACAGGTTATAACTATTTGATGACATATTCCCTTTTCTTTTCCAGGCCACTTCCCCAACAAGGCCATGCCCTCAGCAGGTACCTTGCCCTGGGTACAAGGCATCATCTGTAATGCCAACAACCCCTGTTTCCGCAATCCTACACCTGGCGAGAGTCCCGGAGTGGTTGGAAACTTCAATGACTCTATGTAAGTATCACAAGACCTCTGGTTCAAACGATGCCCCCCTTTAACTGATCAAAGTGCAAAGAAAGATTTGGCTCTTTGTCATTTTATTGATCTTTGCAGCAACAGAATACCCTTGATGAATTAGTATTAGGTCGAGGGAAGTGAAACAGTGTTTAATATTCTTCTTTTTCCGTCTCTCTGCAAACAACAGAATCTCCCGTCTGTTCACTGACGCCAAGAAGATCCTGCTTTACTCTCAGAATGATAAAAGCTACGAGGGCTACAAAGGACTTTTGAGGGCTCTCAGGAAGCTGCAGAAGAACACTGCTCGTAAGGACATATTGATATGCTAATATTTAGTCCAATTAGATTTCTGAATGACTGACATGCTCCTATAGATATGCCACGTGATCATTCTCATGGCTGTTGACTATTTATACAGAAAAAGGGAACACTCCCACACCGCTGTGCATGCAGATATGACATAACTGTGTCAGTGACTTACACCCACAGTGGATTCACACATTGCTGTTGATGCTTCTTAGCTCTGGAGATGTTTATGATAACGACAAAAAAGCTGTGAAATATACAAAAGCTGAAAATCATCGCATATTTAAAAAAGAAAGACAGAGTTTGCTGCTCATGTTAAAACATCACCATCTCAGACATGTGCAGTATTTGAGTTTAGTTTTTGAACATTTGAAACAGAAAGAAGCAGTTTTATCACCACATTGGCTATTTTGGAGCAGATAGAGGTCATCTTACCAAAATAACGTCTCACTGACTGTGCTGTCTCAGTCAAAGCAACCGCAAAGTAGAAAAAATAGAGATGTGCTCAACCCTCCTTTCACTTTTCTTTCACTTGAATAGACAGTGCTCAAACACATTAATTTTGCTCTGTGGTGTAAACAAATGCATTTTAAATGCCACACCAATACTCACTGGAAACAGGCCCTGATAGAAAGATAAAGAAAAAACTCAAATCATGTATTAAATGGAGCATATGAATATAAGGCATGGCATTACAGGATGTAGTGCAGGAAGGGTAAACATGAGTGATAAAACATCTGACCTCATGTATTTTCCATATCGTAATAACAGGCTAATTATGATGTCTGTCTTTGTATTTGTTCTGTTGCTAGTGTATTGCTACAGTAATGTCTGTCTGATTCGCTTGTCACAATCAGTCCTCTCAGTATCTATAAAAGAAACAGAGGTATCAGTTCGGGTTTCCACATCGGGTTCAGATGTAAGGGTAAATTTAACAGAGCCTATACTGAGAAATTATGCAACAAAACAGAACAATCAAGGTTCTTGTTGTCGTGGCTGCCTTCTGCTCTGCTTGCCTAGAGGTAGGGTGAATTATGCAACGACCCCACAAGGCATAGCATGGCCTTAGAGAGGAGACATTGCACATCAGAGAAAGTGAGAAGAAGACTGAGTGTTTTGATTTTGAATGTAAAAGTTTGAATGTGTGGTGTGGTCCTCTCCTGTCTACATCCACGATCAGTAAGTGATTCCTTTTTCATTGGAATCAGCAGAGTCTGTGCTCTTGATCGATGTTATCCTGTTTTTATTCACTTGTTTTTTTAACAAGCTTTAAGTGCATTTGTTGACTTCATCACAATTGATTTTTAAATGCACAGTGAACCAGCGCTGTCTGATCCCACACTTCAGTCCACTCTATATACAGCATGTGCTTCAAATCCACGTGTGGGAATGCAGAGACTGAGGATGGGGGACAGGCGTGTTTGATGCAGGTGGAAGCAAACGTGGAAATGCTGATGCAGGCTTATGCTATAGGAAAACCAGTACGGATCAAAGAGCTGAGGGTGGATCCCCTCACGTGTTGGTTAATAATTTAGCTTCTGATGTTGTCAGAGGATGGTATATACACAAATCGGGTTGGGGAAAGGATTAGTACTTCCTATAGGATGACGAGATAAAAAAGGATATTCCCATAATGAATCAGATATGATGATCTCTGCTTGATGAGCTTGCGCAGGATGGTACTGACAAATCTCAAAACACAGTTGAACTTTTGAAGCACTGAGTTATGCAACATTTTTGTCCTGAGAAAGGGTTTTTTAGTATTCTTAAAATATAAAAAATTAATGAGAGATGAATGTGGTCTGATCCTAAATATGGAGCTTTTAGTATGCCACAGGACTTTTTTTTTATCATCCAATCTGTCTGCATGGCAGTAAAGCCCAGGGTGGATTTCTTTATAATAGAGGAGACCATTTTTTAGCCTTTTATCACCTCCATACTTTATCTGCCTGGCTGCTTTAAAAGAGTACAGGGCTCGATTTGTCCAATCCTAATCTCTGAAAATGGAGACATGTGAATTTTACTTTGCGTCCCTGTCATGTATAAATGGCTTCACTTTATGGGGCTGTATTCCCTCCCCACTGTCTACCTGTAACCCTGCCTCAACCTCATGTCTCTAACCTGAGTACTGAAACCAGGCCCCACGCTCAAAATAGCTTCTTCAAGAGGCGAGAACGAGTGAAAATGACATCCCCATTGAGGTGAGGTCTAAATCGGGATGTCCAAAACTTTAATAGGTTCCAACAAACGACCCATGTAAGTCAAGCTGTATTTTTGGATCAAGTTTCAACCAGAGGAAAACAAGTTAAAACGGTGATATAATCAAAGAGTTCACATCTCTTTTTATTCAGGATTTTTGTTTTTTACCTGTTATTTAAGCAGATTTTAGAGTTGTAGTTTAACACAAACAATGACCCATTTATAGACCAGTTTGACCAGTGATGATACTGGCTGATGAGCTTGTGTTGCCAGCGTTGTTTAATCCAAAACAGGATAGGCACTAGGCAGCAGGGACATGTAGATACCTGTAGGTGTTAATGAAGGGTTTGCCACTGTCTACAGCTGCTGAAGACCAAGGAAAAACAAACACACATGTTCTTTTCTTTAAAATATGTCTTTCATAACCTAATGGGTTTACGCACTCAGGTAAAAGAATTAGGACAAACACACACATACACCAATGAGATTACTAAGTGAAATGTGAGACACATAAACAAACACCACTGCCAGACTTTCAATTTCATGAGAGTTGCACCACCCAGTCTGTTCTATCCTCAAGTGCCTCAGATGCAATGCACCATGGGAGCTGTATCTTCCTACCGAGACACTTATTAGACCTTATTAGCACTCCCTGGTTGTTCACCTGAGGGAGTTCAACACACGAGGAATAGGTGAACACACATGCACACATAAACATGCACAGAGGCCTTTGGGGAGCAGGGGCTGTGAGAATTTAGTTTGCAACACACCACACACTCCGACTTCAGACTCTAGAAGCACACACACCCACACACACACACACACTCTTTTCAGAGACACCACACATGTACCCTCAACACACAGAAACACACTGTTCTCTTTCACTTCCTCTCAAGGGATGTTCGAGTCAGTCGCAATGAAGTGTTTCCTGTTTGTGTGTGTGTGTCATTTGATCCCTTTAAAAGACATCAAGTCAAATAGATTTATCAGAGAGTAACAGGAGCTGAAGGTGTAATATTAGACAGACGTCTAAAAAAGCTATCAAAGTTTAAGTTACATATGGACGTTTCAGAGGAAAGCACATTTTAAACAGTCTCCACAAGGGCAGTAGAGCAAATCATGGCTCAAACAAACCATGCTTACGCAAAAAGTACGCAGTTACACAACAGTTTGGAGCAGTGCTGCAATAAACAAATCTGCTTTTGGAAGCTTAAGTCAAGAAAAGTTCCTGAAAAATAAAGTTTGAAGGGAGAGAAAAGTGGGCAAAAAGCTTCTCAGTATGCAGAAAAATAGGTGAAAGGTGGAGACAGTCAGGAGGAAGTGAGTTACAGTTCAGAGGGAGGACATAGTTACACCAACTCCGGACTGAAGTGGAATGCCCTGTAGTAACCTCAGCTGAAAACAAAACTGAGGGGAGCTGAGGAGAAGAAAGCGGAGTGTGTGTGTGTGTGTGTGTGTGTGTGTGTGTGTGTGTGTGTGTGTGTGTGTGTGTGTGTGTGTGTGTGTGTGTGTGTGTGTGTGTGTGTGTGTGTGTGTGTGCAATAACTCAGCTGACTCAAGCCAGATTCATAAATGGTTTGACTGCTCTGGAATGCAGCAAAAAGTACAAAAAGTCCTCAAAGTGCTGAAAGGACACTTTTGTGTATGTTTGCAAATACATCAGTATTCAGTTTTACAAACTCAGCAACAGGCTTCATGATCCATGTTTGAATCCATGATTATTAGTCCATTATTAATAATGGTACAAATGATAAAGATTAAAAAGTGAATTTAAGAACACTGCAGGGTGTCCTGGTATTAACCCACAAATACAGGGTTTTTAATTTTAGAACAAAGAGGGTTTTATGTCTCGCTCTTTGTCATTTTAATGCTTCTAAATCTTCTTTTTCTAGGTTTCAAGTTAAAGGACTTCCTCCGAGACAACGAGACACTTTCCCATTTTCTGCACCACAACGCCTCTCTGCCCCGTCACGCGCTGAAGCAGATTGTGGAGGCTGACATCAACCTGGAGAAGGTAAAAAAAACACTCCTGTTTTTCAACATTTCTCACACAGAAAAAGTGGTCCTTATAGATTAACTGATCAAAACACGCACTGGGGGGATTTGCTTGATACAGACCTCCACCAAAGTCAGCTGCCTCTGTACTGCCGCTGCCAACAGTACAGTATTATTTTGTGCACAGTACTGTGTGTGGTCTCTTTCATATATGAGATAATCACAGTCTCCTGACCACATAAATGCATTGACCTTGGTTTGACAGTATCTGTCAGGCTGCAGCTAAGCCCTTAATACCAGAGTCAGGGGGTGGAAGGGGGTAAAAACGAGAGGGTATCCAAGCCCCTCCTAACTGTCTGTACAAATAAAACATTTCAGTTTCTCAGCACTGAAACAACTGACTTTATCTTGAACCCTGATTGTCTTTACTTCTCATTTAACTCAATTCTATGATTCATTTTGTCCACCTGGCATATTGATGTATTTCACAGCACCGCACATTCCCACGCACGTGCACAAACTTCTTCCTCTACCATTTAGATCGAGACCCTTTGTTTGTTTGTAACCCGATTTCATATCCATATGGTACATTGGCTTTGTCAGCTGCCCACCTCGACAACAGCCTCCAGCCCGGCCCACTGTGTTGTCTTCCCTTTGTGATTGGAGGGCTGCTGTCACATGGCCGCTGCTCTCCCCTACCCCCTATTTCTCCTCACGTGCAGAGGCGCAGACTCCGAGATAAATTCACATCACAGCACCTGGTTCTGGCCATTTATTTCTTCTAGACATCTATTGATCAGAGGAGAGGACTATCCATTCAGTCCATGAAGGTCGTTTGAAGCATTATTCAAGGAGGAGAGGAGAGGAGAGGCCCTTGATGTTATAAATGACGTCCTTTCAGCATCACGACTTTGCTGCCATAAGATGAACTACACACATAAACAATGAACATGCAGCTCTTTCATTGAGGAAATATGTTTTGAGTATCTATTCGATGGTTTACATGATTACAAACCTCTGAACTTGATGCTGTAAGCCCTGATGTTTTTCCAGTGAAAAGATTAACAGCTGTGACTGTCACGACTGTGTGTGCGCGCGTGTGTATGTGTGTGTGTTTACAGTTTGTAGTCTGATATACATGATGGCATAACACAGAGTCATCAAGGACACACATACACTCACACACAGCCGCACATACAAACATCTTGTCTCGGTCAGTGAGGACTCAGTCCCTGTCTAGTCCTTGACGAGCTGACAAGCCAGGAAAGAACAAACTGTTTTGCTGTCTGCAGAGTCATAAATCTAACATGTGTACCAGTAAATGTGTTCAACCCTTTCTGAGAAGGGAGGATAGCAAAGCATTTTTAAGCGATGATGAAAATGAATTAGTGATCATCACCTTATCGGCTCCTTAAAATAGAGTTATATTTGGATTATATTCTTCAGGAAAGGCTTTACTACAGCTGTCCTTGGCAAGAAGCTAAGTTGAAATCAATACCAACTCTTTGATTCAAGGCTCTTTACTAATCTCTGTCTGTGAGCAATGTTGTTTGGTTTTTTTTATCAGGTTTTGGGAACATTTTTGGACTGATACACAACATTCTTTTAGGAACAAGCACCAAGGGAGCTCATAGATAAGTCATGAACAGTATTAGTCACCTCACTGGAGTTTAGTATTAGCTGTGAAAGCAAAGTGATGCAAGTATTTGAAGGGAAACAGAGATATGAAGTGAATAATTTCACAGTGTAATCGGCTCTTTTATTCTCTGTTTTCAGCAGAGTAATAATTGTGGAGTATTTGTTAAAGCTTGTAACAGTAACTTTAAGTTTTACCCTCCTGTTTGAAACACTGTGCCCTCTTCTTGTCTTCTCAGGTCCTGACCAAAGGGTTTGGCTTTCACCTCAGAGACCTATGTAACGCCACCCCTCTGGAGGAGTTTGTTCATATCGCCGACAGCAACGTGTCCCATCTGACTCAAGAAATTATCTGCAAGTCCTCCAGTGATTGGCTGAACAAAGCACAAAGTCACTTCCTGTCCAACTTAGACTTTCTTAAACCAATTCGGGTGAGTTATGGTTTGAAGTCAAACACCATTTAAGTGCTTTAACACCACAAATCTGTTTGAATTTAGCACCACAAAATAAAACAGGGATTAAAAATTGTTAACTTATTCTAATTGACTGCCTTTGAGGTCTTTCTGCCTTGACTGCTGATTTGACGCCAGTAACTATGACTCTAAATAGAGCTGACAAGAGGAATCACTGTCTTCTATGTCTTATAACAACCAACAAAGACCAGAGGCCCCACCAAGCTTTTCTGCTTACTCCGAAACATTTTGTTTTCTTTACTCCTTTTTCCTCCCCTCTCTGCCTGCCAAGCGTCATTTCTCCGCTGCTTCTATCTCCCCCCTCCCAACAGCATGCCCCCTTTTCCCATAAAACCCATGACCTAAATGGGAGTCATGTTGGTGAAGTATGGGTGAGGGGTGAAACAAACATTGTGTGCTGTGCAGTAGTGCTGATCTTTGGAAGATGCGAACGACAAAGAAAAAGAGACAGTCTGTGTAAGCAGTACTCGGTAACCAAGGCCGTACTTTGTTTGTAGTCCCGTTAAAGACATTTAATGAGCTTCTCTCTTGTCTCTTGATAAAAGTACAACCTCAGTTACAGGCCAAAGTATAGTTCACTTTCACAATGATGCAAGAATGGAAACTCTTTTCCCAAAAGTAACACGATTTTGCAGGAGCTGTTACATGACTCAACTCTCTAACCTTTAGTCAGCCTGCGTGTGGGTGTTTGTGTGTGTGAGAGGCACAAAAACCACTAAATTAAGAGAAAACAAGACAGAGGAGTGAACAAGTGAGAGGGAAAGATATCCGTCCTCTCTCTTTTTCCTAGAAGGCTGTTCAGTCTTCAGCGACACGTGCTTGACTGAGTGGCAGACGTTCCATCAGCTGACGGCTTAGTGTGATAGATGAGGAAACACACACACACACACACACACACACACACACACCCTACTTTGACTGACGGGAACATGGGTCAAAGCCAGGGCTGACCTGTTGTTCTTTCTCGGCACCCCTCATCCTGACCCTTGACCTCAGTGTTTTTTCTCCCCTCTTTCTCTCGCACCTCCTCCTCAGCCAAGCTTGTTTTTTTTTTTACCCTCTATTCTTTATTTATACTTTCCTGTGTCTTCTGTGGATAAAACTACAAAATACAAAGACAATAGTACCAACAAAATGCATGAATTTGCATCGTAGAATTTTACTTTTAAAACTCTATAAACCTTGATGTCTCCGACCCCTCACATGCCTGTCAGTTTATTTTAATTGTTTGTTTTATTACATATCTATTTCCAAAATTCAAAAGCTTTGAAGGCTTTGCATTATTTCAATAATCCTGTTTTTCTCCTACAGAGGGATGTCAAGGCTGATCCCAAAGTCATTCAGGAAGTTGCGGCTGCCACTGACAATCTTCTGGAGAACCTGGGATCACTGGCTGTGGAGGTAAATTCCCACAGATGTGCATGCATACATTTACACATATGCAAAGTTCACAACCGACGTATGTTACCAACACTACAGTATTTGCTTCCAAAGTTCAGATTTTACTCATAATGTCACCCAGAACTGAACTCCCGGGTCATACGAGGCCCTGGCGATATTACATACGCATGTGTACACACTGACTGCAGATCATTCATGCATTTTAAAATAGATTCATGAGGTGCAAAGAGCAACGCAGGTAATCATCATAGTCACATCAGGAAAGTCAATGAAAAGGGCAAACACGCTGCTTCATTTAGTGGAAACGACTCTTGGAAAAGCTCATAAGCTTGAATGAGTGATTTAAAATGAGACACACCCAGCAGCCGTGAGGTCTTTTTTTTCCGTGTTAACAGAATTTTCAACTTGGTTTCACCTTTTCTCTGTTTTGAAGCTGGATTCCACCACAGATTATAAACTTATTTTTGTAAAAAAAAGTGTTCATACCAACCCCTGTGAGAACAAAGAGGCTGTGTACAATGTTCCTGCAGAGGATGGCACAAAGTGTCTTACTCAGCTGACAGCCAGGTGTAGTGTTTTCATTGTCTGGCCCACACTGCATAGAATCACATGCTCTCACATTTACGCTCGCTGGCGTTTACACCTGGCCTTAACTAATGTAACACAGTCTGATGTGCTCAGATGAAAGGAGAGAAGCAGCAGTCTGTGATGCAAACGCACAAAAACAACACAACCCCCTCTCTCTTGGGCTCCAGCTCTGCTGAGTTGGCAAAAAATGAAGGCCCAGCTGCCAGCGTGGTGTGCGTGTGTGTGTGTGTGCATTTGCTGTCAAAGCAGCTGTAAGATTATTAAACAGCTTTTCTTATAGTACCTTCAGCCTGTAATTCTTCAACCTTTCCCAACACTTGTTATCCCTCTCATTGCCCTCCATGTGAGAGTGCAGTAATCACCAAACATGAGCTCTTGAAATGAGACCTTTAGATCAGTTCCTCAGGTGTGACATTTCGACGGGCAGATCCGACACATGGACTGAAAGAGCATTTTATCTAATCACTAATTACTCTGTCCATTTCTAAAATCCTTCCACTTCAGCTGGTATTACTTTGTCTGAAGCCGATTATATGGGTTAGCTTAGCTGGTTGGTAGATGGGCTGCAAAGCTGGCAGAGTGAAAAATGTACTCATGTAACCTTCGTTCCCTAACCAGTAATCATCTGCAGCCTGTATTTCAATCCAGGCTTATCACTGGTGAGAGGCAAAAAGTACTACAGGGATAATGTGATTTATTCTGTACAAACAGATGTCTTGAAAAGCCCAGAATAACTCTGCCTTTACCTCCAGTACTAAAACTGAGTCAAGTTTAACAAAACTCACCTGATATTTTGACTAGTTTATCAATTAAAGCTGATAGGCTGTGTTTGTCATATAAATGTTGCTAAATCCTAATTAGCTGCACTTTTCTCCAGAAACCCTCGCCTCTGTCAGCGAGAAGATTATTTTGTTCAGCTCAGAACAGCTCTGAAAGAGCAGAGAGCGAATAATCGGAAATCACTCCCAGCCTTTTACAACAAGTGATGCTAAAGCCTCCATTATGGTAAAATAAGACGAGTAAATTTCACTAAATTAAGTTAATTAATGTCATTTTTGGAAACATAAGTGGCATTCATCTTTATTGTACTGTTTGCTGTAATAGGATTGAGTGGTTGCTTAGCAAAGCATTAGCCTCGATGCTAAGACACACAGTCATAGTCGTCTCTGAAAAATTAATAACATGCCTTTGTGTATTTAATTCTTACAGGTAGACTATAAAACTATGGTAGGATGTAGGACGTTCTTCCTCAGTCTTAAGGTTTTTAGACGATGACCTGGTTAGGCTAAATTGTATTTACATTTCATAAGTTTTTGTTAACAGTTAATTTATGATTGGCCAATCAGCAGGTCTGGACTACATAGCTGTCTGTTGAAGTGGAACTGTGAACTATAGTAACCTCAGACAGGCTGCGCTAAGAGGTTACTGTGGGACAATCCTCCTCTGCTGCCTTTCTATTCTGTAGAGTGTGTATGTGCGAGCGTGTGAGTGAGTTACTCATCCCGTCAACCAAGTTAACATGGGCATCATCCCTGTAGGGAAGTGACATGTATGCTCAGTCACACATGAATATGCACTTGCAAAGACCCACACACACTTGGCAGACGGTCTGCCGCGCACGATCAGAAGTTGCAAAATGTGCTGAAGAAGATGTTAGTTTGTGGGTGTGCAAACATCCAACACCATAACAGTGGGAATCAAATTGTGGTTTAGTCATTGTTCTTGTGTTTGCAGCTACTGTAGCCCCAGGTATAAACACACATATTTAAAGGTACACACACACACACGCGTTGAAAACCTGGGAACCTTTTTATGCAAAAACACAAAGGAAAACTATCGACCTAAAAGAGACAGCTATGCAAACACTCCAAAGCAACCTTCGCATTGTAACACCTGGTTTTTGTGACAGGAAAGCATGTGACAGGTTTGATGTTGCTGCGGGCTCAGCTGTGAGGCTGATCTGTGATCTGAGATGCAACAGTTCACTCGGTCTCACTTTCTCTTCGCTGGTAAACAGTGTTGAATATCTTGTGGATGGAAAGAGTCGCAAACAGTAGCCAGCTGACTTGAAATAACACAGAGTCGACAGAGAGAACAGCGCTGTTTGTTCTGAAACAGCCATGCATGCCATGTTAGGTTCTCCTGTCTGCTTGAGCCTCGTCCCACCAGCATGTGTTTATGCGTGCAAGTGTGTTTGTGTGTCAGCGCGTGTAACAGCGCTCAGCTTGATGAGCCAGCAGAGCTTTGCCTATTAGGGATGACCTATAGTAACCTCTCTTTGTTCTCGCACCTTCTTCTCTGTGCTTATTACCAACTCCTGCTCCACTGTTTCTTCATATGTTCTTTCTTTCTTTCTTTCTTTCTTTCTTTCTTTCTTTCTTTCTTTCTTTCTTTCTTTCTTTCTTTCTTTCTTTCTTTCTTTCTGTCTTTCTTTCTTTCTTATCTCAACTCCTCATATATTCAGCTCAGGAAAGGGTCCGCTTCTCTCAGCCTCGATACCTCTCTCACACACACGCACACACACACACATATCTTGAGCTTTACCTAAGCCAATGTACCCCCCTCCCTCCTGTAGTTCACACTTAGCAAACAAAAGCTCCCCTTCTCTTCCTCCTTGTCTTTATTTAACTTGCACAGAGAGCACAACTCCCCGTGTTGTTCCTTCCGTATCACGAGTCGGTGACATAATTGCATGTGCAGTTGACCAGTTTTGAGACATGAACAGGGAGCTTGTGGCGACTTGTCTCTTGACCTGTAGTAACCTCCGCCTGAACCAAAATGAACTCGCTGCTGTCTTCAGTCTGACGTAACATCAACTACGTCGTAAAGAGAAAATCAAGCCCATATTTCAGGAGAAAAAGAAACTAAAGTCTAGAGTCTGTTTGAGTTGCACTGGAGAGATGTGACTATAACACCTCTGCTCAACTTTAAAGCATCATTTTGCCGAACTGAGAACAATGACTTACTCCAAATACTCCAGTCCTAGACTCAGTGGTTTCATTTTGTTTAATAAAAACACACTCTTAATGCGTTTGGGCTTGCATCCATTATTTATGACTTTGCCAATGGCATCAAACCATGATGATGGTAGCTGAGCAGCAGCAGCAGCAGCACAACACATTTTGGTGTGTTGGATAGGCAGAGGCAAAATACAGTATGAGAGCCCTTTCTTTTATTTCTTAAAAACATTTAACCTCTGAACATTAGTAAACACAGGACAGCTCCTACATACTCCATGAACTAATATTCAAGTTTATTTTAGGCTAATTAAATCTAAATCGAGTGTAGTATGTCATCTGACCTCTTTTCGGAGAGAAATACAGATCCACACGGACACATGTCCTCACACAGGAGGAACAGGCATGTGCGTGTGAAGAGGGGGGAGATAGGACCGGGAACAGCAGTTAAATTTATCTTAGTCAGACAGACGGCTAAGTGCTGAGTGAGTGTCTCCACCCTACAGTGCAACACTTCCCCGTCCAAAATACCTCTTAGAGAGCAGTTGATAACCTCTAATGACTCGAACCTACAGTGTTATATGCACATATAAGGGTTTCTGTAAGCTGCGTCTGTTTTTGAGATGACACCCTTTCAAACATTTTGATGTCTTACACTGTATGTTCCAGTATTTGAGACATACTGAAAGAAGAAGCACCTACAGGGACATAAAAAGAGAAACAAAAACAGTAACTGTAAATCCCAACAGTGAGAGGTATCCAGAGTCACAGTTATTATATGGTGAATATTGCTGTTAGAGACCTCTGGGGTTTATTTCTATGTGTTTTCAACAAAGATCTGAATTATGGACAACTAATGTTCATTTTCCCCTCAATTTTCCTCACTCTTTTATCATGGATAGAGCATTAAGATGTGTTTTTGTGTATTTATATCACCAACTTTGAAGACCTGGACTTGATCATGCTCATATTTTTATGTGTTTACCCCTGTAGCTTGCCAGTATGAAAAGTTGGAAGGATATGCGTAAGGAGATCCTGTATCTGACTGCAAACGCCACAAGCTCTCCAAATCAGATGTACCAGGCTGTGTCACGTATCGTTTGCGGACACCCCGAGGGGGGTGGCCTCAAAATCAAGTCCCTCAACTGGTATGAAGACAACAATTACAAGGCCCTGTTTGGGAACCATGGCAACGACAGCGACAATGAACCTCTGTCTGCTTATGATAACTCCTCAAGTAAGTTTCCACAATCACCTGAAATAACGTCGACCTTTCTCTGCTCAATGAGTTCCTGACAGTTATTTACCAGAAAAGGCAGACAAGGTTAAAGTCTTGAATCTCTGTGGTTGTTTTCCAGCACCTTATTGTAACAACATGATGAGGAGCCTGGAGTCAAGCCCCATTTCCAGGATGATCTGGCGAGCTCTAAAGCCTCTGCTCATGGGGAAGATCCTGTATACCCCAGATACTCCAGCAACACAGAGAATCATCCATGAGGTATGAAAATGCCTCTTTTATCTCCAAAACCCCAATTGTGATCATGAGTGTTGCCCAATTCAATGAAACGGTGTGTTTTACAGGTTAATAAGACCTTCCAGGAGCTTGGCGTGCTGAGGGATCTTGGAGGGATGTGGGAGGAAATGAGGCCTAAAATCTGGAACTTCATGGAGAACAGCGAGGAAATGGACTTGGTCAGGGTAAGTTGGAGTGATTTACAACACACCCAATATGCACGTCAGAGCTTTGTTCCTGGAGCTCTTCCTGTTTACACGACAGGGTTGAAGCCAGTTATCTGGCATCCACATAATTATGTCTCTGATGTTACTGCGAAGGAAGTCACTGCCACTCATGTTACTTTAGTTTGGCCCTATATTATTAAAAAAACAAACCAAGTCGTCAATAAAGTCACAAAATCAGTTTATCCTTTTCATACCAGGGTGATAGTTTTAATGTGGAGAGAGAGGACCCAGGCAAAGAGATGATATGTCTCTGTGCTGGTTTTGCCTTTTAGATAAACACCAGAGTGGTAAAAATGAGAGACTGATACACAGTGTGATAAATTCATTGAGAGCTCACCAATAAAACTACTATCTGAAACAAGACAGAGGAACAGTCTGGATGGTAACAAAACTAATAAAATACATCCAGAAACATTTGATCTTCTCCTGATCTCACCAAACAAAGTCACTGTAGCAGAATATTTCTACTTTTAGCAGTTATTACAAAAAAAAAACCTCAATATAAAAGCACATGTTTCAAAACATGGCTAGAAATCTTCTTTTTTCCCAACGTGCCACTTTTTTTCTCTAGCAAATTGCATGAGCACCACTTCCACCTAGTGGTGAAATGTGGTACTGTCAAGGAATGTCAAGGTCCATAAAATGAGCCCCTGAATAATTAATCAATTGAATTTGAATTTCCTTTCAGAGTTTTTAATAAGCCATCTCCATCCGAGATAAAACAGGCCTTGTGTCATATTCAGTTTTGGTCGTTAATTGACAAGAGGACTGCGCTCACTGAATGAAGAGACATAGTTTAATGTGTCTGTGAAAACAGAATTCAGATGACATGAAAATAGGTCATTGGCCAAAGAAGCCAAACAGGGTGCAGCAGCATGAAAGGTCACACTCTGATGATTCAACACTTTTTTTTTTTTACAGTATTTCTTTGACACGAATGACGGTGCTGGAAGAAGACGGTCAAAAAGATGTTAAAGTTTCATAACAGTGACACTTTGAGCCACTCATCTGCATCTAGTACTTCATTAACCTGAACAATACAAACCCTTTTTTTTCACAGACCTTGCTCCAGAACAACGCAAGTGCTGCCTTCTTCAATGCTCAGCTCAGTGGGACTGACTGGCGTGTGTCAGATGTGTCCAAATTTCTGTCGAAGGTCTCAGAGGACCAAAGACCAACAGGATCAGCCTACACCTGGAGAGAGGTTTTCAATGAAACAGACCAGGCCATACAGACCATCTCCCGCTTCATGGAGGTTAGTTTGGTGACAAAACAAGAGAAACAAAAACATATGTAAATACATGTATGGACTGCTTGGGACAGTTTCAACACACTTGCAGGTGTTGGGGTGAAATGCTGGGTCTGCTAAAGTGTCGTTTTGTTATTATTTCTCATTAAGGTCAAGCGACATAGAAAACCCAGCAGAGAAATAGGTTAAATACTAGCTGTCTAAAGATGTTATATATAGCATTACAACATCCTTGACTATCTTTTATTTTTCTTTAATTCACTTTCAACAGCAATTAGATCCTGGCAGGGCTATTAAAAGTCTTGAAATCAAATGTTCTTTCCCTTCCCCGGTCAAATCGAATTACTACCCCGCTGAGTCCGTCACAGTTCTCTGTCTCTGCATTGTGGGTCAGTGTGCCGGAGCCGAGCCCTAAGGATAAACAGCCACTGACAAACCCCTGCCAACTGTTAATTGATGTTCATGCCCTGATGAATGGCCACTTGTGATCTGTTTTATCTTTGCCAGGGAATTTCTCCAATGAGCCTTAAAAGTAAACACAAATGTCAAAGTTTTACCGCAGATATGTTACGATCAGACTACCTCTGATATTGTAACGATGTTGCAACTATAAATGAAGTTTTTAATGTGATTCAAAACCACCTTGCAACCTCAAACTCCTCCTCTCCTTATCAATTATACTTATGTTGGGTGTTGCATGAAAAAGCACTAAGACAGTCATAAACATAAAAAACATCACATGCAGTGTACAAAGGTTATCAGCACCATGACATTTCTATTATTCATGTCAAACTGCACAAACCAGCCCACTGACCTAGTGACTGTGTCCCACCTTTAAAAGAGGTCATATAATGAGTATAAACTGACATTCCTCACTAACAAAAACTATGTCAAGGCCCCCTCTACTATAAACACTTTTAATGCCAACAGCATTAGGAGCCTGCTTTTCATTATGCTGCTGTTTGCTTCTCACAGGTTGTGAGGGAATGAGGTTTAAGTCAGCTTATGTCAGCTCTGAAACGTCTGTGAGAGGGTAATCTGAGAGCCTTTTCTCAACAAATCAACTCCGACTCAGTTACAGAGTGTCTATTCAAAGCTCATGATCTGTGTTAAAGGTTGCAGAGTTCATTGTTGTTTTTCAACTCCAGAAGAATATCTGAGAGGAGGAGAGCATGTGATTGTATGAGCTGGATTTATTGTGATTGGTTTGTTTAGAGCCCACAAGAATCTGTCACTCAAAAAGACCATTTCTTGTAAGCGCATTGAGTAGTTATGACCCAACAAACCCAACAAACACAATGAGGCTCTTTAGATTTATATCCCATAACCCCCCTCTCTCTTCTCCTTTCAGTGTGTGAACCTGGACAAGCTGGAACCAGTTGCAAATGAGGAGAAGTTGGTTAACAAGTCAATGGGTTTACTGGACAATCAGAAGTTCTGGGCCGGAATAGTGTTTCCTGACATCGCCCATGGCAACAGCGCTGACCTGCCTCCCAACGTGAACTATAAGATCCGTATGGACATTGATAACGTGGAAAGGACAAACAAGATTAAGGACGGGTAAGAGAGTGTGTCCACATTTTGTGTTAGATCATTTGAAGGTTTTTTTTCTGTCCTGAGCTTACTGATTTCATTTTGTTTGACAGGTATTGGGACCCTGGTCCCAGGGCAGACCCCTTTGAGGACCTTCGGTACATCTGGGGTGGATTTTCTTACCTGCAGGACGTCATCGAGCACGGAATCATCCGAGCTGTCACCGGGAGTAAGGAAAGGACCGGCATCTACATTCAGCAGATGCCTTACCCCTGCTATGTCGATGACATGTAAGTGGCCATCATGCAGAGTATAAAACACGCTTCACCTTACAACTTGATAGTTGTTTGAAAAGGTATACAATTGTTTTTTAACTCTTTTTGTGACAGCTTCCTGCGGGTGATGAGCCGCTCGATGCCTCTCTTCATGACCCTGGCGTGGATGTACTCAGTCGCCATCATCATTAAGGGAGTAGTATACGAGAAAGAGGCTCGACTGAAGGAGACGATGAGGATCATGGGACTGAACAACGGCACCCTGTGGCTGAGCTGGTTCATCAGCAGTTTAATCCCACTGCTGATCAGCGCAGGCTTGTTGGTGATGTTATTAAAGGTCAGTGTTGCACAAATGCATGTGCGCGGACTCTGTCAGCATACAGGAATGTCAGCAAAATGACTAATCCTGATGTTTGTGCTCAACATTTAGCTAAATACTGACTCTGGTTTTCCAGGATTGCAACAATTTGCCTGAGGAGTCATAATGTTGTAACCAGGCAGTGATCTAATTTTCTGTTTTGCCCTGCCTTTCCTCTTTAGATGGGAAACCTGCTGCCTTACAGTGACTCAGGAGTGGTGTTTCTTTTCCTGGGCTCTTTTGGGGTGGTCACCATCATGCAGTGTTTCCTCATCAGCACCATGTTTTCTCGTGCCAACCTGGCCGCTGCCTGCGGGGGCATCATTTACTTCACCCTCTACCTGCCTTATGTGCTGTGTGTCGCCTGGCAAGACTATGTGGGCTTCGGAGCAAAAGTTGTGGTGGTAAGTAGAGAAAATCTGTTGTCATGAAGTGATAAAGTAGGCCCCTGGACTTTTGTCAAATGATCTAGGTTATCACACATCCAACACTCAGTGTTGTTTCACTCTTCTCTCAGAGCCTGCTGTCTCCTGTGGCGTTTGGTTTCGGATGCGAGTACTTTGCCTTGTTTGAGGAGCAGGGGGTAGGAATCCAGTGGTCCAACCTGCTGGCCAGTCCTTTGGAGGAAGACAGCTACAACCTGACCACGTCTATCAGCCTCATGCTGTTTGACGCTGTGCTCTATGGAATAATGACCTGGTACATTGAAGCCGTCTTTCCCGGTGAGTCTTTGTTTATGTTTGGTGTTGTCATGATTTATTTCCTTTAAAGAGCCTAATCCATAACTTTCAGCCCATGCAAAGTTTTTGGAGAACAATTCTGACAACAGAACGTTTTTACTTTATTCTCAGGTCAGTACGGGATACCCAGACCTTGGTACTTCCCTTTCACCAGGACATACTGGTGTGGGGAGAAAGAAAACCAGAACCTCTCCACCCCTTTGTCTAAGAAGGGCAATGCTGAAGGTACAAATCATTGTCACTATTTTGTCTACTGTAAAACTTTGAATTGAGTCAAAAGTTAAAGACGCAGATTGATGGTGAGTCTTTGCTGAGCAGCTTGTTTTTTATCGTTGTTTCACCCACAGCTGTGTGTATCGAGGAGGAGCCCAGCCACATCGAGCCAGGTGTTTACATCGAGAATCTGGTGAAGGTCTACAGCCATGGAAACAAGCTTGCTGTAGACGGGCTGTCCTTGAGGTTCTACAATGGGCAGATCACCTCCTTCCTTGGCCACAATGGAGCTGGCAAGACTACAACCATGTAAGAGAATTCACATTACCTGGAATACATCAGTAAGATCTGTTCCACTGAAGCAAGCAAGATTTGAGTGAGGATAGCTGTTAATAGATGTTGTTGTTGTGTTTGATTTCTGATAGGTCAATCCTGACTGGGTTGTTTCCACCTACCTCTGGCACAGCCTATATCCATGGCAAAGACATCCGGACTGAACTCAGCACCATCCGACAGAATCTGGGCGTCTGTCCCCAGCACAACGTACTTTTCAGCATGTATGTATTCAGTCAAGATCTTGACATTTTTAGACCAAGAACTGTATTCTTTTCAAACCAACAGCAGCCTCCACTGATTATGTAACTGTGTGTTTTTTTTGTGGGGGGGTTTAGGCTGACAGTAGAAGAACACATCTGGTTTTACGCCCGTCTGAAGGGGCTGCCCGAGGAGAAGGTGAAGGCTGAAATGGAACAGATTGTTAATGATGTTGGACTACCTCACAAACGAAAGTCCCGCACAAGCACGCTGTCCGGTCAGTTTTCTAAATGTTATCAGACACGTTTAATCCATGGATTTACACATGTATGGTGTGTGCGGACACTGTTAATCTGACAGGTTTTTGCATTTTTGCCTTACAGGAGGAATGCAGAGGAAGCTCTCAGTGGCTCTGGCTTTTGTTGGAGGGTCAAAGGTTGTGATCCTCGATGAACCGACTGCTGGGGTTGATCCTTATGCACGCAGGGGCATCTGGGACCTCCTACTCAAATACAGACAAGGTACATTTAAGAGAAAACTTATTCTTAGCCATACAGTTGCTGTGTATTCTTGTAAATCTCTTGCATGTGCACAGACGGTAATCAGACCTCTGTTTTCTGTGTCAGGCCGCACCATCATCCTGTCCACTCACCACATGGATGAGGCTGACATCCTGGGTGACCGCATCGCCATCATTTCCCACGGCAAGCTGTGCTGTGTTGGCTCCTCGCTCTTCCTGAAGACACAGTTGGGAACAGGCTATTACCTGACCCTGGTCAAGAGGGACTACGATCTGACACTTCAGTCCTGTAGGAACTCTGCCAGCACCGTCTCCTACTGCAAGAAGACAGAAAAAGTAAGCGCAGATGACTTTTTTTTAATGTGAAAAAGGCTTCTTGTTATTAAAAAACATGTTTTTATTTTCAAGTCTAACAAACCAAAACTCTTCACCCTGTTGCCTCTGCTTTAGGAGGACAGTGTGTCAGAGAGTAGCTCAGATGCTGGCCTTGGCAGCGAACCAGAAAGTGAAACCACCACTATCGGTAAGAACTGACTGTCTTTTAGCCTTTTAAGAGGAGGGTTTATGTCTGACTTTGCAAAGTATTGAAGATGTCAATGTTCCTCTAACTATTTTGACTCATTTCCTCTCTCCAGATGTGTCCCTCATCTCCAACGTGATTTTCAAGCATGTCTCCGAGGCTCGCCTGGTTGAGGATCTTGGTCATGAACTCACATATGTCCTGCCCTACCAGTCAGCTAAAGATGGAGCCTTTGTGGAGCTCTTCCATGAGCTGGATGACCGACTCACTGACCTGGGAATATCTAGTTATGGAATATCTGATACCACGCTGGAGGAGGTAAAAAACATTTCGTCTGGTTGCTTTTAAACTGTCATTTTAAATTCCATGTTTGGACTGAATGTAACGCATCTTGAATCTGCAGATTTTCTTGAAAGTGGCGGAGGACAGTGGAGTGGATTCTGTTGAGCTTTCAGGTAAGATTCAGATATTTTAACACCCATATCTAAAGTAGCACCATCCATGTTAAAGAGATAAACGAAACAGCAGAGCTCAGATGGTTTTAATAAACATGGTGACCCTCCTTTGTTGCAGACGGAGTTGTGCCAACCAGGACTCGTCGCCGCCATGCCTTTGGAGACCACCAGAGCTGCCTGAAGCCCTTCACTGAAGATGACTTTGACTTCAACGACTCTGAAGGTGACCCAGGTAGAACTGCACTACCCAGCATGCAGTGCAATGATAACGGCATTCTTGTTGCTATCATTACTTTAGGATTTCATTGTTAAATAGTTGGATGGACTCAAAATCATCATCATCACGTTGAAAGTTTGTTGTCTCCTGTTCATGGTCCTGGTGTGTAGAATCTCGTGAGACTGACTGGCTCGGTGGAACAGATGGCAAAGGTTCATACCAGGTCAAAGGTTGGAGTCTGAAGAGACAGCAGTTTGTCGCACTCCTCTGGAAACGGTTCCTCTACGCCCGACGCTCCAGGAAAGGATTCTTCGCTCAGGTACCATTTATTAGTTTGTTCAGTTACACAAACAATGAGGCAAATTTTGCCTTTCATCAGCCGTACAGGAGTTTTATAATGATTTCACTGTCTGTTGTATTTCAGATTGTTCTTCCTGCTGTGTTTGTGTGCATCGCCCTGGTGTTCAGTCTTATCGTTCCTCCGTTTGGAAAATACCCAAGTTTGGCGCTTGATCCTGGCATGTATGGAGAGCAGTTTTCCTTCATCAGGTGAGTTTTCTTATTTCTTTCTTGAAGAGACTGCATCTTACTCTCCATTATATAAATCTCTCTATATATATATATACTGGAGTAGTTTTATTTCCAGCTTTAAAGTGCACATCTTATGAAAAATGCAAAAGGTTATCTAACTGCGCAAAGGTTTGCCTGGAACTAAAAGTGTACATTTAAAGCTCACTGGCTGACCAATCACTTAGTAGAGTCGTCTAAAAGGAACTTCCTGTTATATAATAGAAACAGGAGGATGAAGTCCTCTTCAATGTTGGTGTGTCATAGGTAGAAGCATCCAGGCATTTAATTTTATTCTTATTCAGACTCTAAGATGTATAACCAAAGGGTATTTGTTGTCTCCTCTCATTAGTAATGACCTTCCTGAAGACCCTCACATTAACAAACTACTGGGAGCTCTGACTGATAAACCAGGATTTGGAACTCGCTGCATGGAGGGAGAGCCCATACCGTGAGTTTGCCAACATTTAAATCGACAAACTTTGACTGTAAATAAAAACAAATCAGAAGCACACCTCACTGCTTCAAATTAATTAAGAAGAACAACTTCTCTTGTGTCTCTCCATTCTCCAGGGACACTCCCTGTACTGCACTCGAGGATGAATGGTCGATACCACAAGTCTCTCAAAGTGTAAAGGACCTGTTCGACAATGGAAACTGGTCTATGGAGAATCCGTCCCCGTTGTGTGAGTGCAGTTGTGGAGGACGCAAGAGGATGTTACCAGAGTGCCCTGCAGGTGCCGGGGGACTCCCACCGCCACAGGTTTGTGAAGCTAAACAATCAAGTGTCGATATATTAAGTGGACCTTCTCTTTCTTTTCACTGACAAATATACAAGCTGACTAGAAATGGACTTTTTGTGTATCTAGATGAAGACCAGTGAAACGGACACTCTTCAGAATTTGACTGGGAGAAATGTCTCTGACTATCTGGTTAAGACCTACGCTCAGATCATTGGCAAGAGGTAACACTCCCTATAGCCCTGTAACATGTTCACGCTACATCATGTTTTTTTGTGATTTACAGACAAGGCATTTAATCTTTCCTTTCTTGTCCTACAGCTTGAAGAACAAGATCTGGGTAAACGAGTTCAGGTACATTACCACACTTAATCCACCTCGAGTTTGTTGGTCAGTTATTTAAACCCCAGTGCCTCGCTGCAATATCCTTCACTGATATTGAAACTGTTTTCTCTTTACACAGATATGGTGGATTCTCACTAGGCGCCAGAAACTCTGAGTTTCTTTCCCAGACTGATGATATTGATGTTGCAATCGCTCAGCTGAGGAGACGCTTCCGGCTGGAGAGAGTGAGTGCTTTTTATTTTGTCTTTATATGACAAACTGAGTATAAAACTCCTGTGGCCAAGCAGCTGAGACCATGAGATTGACAAATATCTAATTGTCATTTTGTCATTTTAATGGCTTTAATCACCTTGAGTTAGAATACGTTACACTGTTGGGAGAAGGTAGAGAGAGATTTTTTTGTTAGAAAACACTTCATGACCAGTATAGATAAAACACCATGTGCTGGATACAACAACTAATTCTCACATTTTTTAAATTTTTTTTTTCATTATGACAGCTTTGTAGAATTAGACAGGATAGAGTGATCCTTTACCACTGAAGGTTAGAGCAGCATAAGCCTGCCTATGTATCTAATAAGACTCTGTCCCTCTTTCTTCTTCCCTGTTCTCTAGGGAACAGCAGCAGATCGTTTCTTTCACAGTCTCTCCAATTTTATCCAAGGACTGGACACCAAGAATAACGTCAAGGTCAGCGCGCGCACACACACACACACACACACACACACACACACACACACACACACACACTCTCATTATACAACTGCACGTGGCTCTGTAGGTTACCTTCAAGCTTCTAAATCCTTCAACAGGGACATGAAACATGCTTTACTAGCTCAGTGAATACTAATAATAATAATAAATGTAATAATAATAATAATAATAACAGTGAATGTAATAATAATAATAATAATAATAATTGCTTTTTCCTTTGATGTTTTACCAACAATTGCAGTTGATTTTTCATCATTTGTATGAACCAAAGTCAAAAGCTAGAATTTGAACTTTTAATTGCAACATTTTATGCACTTAGGTAACCCTTTGAATTTCCTTGACAACTTCTGAAAGGATAAATAAAGTCTGATCTAATTTAATCCAATCTAGTCTAAACCCCTTTCCTTAGATTTGATATTGAAAAGCTTCAATGTGACAACATAAAAACAGTTGCCAAAAAAATCACTAGTTTGGTCCAACTTAAGTGAGTAAAACTGGAGAGGGGAAAACGTAAAAAGCATCATCTTTTCTCTCATGCAGGCTCGAGACATTTCTCTGATAATAAACTAATTTACTCCTGGATTGTCCATCCTAAACCGAAAGCACTAAAATCCCTGCTTCTTCTCTTCCAGATCTGGTTCAACAACAAAGGCTGGCACAGCATCGGCTCCTTCCTCAATGTGATGAACAACGGCATCCTGCGAGCCAGTCTAAAAGGCAAAGACCCGACAAAGTTTGGCATCACTGCCTACAATCACCCGCTCAACCTGACCAAGGAGCAGCTGTCACAAGTCGCCCTGTGAGTATTATTAAAGAAGTACAACAGGGCATTGAACTCTTGAATAAGAAGTCACTCCTAATCCTAACCTTCTTCTCGGATTTGCTCTCCCTCTCCCAGGATGACAACATCAGTCGATGTGCTGGTTTCCATCTGTGTGATCTTCGCCATGTCCTTCGTTCCTGCCAGTTTTGTTGTCTTCCTCATCCAGGAGAGAGTGAACAAGGCCAAGCATATGCAGTTCATCAGCGGCGTGCAGCCTTTCCTCTACTGGCTTGCTAACTTTGTCTGGGATATGGTAAGATAACGCAAAAACAAAACATTTGTGCTTTTCAGTTGAAATAAAAGTGATGTGAAATCAAGGGTGATTAGACCCGTGGAAGCCTCTTTTTCACTCTCCATCTCTTTTCTTCTTTCAGTGTAACTACATCGTTCCAGCCACACTGGTCATCATCATCTTTGTGTGTTTCCAACAAGACGCCTACGTCTCCTCCACCAATCTGCCCGTACTGGCTCTGCTGCTGCTGCTCTATGGGTAAGTTACACAATCAATCAATGTGGCTTTTTCGATCTTCATAATTCCAGCTCTTCTCATCCAAAATGATCTTGCTATCTCTCACCAGGTGGTCAATCACTCCCCTGATGTACCCAGCCTCATTCTTCTTTAAGATCCCCAGCACGGCTTATGTGGTCCTGACCAGTGTGAACATCCTGATCGGAATCAACGGGAGCGTCTCCACATTTGTACTGGAGCTGTTTGGAAGCAATGTAAATAATTTGGCTCACATAATCACAAACTTGCTCTTTACTTGAAAAAAAAGAAAAAATAACTAAAAATGAATGACTGACCTTGTTTTCTGTCTTCCAAAGGAAATCGGTGGCATTAATGACATCCTGAAGAACGTGTTCCTCATCTTCCCTCACTTCTGTCTGGGCAGAGGTCTGATTGACATGGTGAAAAATCAGGCTATGGCTGATGCTTTGGAGAGATTTGGTAATTACAGCAGATCTGAAACAAGCAGGAAATGTAAAATCTTTATCTTTACTTGGTTATTAATGTCGTTTCTCTGGTGTTCACTTTAGGTGAAAACCGATTCCGCTCTCCTTTGGCCTGGGACATGGTGGGAAAGAACCTGTTTGCAATGGCGATAGAAGGGGTGGTCTTCTTCTGTATCACGGTCCTCATTCAGTATCGCTTCTGCATCAAGGCCAGGTAGGTTACCCTTCTGGTACAATCGCATACAATCAGCGCTTACAGTCCCTTGTGAGTCTGTGTTAAACGTGACCTGTCCTCTCCCTCTGTCCATCCAGGTCCTCCACCAGTCATCTGAAGCCAATCGGCGAAGAGGACGAAGATGTGGCCAGAGAGCGGCAGAGGATCCTGAGCGGAGCGGGACAGTCTGACATTCTGGAGCTCAGACAGCTTACCAAGATTTACAAGCGGAAACAGAAGCCTGCGGTGGACCGGCTGTGTGTCGGCATCCCCCCTGGAGAGGTACGGTACACCACAATTGACACTGGACACACACAAAGACACAAACCAGACATGGATGTTAACGTTGTCCCTCTTCTTCTGCAGTGCTTTGGTTTGCTGGGGGTGAACGGTGCAGGGAAAACCAGCACCTTCAAAATGCTAACAGGAGACTCGGTGGTCACCTCTGGAGAGGCTTATCTGGCTGGCAAGAGGTAAGTCACATCAAACCAAACCATATGCAGTACATACAGTAAGTTTAAGTTTAGGTCAGACATACTTCTAGTTCAATCAGGCTGACTGAGAGACGAGTGGAGAAGTCACAGTGGAATTTTTCTTACATAAATTAATTGGTATACATAGATAATGTGACCATCAACTCCTCATTCTCTTCCTCATTTGTTTCCCCACCAGTGTAAACACAGAGATTGACGAGGTGCATCAAAACATGGGCTACTGCCCTCAGTTTGACGCCATCAACGACCTGCTGACAGGAAGAGAACACCTGGAGTTTTACGCCATCCTGAGAGGAGTACCAGAAAAGGAAGTCTGCGAGGTAATGAACACATGAGCACAAAGACATGGATGCAAAGTAAACACATTCAGTCATGATGAATTACTCATGAAATATTGGTCTTGCCCACTAGGTGGCAGATTGGGGCATCAGGAAGCTGGGCTTGGTCAAATATGTGGACAAGGCAGCTGGCAGCTACAGCGGGGGAAACATGAGGAAACTGTCTACAGCCATCGCTCTCATCGGAGGACCTCCTGTAGTCTTCCTGGTCAGTGGAACATATTCAAACACGTGTGAATACATGTGAATTATTTTGCTAGCAGCAGGGTCGCTAAGAGGACCACACTGTTTTCCCTGAGTTCAGAAGATTGTGTGTCCGACAGTTTTGTAGCACCAGCTCAGTATCTTTTGTCTGCTGTTCACAGGATGAACCAACCACAGGCATGGACCCGAAAGCTCGACGTGCTCTGTGGAACGCAATCCTAAGCATCATTAAAGAGGGACGATCTGTAGTCCTGACCTCCCACAGGTTAGACCAGAAACCTAATAACATGCACTCACTCATATGCCAAAAAGTGTATATTTTCATTATTTTGTGTACCTATTCCACCCTGTCCCATCTCTGACCTGTGTGTCTCTTGTTTTGTAGCATGGAGGAGTGTGAAGCGCTCTGCACCAGAATGGCCATCATGGTCAACGGCAGGTTCCGCTGTTTGGGCAGTGTGCAACATCTCAAAAACAGGTGAGCTAGAAAAGCTTCTCAGAAATCATAAATTTAAAAGAAATCACAACCTAATCACCGAGACATCCAATCTGATTGAGATATTCTTCATGTCCTGCTCATGTCAGGTTTGGTGATGGCTACACCATCATCTTGCGGGTGGCAGGTCCAGACCCTGACCTCCGGCCAGTGATGGAGTTCATTGAGCGGGAGCTTCCTGGCAGCACTCTGAAAGAGAAACACCGGAACATGCTGCAGTACCAGCTGCCCTCTTCCCTCACCTCACTCGCCCGCATCTTTTCCTTGCTCTCCAAGAACAAGGATGTGCTCAGCATAGAGGACTACTCAGTCTCCCAGACGACTTTAGACCAAGTAAGCATGATTAAACAGGATTAACAGTATCATGTCTTTAGTTTAGACTCAGTCTAATACCTGGTTCTCCTCTTTTCCCTACCGCAGGTGTTTGTAAACTTTGCCAAGGACCAAAGTGATGAGGACCATTTGAAAGACATCCATCTGAACAAGAGGGATGCGGTGGTAGTGGACATTTCCCAACTGAACTCTTTCCTTATGGATGACAAGACCAGGGAGAGCTGTGTCTAACTCCACCCACCGCTAACAGTGGGAACTGGAAGGCCTCTCCCTCCCTTCTCTTTTCCCAGAAAACATGGACCACTAAACTGTGAGGGAGAAAGACAATGTTCATTTTTTTAATTCTATTTTTTAGTCTTTTTTAATTCTCATTTTTCAGTGGACCTGCATTTCAGCGCACAGCCTCTCACAGAGGCAGACTCTGCAGGTTTAGTGACGGACACTGAACAATGAAAACTCAATGCAAATCAATGCAAGAAATATAAATAAATATATTTAAGATGAGAAGATATTCCAGTGAGGGAGAAGACTGGTGCTTCTTCTTCACTAGACAGACGGAAAGGAAGGAAGGAAAAACTGAACGCTTGAAGCGACAGCGGGATTATAATCCTGTGTTCGACTGGAATGCTTGTCCTGCTACTCACAAACAACAAATGGGGATGTTGGAAGGAAATATCTCAAGTTCTCCAACCCCCGTGGTCCTAGAAGTAGTGAGACGTAGTCAGTGGCGGGACTGTGTTTGCGCTGCTTTCACAACGGCAAAAAGAAGAGCTTTGTTCATTCACTGCCAACCTCTAATATCAGGGTCAAACCTTTTTTTTTCTTTTTGCTCTCAATTGGTCAACAAGAGTTGTCATAGCGAAAATGCTGAAGAAAGCATTTACAATCCTACTGATTTCAACCGCAAACAGAAATCAAACATATTTTTTTAAGACATTTTGATTCTAATAGACCAACCTAACCTTTCCGAGCTTTTTTTCCCTCTAATTCTGGTTGAATAACAGTTAATATTAAGACTGATGACTAATTGTTTTTTTTTTTTTATACGTTGTTCTCTGTGTCCTTGACATTGTCCAGCACAGTGCCTATACTGTATCGTGGTGGAAAGAGAAATCTGAGCACTCCATTAAAGAAACAGCAATGTATGTGGGCTGCTCAGGAATGTAAACAACCGATACCATCATGCATCAAAGCACAAAAAAGGAGCTTTTTGTGAAGATGATGAATGAAACTTGACTGTTGATTTTTTTTTTTTTTAATAACTATGTCGAAAAGAAACAAAAAAAAATCGTGGTTGCTTGATGTCTGTACATGATGACGCAGTGCGCTATAGTGGCCTGTCTTATACTCGCCCTGTCTACTTTATATGGAACTGAAGGATGATGAGAAAGGACGCAGGATGATGACAGCTCCAAACTTGCAAATGTTACTTCAGCAGAGAGATGAAGATATTTGACTGAGCTTTTGAAAGTTGGAAATATATACTGCATGCTTTCCACTGGGCCGCACACCTGGACTATCAGCACTCATCGAATGTGTGCGTGTGCGTGTGCAGGAGCATGCGATTAGATCAGCTTGAAAAAGACTGGGGGCAAACTAAAGTGTGTTTTATTGTTGGATAACTGACACGTGTGGGGTCTGAATCCATATTCTGTTGTAAAATAGCAAAAATCTCTCCATGAAAATGTGATTTTAGAGATTTAGGATCAAATGGAAAACGAGCTGCAGCTCCTGAACAAGCAGAAGACAGCTTTCACCGCTTCTTTGCTTGCACGTGATCTGAGGTGGATTTACTTCCTGTGTGAGGGCACAATGGGAGATCAGACCTGAGCCGAGCCATCACTGATGTGGATATTCTGTACAGTAACAGTTTTGTGATGTCAAGTAAGAAAAAAAACATTACCAGTGGAGTGATCAAACATTATCTGTGCCAAAAAGAGCCGAATATGTATCGTTGATGAACCAGCATTATCTGAAGGAGGCAACTGTTTTGTAAAGTTTCAGTCATGCTTTGATTTCGATCCTTGATCCATCAGCTCATTCAGACATCCTCCTTTCAAAAACTTCAAGCACATCTTCAGGAAAATCTATCCTTTCCAAGTTTTTTCTTTCAATCTAGTGAAGTTGCCAAACTTTCTGCCCAAGCTGCCACATGAAACTTTATTATAGTGTCAACAACTCAGATTGAAGTTTGATACGTCACACTAAAATGTGTTTCCAAAGTTAGTCCAGAGGCCAGACTAATCAAAACCAGGGACCATGTTCATTGAGAGATGTGCTTGTAATGCTTTATAGTCCAAAAACCGTACCCAGGGTTTACAATAATGACAGATTGTCATTGAGGGTGCTCTGCGTCGTGTAGAATCTCAGAAGGGTCCGTTATGTCGGAGATCTGATCCCTGCTGAGAGCTTTCTAATGTACTCTCAGCTAAACATGAGCACTTTATAGACTTCAAAGACAAAAGTTACGTAAAAAGTTTAGTAGGGCTTTATGGATAAAATAGACATTTCAAAACAAATCCCTGCACAGGAACACAGAGACGATCCAGACAAAATGAAGCACCTCTGCATTACCGAGCTGGACCACTGAAAAAGAGACTGAGGCGAATAAGCAAAACAAAAAATGAAAATGCAGAGTCAGTGGAGAAATACAGGACAATACTAAAGTGGTGACCTTCCTCTTTTTGTGCTCAATATTATTATTATTATTATTTGTTTACATTTTTAAGTATTAAAAAGTTGTTTGAGTCTGTTACTCATTGTGTATAGGTATTCTTTGCATTAATAAATAAAGAAGTTCATACATTTTGAAGAAGTTCTCATGGTTTATTTGTTCTTGGCTTCTCTTTTTTGTGTTGTGTGTGTCACAATCTGTGATTTTCCACATACTGTATGTGTAGAAAAAAAAAACCAGACAAATAACTGCAGGTATCTGTGACGGAAGTTTGTAGTTAATGATTGGACAAAAGGTGTGTTCAGTGGATGTTTGGGCATGTGTGCTGATGACTATAACTTCTAGAGTGTGCATGTGTTTGTGTGTCTTTTATCACCTGCTATGTTCCCACATACACACACAGACACACACAAACCTGCACTCATGCACACACAATTATACTGCTGGGGGAAGCAGAGATAAACTCAGAGGTTTCTGTCACACTGAGTTATTCATCCACCAACACCATGAAGGGATGTGTCGTTTTCCTGGGACTCCTGCTCGTCTGTGTGGCAGCAGGTAATAAAAAAAAGAGAAAAAAAATCATTTTAAAGACTTTTCTTTTAAAATCTTTGGATCTAAATCAACAGAAAAACTCCTTCCTCTATGAAACAGGAAACATCTACTATGGAGCCTGTAGTATATATTGTATTGTATGTATGGTATCTGTTTTTGCCTTATTAAAGTGCGTCAGAGGAGAGTTATTGTAGCTGTTTTGATATTTAACGCTAAACGAAAAAGACAGTAATGTGCAAGTGAAAAAAAAAAGTTTTTTACCAAGTGAAATAAGGAAAAATATACATATATGTACACAAAAAGATGTTTTGACCAGTTATGAAGGGGACTGTAGTGATCAGTGGTGGAGCCAGACTATTTTGGGCCAAACTGAGGAACTGACTCATGATGGGGTGGTAAGGTGGAGTAAACAAACTGACCCCAAATCTTACCATCGTCACTTCACCTACTTTCAAAACTAAAGACTTAAGAAAATGTTAAAGACATGTTTAATATTCAACAAGAAAAAAGGTAACATTAAGATTTTCCAGTCAACCAGATATAAGACAAAGAGAAATGATTCAGGGTTGTTTTTTGTTTTTTTTAACCAGGCTGTTCACATGTTTGGCTTTCTATATCAGCCCTGTCCTGGCTGGACTCTGACAGCTTTGATAGCCTACTGTGACCCCAAATGAGATTAGCAATATAAATATGTGATGTTCAGATGAACAGATTAAGGGTTATTAAATATGTGTATGAAAAAATATGCATATCAGTACAACACCAGGGTATTTTTGATACAGACAAAAGGAGATAAAAAAAACAAAAAGGATATTACAATGAGTTTTCATTTTCCTACTATGATCAGCTCACAAAAGGTAAAAATTTTAGAGTACTACGTTAATCGTTGTTATATTTATGGTCTTATAGTAAGTGCTTTTCTTTCTCTTACAGATAATGGGGAGAATTCTAATCTTCTGAGAAAGGTGTGTTTGTGTTTATTTACAAGGAGAGAAATGTGTCATAACAGGGCTTTAAATCATGTGATCATGTGAATGACTTTCTTCTGGTGTAGAGGAAGAGGTTCAAGCATTAAAATAAAGAGATTCATACTTGTTTTGTTGTTTCATGTCCCTGCAGCCTTCCTGTCCTGACATGGAGGAGATTGTAGCATGCCCTCTGAACCTGGCTCCAGTGTGTGGCAGCGATGGAAACACATATGCCAACGAGTGTACTCTGTGTGCCCAAAGGCAGTGAGTACACACAGCTGCTTTATTCACGGGGCCTTCTCATTATGCTGCACTCTCGTCCAGATAAACACTGTCAGAGGATAAAGGGACACTGCTGCTCTCTGGTGGTGGATAGATTGAAAGAGTGCAGTCTCAGTGGTGAGCTCTGATTGGCTGAGAGCAGCAGCTTATTTAAAAAAGCCTGGGAGTTTTTTTTCCAGTTGAGTCTGTTATTCATCAGCTAAACTTTGCAAGAAATTCCCGAGTGGTATCTAGGCATGATTAGAAAATGATAGTCATAATTTTATTTAGCAAATTAAAAAGCAGAAAGATAAGCTGTTAAAACGATTCCTACTTTTATGCAGTGTGATGAGGGTGGGAGAGTAGGAAGCGCCTCCCCTATTATGTAAAACTGCATTTTCCTTGAGCCGTTAAAATGTAACCAATAGGACTAAAGTGTTTGACTCCTTTTAGGTGTGAGTTATAATATCTTTGCAGCATCTTTTATCAGTGTTGTACTTTGTAAGTGGTTCCTGCACACTCAAGTCAGACAGGCTTGTTCTTATGAGCCAAAACTGGAGACTGCAATTGGGTAAAAATGGCTGCCATTACAGCAAACCAAATTCTCTTGATAAGTTTCTCCAAACATGATGTGAAACTTATTTCAAGAAACTTTAAAATAATTGTTTTGCCTGAAATATCTTGAATAAAGATTTATATACGAACACGTCTGGTCAGTGTAGCAACAGAGATATGTTGACCACAAATGAGACAAATTCATTGGATGAGATTTGAATTTTTGTGGTGTTCACATTGTTCACTCAGCAGGTGTTTTTTTTTTTTTTTTTAACTTTTGGCAAGTAGCTAATATTTATAAAATGACATTGAGTACAATACTCTAACTGAAACAAAAGTACTGATTTAAATACCACTCACAAAAATGGGTGAGAATACATATAAAAGCTTCTTGATTTTAGTAAGACGAGTAAATACAACAAGTAATTTTCCTCCCTTGATCACTGACCGTATTATCACACCTGACTGACTGACTAACCATTACTGTGCTCTAATTTTTCCCACAGAATGACCAAGATGGACATTTTGGTCGCCAAAGAGGAGAGCTGCTGACCTGATGATGACACAGTTAATCTGACCTGTCAGGATCTAACTAAATACACAACATGGATCTGTCATGGAAATGATTAATAAACTTCAATCACTAAACAACCTCCTTGTGTTTTAACTCCTTTTTTATTTGCAAAAAAAAAAAAAAAAAAAGGCCAACCATTTCATCTGGATGAAGACTTCAAAAGTCCAGTTGACTAAAATGTTCTTTGTCATGTTATTATCAGGTTTGGGGATGGTTACATCATTAGGATCTGACCTTTGGTAAGTATTGAAGTCCAGTGAGTGGGGGCTTCTTGGCAGGATTTTTGGGGAGTAAGCCCCTTTTCTTCTCCCTGATTTTTAAAGACCAAGGAAGTGCTCAGCATGTAAAGGACTTCTCAGTTTCCCAGATTTTTTTTTAATACCAAGGAAGACTCTTAACAAACAGGGATGTGTACTTAATCTTATTGAATTTTTGTGCAAGGCAATGTGAGCCTTGAAATAACATGTGGACATACCCACACATTTCACTTACTCTAAATCCTTCCTCTGGTCTGAATTGTCTCCAGAACCCACCAGAACTTGCCTTAAACTGATGTAATGTAAAGCCATGACCTTAAACCATGCACCAAAAATGTCAGTAGGTGAGTCTTATCACAAGTGAGTCCATCTGTGTGTTTGTTTTTTGCATGCCATGTTCCAAAACATACAAACACACACTCCCAGACAGTCGTGCTGCCAGTAAAAAACGATAAATTCAGAGGTTTCTGTCTCTTTGAGTGACTCATCCACAGACACCATGAAGGGAGGAATTGTTGTTCTGGGACTCTTGCTCATTTGTCTGGCCACAGGTAACAAACATTAAAAATTATTCTGAGCAACAAAAGTTTTATTTGAAATTGGTTGTTTAAATTATACATTAACTAGGGATAAATTATACTGTGCATGCAAAAGAATAAAAAGTTCACTCACAACTGAAGTCTGCATAACTTTCATATTTTACAACATTTTGTCAAATTAGACTTCGTTTTTAAAGTGCTTAAAAACATCTTTAAAAAAAAAAAACAGCTTTGAAATGTATATATTGTCAGCATAACAACAACGTTTCATGGCTGTATCATGTGATCAGCTCATGTCATTGAATATTGCTGCAGTTTTAAAGATAAGAAGCAAATTGTTTATGGGCTGCATTTAAAGTTTTCACTTTCTTCACAGATGCCAGCGGGAAGCCGCTCCCAAGAAGGGTGGGATATTAAGACAAAAATATATATATTGAAAAAATATTTGATACACATTTGTGAATGGTGTTTTTTAAAAGTGTAAATCTTTAGGTCATATTTGTGTTATTTTGTGTCCACACAGCCCTCCTGTCCTGACACTCAGGAGGCCTTTATGTGTACCATGGTCTATAACCCTGTGTGTGGCAGCGACGGGAACACATATGGCAACGAGTGCAGCCTGTGTTCCTTCATGCAGTAAGTTCTAACAATTCCTCCATCCAGCAGCACTCCCCTAACAAATTACATCAAAATCACGCAGTTTAACATTGAGGTAAAATCTGCCACTGCCGCCCTCTAGTGGTGGGTACATTCATAAAGTACAGCCTTAATGTTGAACTTTACCCAGCACCAAATGACTAGCAGTTGTTTTGAGTGTTCTCTGTTTTTGTCGCTTGGTCTTTTTGGTGAATAATGAGACGGTCATTGTCATTAGTTACATGGAAGTGACTGCCATAGCTCTGAAAACACATCATATCACACTTATACTTTCACAATCAAAGTGTTTGCAGGAGATGGGATCTCCCACATCAAATAAAATTCACAAAAAGATAAAAAGAGTAATTCATATCCATCTATGTGATCTTTTTCTACCTTCAGACGCACTGGGGAGGACATTTTGATCACCAAGGACACTTCATGCGAACCTCAATGTTAAAGCCTGATTCCACAGCCAAGCTCACAAACAAGGTGCTGACTTTCCACCAAACACAAGCTTTAAAGAGGCAAATCTGTCTTCAGTTTTTCTGTTGTTGTGATCAACTGATAAACTTTATTCAAGAACCTGTTGTCTCCAGTTTTCTTTTTCTTTGTATTTTTCATTTGTATTATTATTAATACTATGATTTTCACTCCTAATATTATTGAATCTTTAACAATATAAAACATTTAACTGAAGCACGCATGGAAAATATCAATTTTCTCTGGATTATGTTTGAAATGTGTGTAGTTGACAGAGAGGGAGCCTTCTAGCAGTACAGAGGACAAAGCACTTCTCAGTTTCCCAGATTTTCTTTTCTTTAAAAAAGACTCTTAAATAAAGGAATGTGTACTTAATTTTACTGTATTTTTGTACAAGGCAATGTGAGCCTTGAAATCCATGTGGATACCCTTTGACATATCCACACCTTTCATGTACTCTAAATCCTTCCTCTGGTCACAGTGGGTCTGAATTGTCTCCAGAACCCACCAGTCTATGAGTTTGAACATTTTATCTTGTCTTTGTAGTGTACTCAATTGAATATAGGTTTAAAAGGATTTGCAAATCATTGTGTTCTGTTTCTATTTACGTTTATTACAATTTCCTAACTTCAATGGAATTGGGTTTTGTACAAACACACACCCCCAGACAATCAAGCTGCCAGTAAAAACCGATAAATTCAGAGGTTTCTATCTCTTTGAGTTACTCATCCACAGACACCATGAAGGGAGGAATTGTTGCTCTGGGACTCTTGCTCATCTGTCTGGCCACAGGTAACAAACATTAAAAATTATTTTGAGCAACAAACGTTTTATTTGAAAGTTGTTGTTTAAATTATACATGATCTAGGGATAAATTATACTGTGCATGGCAGCGACGGAAGAATATAGTGTGGCAGCGACGGAAGAATATATGGCAACATGTGCTTACTGTGTTCCACCATACTGTAAGTTCTAACAATTCCTCCATCCAGCAGCACTCCCCTAACAAATTATATCAAAATCACGCAGTTTAACATTGAGGTAAAATCTGCCACTGCTGCCCTCTAGTGGTGGATGCATTCATAAAGTACAGTCTCAATGTTGAACTTTACCCAGCACCAAATGACTAGCAGTTGTTTGGAGTGTTCTCTGTTTTTGTCACTTGGTCTTTTTGGTGAATAATGAGACGGTCATTGTCATTAGTTACATGGAAGTGACTGCCATAGCTCTGAAAACACATCATATCAAACTTATACCTTCACTATCAAAGTGTTTGCAGGAGATGGGATCTCCCACATCAAATAAAATGAACAAAAAGACGAAAAGAGTAATTCATCTCCATCTATGTGATCTTTTTCTACCTACAGACGCACTGGGACGTACATTTTGGTTACCGAACAGAGTTTATGCCGACCTGAAGACAACTTTCGTCCCGCATAGTTCAATCAATCAATCAGTGTTTTATTGTAGAACACTTTTCATAAGACCATGTAACACAAAGTGGTTTACATAGCAGAGGAATAAAAGAATCAAAGAAAACCCTGATCTACCCCAACCCAACCCCTCATTCCCTCAATCTAAGCACAATAAAAACGTGTATTAAAATGCATGAACTCAAAAAGGGCTCGATTTTATACAAACAGGAATTTGTGCGCCAAGGAAACACTGTTTTAAAATTCAAGATAAGGAAACACTGGAGGTTTAAAATCTAAAAACAAAGTAACATCAAATGAAATTTAAGAAATAATAAATAAAATGAAATAAAAACAACAGTAAAAGATACTAAAATAAGAGCACCAAAATAGCTTAATAAAAGACAATCCTGTCATTAAAACTAGAAGATAAATGCTAAAATACTTAAAGTTAATGATGTAAAAATTTAGTTAAAAGCAAGACTAAAAAGGTACGTTTTGAGTTTCTTTTAAAATCATTAAGATTAGGTGCAGTCCTCAGGTCTTCAGGTAAGCTGTTCCATCGATGGGGGTCATAGTAATGAAAAGATGTCTCACCGTATGTCTTGGTTTTAACTTCAGGTAATGTTAACAGAGAACTTCCTAAAGACCTGAGGACTCTACCTGGCTCATAAGGTAAAAGCAGATCAGATAGATAAGAAGGGCCAAAGCCATTAGGAGCTTTAAAAACCAATAAAACAACCTTCTAAAACAATCTATTCTAAAAGAGACGGATAGCCAATGCAGAGACCTTAAAATTGGTGTAATGTGATTTCTCTTTCTGGTCCTCGTTAGCATTCGTGCAGCTGAATTTTGGAGAATTTGCAGGTATTGTTATGCTCCACCCGAATGCAGCCCTATGGGGCTAACAACTATCCTCATCTTTTGACCCATTAAATTAACAAAACACCTTCAAAAGTTTAACATGTGATTTATTGTGACAAAATAACAAAATTGTGAGCTAAAGGAATTTAGGGATTTCAACATCTACGGTCCATAATGTTATCAAAAGGTTCAGAGAATCTGGAGAAATCACTGCATGTACGCGGCACAGCTGGAAACCAACATTGAATGTCTGTGACCTTCGATCCCTTAGGCGGCACTGTATCAAAAATTGACATCAATATGTAAAAGGATATCACCACATGGACTTAGGAACACTTCAGAAAACCACTGCCAGTGAATACAGTTCATCGCTACATCTGTAAGTGTAAGTTAAAACTCTACTATGCAAATCAAAAGCCATTTATCAACAACATCCAGAAACCCCGCTGACTTTTCTTGGCCTGAGCTCATCTAAGATGGACTGATGCAAAGTGGAAAAGTGTTCTGTGGTCTGACGAGTCCACATGTCAAATTGTTTTTGGAAATAGTGGAAGTCGTGTCTTCCGGGCCGAAGAGGAAAAGAACCATCCGGACTGTTATCCACGCAAAATTCAAAAGCCAGCATCTGTGATAGTATGGGGGTGCATTAGTACCCAAGGCATGGGTCACTCACACATCTGTGAGGGCAACATTAATGCTGAAAGATACATACAGGTTTTGGAGCAACATGTGCTGCCATCCAAGCAACGTCTTTTTCATGGACGCCCCTGCTTATTTCAGCAAGACAACGCCAAGCCACATTCTGCACGTGTTACAACAGCGTGGCTTCGTAGTAAAAGAGTGCAGGTACTCGACTGGCCTGCTTGCAGTCCAGACCTGTCTCCCATTGAAAATGTGTGGTGCATTATAAGGCGTAAAATATGACAATAGAGACCCTGGACTGTTGATCAACTGAAGCTGTACATCAAGAAAGAATGGGAAAGAATTCCACCTTCAAAGCTTCAACAATCAGTCTCCTCAGTTCCCAAACGTTTGAGTGTTGTTAAAAGGAAAGGTGATGTAACACAGTGGTAAACATGCCCCTGTCCCAACTACTTTGGCACGTGTTGTAGCCATGAAATTCAGAGTTAATTATTATTTGCAAAAAAAATTCAAGTCTATGAGTTTGAACATTTTATCTTGTCTTTGTAGTGTACTCAATTGAATATAGGTTTAAAAGGATTTGCAAATCATTGTGTTCTGTTTCTATTTACGTTTATTACAATTTCCTAACTTCAATGGAATTGGGTTTTGTACAAACACACACCCCCAGACAATCAAGCTGCCAGTAAAAACCGATAAATTCAGAGGTTTCTATCTCTTTGAGTTACTCATCCACAGACACCATGAAGGGAGGAATTGTTGCTCTGGGACTCTTGCTCATCTGTCTGGCCACAGGTAACAAACATTAAAAATTATTTTGAGCAACAAACGTTTTATTTGAAAGTTGTTGTTTAAATTATACATGATCTAGGGATAAATTATACTGTGCATGCAAAAGAATGAAAATTTCACTCACAACTGGAGTTTGAATAGCTTTCATATTTTATAACATTTTGTTATATTAGACTTAGTTTTTAAAGTGCTTAAAAAATCTCTAAAAACAAAAAAAGAACAGCTTTGAAATGTATATATTGTCAGCATAAAAACAACGTTTCATGGCTGTATCATGTGATCAGCTCATGTCATTGAATGATGCAGTAGTTTTAAAGATAAGAAGTAAATTGTTTATGGGCTACATTTAAGTTTTCAATTTCTTCACAGATGCCAGCGGGAAGCCGCGCAGGAATATGGTGGGATATTAAGACAAAAATATATATATTGAAAAAATATTTAATACACATTTGTTGGGATTTAAGAAGAATTTTTGTTCCCTGCTTTGGTGTTTTTTTTAAAGGTGTAAATCTTTAGGTCATATTTGTGTTATTTTGTGTCCACACAGCCCTCCTGTCCTGACACTCTGGTGGATATTTGTCCCATGAACTATAACCCTGTGTGTGGCAGCGACGGAAGAATATATGGCAACATGTGCTTACTGTGTTCCACCATACTGTAAGTTCTAACAATTCCTCCATCCAGCAGCACTCCCCTAACAAATTATATCAAAATCACGCAGTTTAACATTGAGGTAAAATCTGCCACTGCTGCCCTCTAGTGGTGGATGCATTCATAAAGTACAGTCTCAATGTTGAACTTTACCCAGCACCAAATGACTAGCAGTTGTTTGGAGTGTTCTCTGTTTTTGTCACTTGGTCTTTTTGGTGAATAATGAGACGGTCATTGTCATTAGTTACATGGAAGTGACTGCCATAGCTCTGAAAACACATCATATCAAACTTATACCTTCACTATCAAAGTGTTTGCAGGAGATGGGATCTCCCACATCAAATAAAATGAACAAAAAGACGAAAAGAGTAATTCATCTCCATCTATGTGATCTTTTTCTACCTACAGACGCACTGGGACGTACATTTTGGTTACCGAACAGAGTTTATGCCGACCTGAAGACAACTTTCGTCCCGCATAGTTCAATCAATCAATCAGTGTTTTATTTGTAGAACACTTTTCATACAAAGACAATGTAACACAAAGTGGTTTACATGGCAGAGGAATAAAAGAAACAAAGAAAACCCTAATCTACCCCAACCCAACCCCTCATTCCCGCAATCTAAGCACAATAAAAATGTGTATTAAAATGCATGAACTCAAAAAGGGCTCGATTTTTAAGTTCATGCAAACAGGAATGTGCACACTGAGGAAACGCCGTTTTAAAATTCAAGATAAGGAAACACTGGAGGTTTAAAATCTAAAAACAAAGTAACATCAAATGAAATTTAAGAAATAATAAATAAAATGAAATAAAAACAACAGTAAAAGATACTAAAATAAGAGCACCAAAATAGCTCAATAAAAGATGATCCTGTCATTAAAACTAGAAATTAAATGCTAAAATACTTAAAGTTAATGATGTAAAAATTTAGTTAAAAGCAAGACTAAAAAGGTTCGTTTTGAGTTTGCTTTTAAAATCATTAAGATTAGGTGCAGTCCTCAGGTCTTCGGGTAAGCCGTTCCATCGATGGGGGTCATAGTAATGAAAAGATGTCTCAATGTACAGTATGTCTTGGTTTTAACTTCAGGTAATGTTAACAGAGAACTTCCTAAAGACCTGAGGACTCTACCTGGCTCATAAGGTAAAAGCAGATCAGATAGATAAAAGGGGCCAAAGCCATTAAGAGCTTTATCAACCAATAAAACAACCTAAAAATCTATTCTAAAAGAGATGGGTTGCCAATGCAGAGACCTTAAAATTGGTGTAAGGTGATCTCTCTCTCTGGTCCTCGTTAGCATTCGTGCAGCTGAATTTTGGAGAAATTGCAGGTATGAAATGTTCTTTTGGGGGAGACCATGAAGGAGGGCATTACAATAATCTATTCTACAAGTGACAAAAGCATGAATTAATGTCTCTGCATTGGCTTGAGAGAGAAACAGTCACACCTGGGCTATGTTTTTTAAATGATAAAATGCCTTCTTGGTGATGTCTCGTATGTGTGGTTCAAAACTCAGTTCTGAGTCAAATAAAACACCTTAATTATAACCTGTTGACTTGGATTATAGGATAATGCTTTGAGTTTGCTGACCAGTTCCTCTCTCTTGTCCCCTGTCCCAATAACTGAAACCTGAGTTTTGTCCTGGTTGAGCTGTCAAAAGTTCTCTGCCATCCATGATTTAATGTCTAAAATCCAGTTAAAAGGGTATCTAGTGGCCCTGTGTCATCAGGGGACACAGCATTATAAAGTTGTGTGTCGTCAGCATAGCTGTGGAAATTGATGCCGTGTCTCCTGATGACATTACCTAAAGGTAACATATTAAGATTATAAAGAGTAGAGCCTAAAATGGAACCTTGGGGAACACCACACCACATGTCAAAACGTTTAGTTGAGCAATCCCCCAAGGTTCACGTAAATGGTCTGTCACTAAGACAGGACTCAAACCAGTTAAGTTGATTGTTCCCAGCTGACCTTCACCCTAAATGGACACAAGAGCAGCCTCTGACTCCAACACCCACCACCAGCAAGAGGGATCTGCTTCACCCACCCTACTTCTACCTAAAACAAACCTAAGCAATACAAGCTATATTCACGTTTGAAAAGATGCTGCAGAATTTGTAAAACAACAAAAGGCAACAAAAATCGGAACAATAATTTTTTTTTAATAGGTGCACCCACTGTATATTTTGGCATGCATGTTCATGGGCTGAAAGACTGAAAGTCCATCCGTGTGTTTGTTTTTTGCATGCCATGTTCCAATACAAACACACACCCCCAGACAATCAGGCTGCCAGTAAAAACCGATAAATTCAGAGGTTTCTGTCTCTTTGAGTTACTCATCCACAGACACCATGAAGGGAGGAATTGTTGCTCTGGGGCTCTTGCTCATCTGTCTGGCCACAGGTAACAAACATTAAAAATTATTTGAGCAACAAAGTTTTATTTGAAAGTTGTTGTTTAAATTATACATGATCATACAGATAAATTATACACAACTGGAGTTTGAATAGCTTTCATATTTTATAACATTTTGTCATATTAGACTTATTTTTAAAAGTGCTTAAAAAAATCTTTAAAAACAAAAAAAAGCAGCTTTGAAATGTATATATTGTCAGCATAACAACAACGTTTCATGGCTGTATCATGTGATCAGCTCATGTCATTAAATGATGTTGCAGATAAGAAGCAAATTGTTTATGGGCTACATTTAAGTTTTCAATTTCTTTACAGATGCCAGCGGGAAGCCGCTCCCAAGAAGGGTGGGATACTAAGAAAAAAATATATATATTGAAAAAATATTTGATACACATTTGTGTAAATCTTTAGGTCATATTTGTGTTATTTTGTGTCCACACAGCCCTCCTGTCCTAACACTCAGGAGGCCTTAATGTGTACCATGAACTATAACCCTGTGTGTGGCAGCAATGGGAACACATATGGCAACGAGTGCAGCCTGTGTTCCTTCATGCAGTAAGTTCTAACAATTCCTCCATCCAGCAGCACTCCCTTAATTACATCAAAATCACGCAGTTTAACATTGAGGTAGAATCTGCCACTGCCGCCCTCTAGTGGTGGATGCATTCATAAAGTACAGTCTCAATGTTGAACTTTACCCAGCACCAAATGACTAGCAGTTGTTTGGAGTGTTCTCTGTTTTTGTCACTTGGTCTTTTTGGTGAATAATGAGATGGTCATTGTCATTAGTTACATGGAAGTGACTGCCATAGCTCTGAAAACACATCATATCACACTTATACTTTCACAATCAAAGTGTTTGCAGGAGATGGGATCTCCCACATCAAATAAAATAAACAAAAAGATAAAAAGAGTAATTCATATCCATCTATGTGATCTTTTTCTACCTTCAGACGCACTGGGGAGGACATTTTGATCACCAAAGAGACTTCATGCGAACCTCGATAGTAAAGCCTGATTCCACAGCCAAGCTCACAAACAAGGCGCTGACTTTCCACCAAACACAAGCTATAAAGAGGCAAATCTTTCTTCAGTTTTTCTGTTGTTGTGATCAACTGATAAACTTTATTCAAGAACCTGTTGTCTCCTGTATTCTTTTTCGTTGTATTTTTCATTTTTATTATTATTAATACTATGATTTTCACTCCTAATATTATTGAATCTTAAACTATATAAAACATTTAACTGAAGCAGGCATGGAAAATATCAATTTTCTCTGGATTATGTTTGAAATGTGTGTAGTTGACAGATTGGGAGCCTTCTAGCAGCACACTGATGTGACACTACAGTCTAATCTGAGTCCCCATTTGAAGTTTTGGTAAAGGATGTATTTCACTTCAAGCTTTTTTTGTATGATCCTGCATGATGTGAAACCTTTTGGATAATTGCAGACACATATCATTTATCATTATTTATTTCAGATTCTCATCGAACTTGTAGTCTTTGTGAAGATTTAAATAATCAGTGACATTAGCATGGGACATGAGTAGTAGAGTAGTATATTAAAGAATCAAGCATGGAGACAAGCTCAAACTTTAACAAACATCCAGGATGAACCCAAAAGGGTGAGTAAGATGTTCAAGTCACTTTGAGTTTAAGTTACTGTCAGCAAGTTAATCGCAATGTTAGCAACTAAAAAAGACTTGGTTGGTTCAAAGTCTGAATAAGAGCGGCTGGCTTTACTGATCCAGTCGCTTCAGAATTGACAGTTGTTCCCACTGGAGGTGCTTTTCAACCACAGGAATTTTACCCTGGAGTTAGGGACTTTTTGAGGAACTGTGTGTGTTTCAACCGTAGGAACTAGGGTCTACAGTTGTGCTGCGTTCAAGTTACCTCGGAAGTCAGAAGTCGGAGCTGAAAATGTGTGTCTCCAAAGTTATTTAAGCACTTGCCTTGTCCTTCATGTGTTAGGACAAGGCAAGCACTACAATAACTTTGGTAGATGTAGCCATCTTGTTTGCGCCTCCGATTTTGCTTTTTTCCGACTTGGTAACTGAAACGCTAGTAACTCGGGTGTGATGTCATTTTCAGCTCCGACATCTGACTCCCGAGGTAACTGGAACTCAGAATTAGTTCTAAGGTAATCCATTTAGCTCTCAAAAAGCCTCCGCTCCAAGGGTGGTACTTTTTTAATGGCCCTGGAATGTTGGGGGGCAGGGCCTAAGACTGAATGTTCCTAGTTGGTCAAGCAGTTGCATTGTTTTCATGCTGGTTTATAATTTTGCATCAGACGCCTTACCTACTTAATAAGTGTCTATGCCATCATGAGCTATATATACTCCTGCGCCTCCCTGTTGCCTGTCCTCCTAATACATCCTAAAATCCTGAATAAATCTGAGATTATGTATCTGACTTAATCCTGATAGAAGTTGTGCAGTTTTTCATCACACTTTAATAATAGCATGAAAGAAAGAGGCGAGATGTTGGAGGAGACGGACGATTTGAAGGCTCAGGAAGCGGGAACGAGGAACAACTATGATACTGGAAATGCCTGCTGCAAACAACTGGTCTTGTGGTTCCCCTTCTGTCAGAAGCAGGTAATACACCTAGTCAATTTGAAGTGTGTTTGTACGATGTATCCGTCAGCGGTGAATCTCATTTACTACAGACAGAGGCCTTGTACAACCACTCCTGTAGGTATATCAATCGCCCCCATTCTCTCAGCACACTTGTGATGATTTATCCACCATCCTTCATGGCTTGCTAGTCTCTCGAGCATTACAGTTCACTCTCACTTCCAACTCCTTCTCTCAGATTTATTTCAAACAAATCAAAACTGATCAACTTGGCCTCTCTTAGCCGTGCTCCACTTTCTGAACTCATCTCTATCCCTCACCTCTCCTAAAACATCTTTATATGTATAGCCCAAATGTAAGATCTTTGGCATCTGAGCAGACACAGTTATTATTACAGGCTTCTGGTTCCACTTGTTTACAACCTGATGTCACGTGAATTGGATTCTGGGCCTTCCTTCCACGACAGAGCTGCCAGTACTCTGACACGGGGACAATGAAAACTCATGATTGCTGGTCTCCTTTGAGCTCGTCGTGTATAAATCCACAGTCAAAGACAACCAAAAGAGCCCATAGTTCTGTTTTTTTCACTAACGTTTACTCCATCAAGAGAAAAAAATACAAGACAGCTTTAAAAGAGACTTTCACATTTCATGCAGAATAGAAATGTTCAAATGAGGCCAAACAATGTAAGTTAAAAAGATACTCCCTTATTACTCTTCTTGTAAAGTTATTATCTGGGAATACATTCATTTACTTTGAGTTACAAAACTTTCGATTCATTCTCTCTTTTCCTCTGTTCAAGATAAGAAAAATAAGACAAGCTAACGCGGATCTCTGTGAAGGAAGTTTGCAGTTAGAGACTGTACCAAGGGTGTGCTCTCTGTATGTTTTGGCATGTATTAATGTGAGCTGATGACTATATGTTCCAAAATGCACGTAATTGTGTGTTGAGTTGTCATTTGCTCTTTTTTACGCACACAGAAACTCTCCCAGACGTGCAATTATAGGCTATTGCCAGTACAAATACAGGTAAACTACAGAGCTTCTGTCATTCTGACTGATTACATCCAACTGCACAATGAACGGACAAGTTATTCTCCTGGGACTGCTGTTCATCAGTCTGGCTATAGGTAACATCAATTATTGCTTTGACAGGGTAGTTTCATGTCCGTCATTTTCAGAAGGTCGTTCCTGCAGATTTAGTTGTGAGATTTTTGTTTTGGTGCCAGAGAATAATAATACACTCAAAAATTGTGTAGTTTGCATGTTGTCTTTTACTGTCTTAATCTTATTTTATGAAAGGAGGTTAAGTTTGGCTTTTATTGACACCGATCACAGAAACAAAAATGGGAAAATCAGAAGTCACGAACTCTTTAAGATGAAAAGTAAAGATAGAATTATATAACCAAAGCACTTGTGTGCATGTTTCAACACAACATGATGTACTGACAATTACTTCATAACATTTGTGGTACTAATATCTGTATTTTTTTAGTATTATTTACAAAAGACAAGAGATATCAGTTGAAGACACAATATTGTATTTCCTTTTCCCTTTATTGTTAAGTGTTATTTCAGCCTCAGGTTTTTATATGTTTAAGGATTTTTTATATGCTCTGCTTTATTAGGTGCACAGGGGATGTGTGGAGAAGCCAGAGCAGTAGGTTTAAATTCGATTGTTTTTAAAACATTTTCTTTACACCGATGTCTGATAAGATGTCACATCAAATGTGTATGTTGTTCTTATTTGACAGCCTAAGTGTCGTATGGTGGGGGGGAAGCCTTTTTGCCCTGAGGAATTCGTTGCAGTTTGTGGCTCAGATGGAGTGACATACCAGAACGAGTGTGCTCTGTGTTTCAAAAACAAGTGAGTTAACACAGCAGCTCCGGCTCATTACAGGGACATCACTCAGTTTAGCTCCAGTGGAGCATTTAAACTGCCTGTGCTGCCCCTCTGATGGGGATGGATTTCAATGTCACAACACTAAACTCTGACTGGCTGATGGCAGCAGCTGAACTGTAACATTTTTCCCCATTTGAGTCCATCATTTGTTCAATAGTCTTTTCAGGAAATTCTCAGGTGGCCATGAGCTATTACTGAACAATGAAAGGCATAGCTCTGACATTACACCATCACACAAAAGGGGACAACTACTTTAAGAAATCCTCACTGATGGCTCTATCACTGAACACAAAAACAAACAAATAAGCAAATCAACAAAATAATTTGCAGAATTTACTGTGATATCATTTTCCTTTCAGTAGAGACAACAGCGACGTTACAATCATACATGACGGAGAGTGCAAAGTGCCTGCAGATTGATGTCGTCACCACACTGACCAATCAGGGGCTGATTTACTTCTCAGCATGGACCTATGAAATGGCAAAACTGCCATCAGTTCCTCTGTCCTTGCAATGATCAATAAACTTCCAGCAGCAAATAACCTTCTGGTGCATTTTGTCTTTTATTGATATTAAGTTGATTGTCCGTTTTTTTTTCTTTTGTTTGTTTGTTTTTTTACCTCATTACATATAAAATTAGAAAGAGAAAAAAACTAAATTCTGTAAATTGAACTTACAAAACAGATACTAGAAATAATAGAAGTGATACAACTTAATGGATAGAAGAGAAGAACAAAACAAACTCTACAGAGTGACAACAGGAGGTGAATGATCACCTGGTTATATTTACTTTCTGTATACTCAGTAACACATTGGTCAATAAAGTTCAGGTGCTCACATGTGCGTGTGTGTGTGTGTGTGTGTGTGTGTGTGTGTGTGTGTGTGTGTGTGTGTGTGTGTGTGTGTGTGTGTGCGCACGCGCCATAAAGAAACTGAGAGGGAATGAGCAAATAAATGCATGGGCGATGAGAAAAAAAGGTAGCAGAAAGACACAGCAAACACAGTCTGGGGACATAAAAAAGGAAATAATATACTGTTGATTCTGGGGGTCAAAGGTCAAATGTGCGAGTCACATGACTGAAACCAGGAGATGAAGAAGTGGTGGCCTATCAGTCAGTTCCTTCATCTCTACAGTCAGGCTGAAACAAAGATTTGGAGATCATTGGTGAATTGCCTTCAAAGACGATGATAAGAATAAACCAAGAGAACTATATGTGAGTACTCCGAATTAAACCACGCTGTGATTAGTGTCGGTTATGATTATCTCATGCAGATTAAGCTGGATTACCTAGCAAGGACAAGACAAACATCGGGATACTGAATTTATTGTTTCTTTACCCGTAATATGAAGACAGTACCTTGTTTGACTATCTTTTAAAGTTGAGCACATCCCTTTCATTTCGGTTTAGCTTCAGTCTGTCCCTGCTGATGTCAGTGATTCAAAGTTTTTTTTGTCTGCAGGGTCTCCACAGTTCAGGAAGGCTGTCAAAGTGGGATATCTGTTGACCTCTTCCTTCATGTTTCACTTATACCAGCAGTAAGATCTCTGTCTGCTTGTCCCCGGATTATGAATATATGAGAGTGAGCTGAGATCACAGCAAGAGCAGCCAACAGTCTTACCAGCCTCACATAATTTACAAGAGATAAGCTTTTTATGGTGTGTTGTCTTGTAAAAAACAAAACAAAGAAACCATTGATTAAAATGTTTCTTTTTTTTAGCTATATTTTAAAGATAGATAAACTGCTTTTAAAATAAGTGGCTGTGTTTGTTGTTTCTGTGAGAGGCTTTTGGATGATCATAAAACAGAATGGAATCGTCACCGTATCCTTGTATGACCTTCTTAAGCAAACAAGGCAGATTTTTTTACACCTTTCACTAGTGACAATGGGTAGGTCTCAGATGGGGTGAGTCATAGCATGCTGAACAAACAGACTTTGTTGACATTTTCTGCAGCGAGCAGTGTTACGTTTGACGGTGTATACCAAGGTTTTTTTTCTATCCAAGAGTCTATCAATTCAAGTTTTAAAGTTTACACCACCACGCTCCTCTTCTTTATCTTCCATCCAGTGAATTTTGTGAGGCCACTCACTAAATCCAAAAATGTGTATGCTAGTTTGTCTGCTGTGTGCTCCTGTAGAAACACGACAGTGTAACATGGTAGTCTCCTATGTATGAGACCTGTTCCTCTATGAAGATATAAAGTTTTGTTCCTATATACACTAAGTTAAACATAATTATTAATTGTAGAATCCATTTTTATAGAGCATGTCCTGACGAACGCAGCTAAATACTGCACACTGCACCTTTAACAACATTATAACTCTGCCTGGTTGTGAGGAAGTTCATAAAAAACTCATTTTTGTATCATTAGATTTAAGTTCGAATTTTCATTAATGTAGAAAATTACTTATAAATACTCACAACATACAAAAGCAGGACTTGATTAACAATTACATGTGTCTACAATACATCCATAACAAACTCAGAATTTTCTGTCTGTAAATAAAGGGTCAGACAAAAATACATCACAACAACAACAACAATACATTTTTTTCCATTAAGGTATAATAAAAAAATTGATCATATCTTGACAAGGCGTTATACTCAATGCTGTTACGCTTTAAAAACTTTGCTCCAAGCTGTTAAGAATGCTTTTAATCATTTATAAAAGTTTCTATGAAAGCTTGTTGATGCATTTTTAAGCCTTTATAAAGGTGCTTGTGATGCACAATTAGAGGTGGATTAAATAAAGTTTTACTGCGATGTCTTTACTTTAGAGTTGCTACTTCAAGGATACAGGAAAACCAAACTATGTGCAACACAGTTCAGCCAGCAAATTTAACACTTGTACATGCACAGTGCGTCTGTGCTATGAAAACTACACCAAGTGCATGCAAAGAAACAAGCAATGTGGTCACTTTTCTTGATTTGTTCAAAGTCTGTCAGATGAGTTCTGCACAATAAGCAGCAAATTTTTGAGAGTGAAGATTTCAATTTTGGTTGTAGATGCTAGAAATGGGGCTTCACTAGTTATCAAATTTTCATAGTCTTCAGAACAGGCTTAACATGATTCAACAGGCACAGGATTTGTTTCAAAATGTCCTTTGTTTGCTGATTCAATCTCCCTCATGATTGATGTTGTTATAATATGTCAATTTCTTGTCTAGGTGCTCATCACAGGGGTGCTCTCTGTCATGCAGAAAAGAGCTCAGAGGCTGGCTGTCGATCGCAGGCTGCCCTTCCTGAAGGGGCGCTTTGCTATTGTAGTGTAAGTGAGCAACAGCTAAAAATGTCAAAGCAAAAACCACACGAAGTTTCTGTTTGCATTTCAAAACTACAAGGTCATTGAGGTTTTTTTTAATATAAATATCTGTTGTCATTTCTTTGTCCAGGCCTTTTGATACTATTGGCAGCCTCAGTAATCGTTGGTCTTATGGGTTTGCATTTGGTGCTGTTTCATCCAGTGTCCTTCTGCTGTTTTCCGAACGTTACATCCCTTTCATTGTCCCCAACTGGGCCAAAGGTACTCCGCTTTTTAATCATTGAGGCTCCAGATAATGTTTGTTAACAAAGCAGGTGCATGGGAATAAATCTGATTATGTGTATTCTGATATTTCTCCTCAGCGATAGTGTTTCTGATTGGAGCTCTAGAGATAGGTCTGGTCTATTTCCCTTTCTTTGCCTGTCTGTCAACACCTTTCAGAACAGCTGGAGCAGTGCTTGGAATACTCTACTCTCTGTCCTGGCAAGTATTCATTCATATCAAATGTTCAAATCCACACAAACACTGTAAGTGTAAAAATGTGTATCAGTTCATCGAAAAGACTTCAAAAATAAATACATGTTTGTTTGTTGTTTGTAGGATCACTGTCACAGTCTGGGATACTTTTACTTGTCCCAGTGGTCCGGTAGGTGAATACTCAGAATACCATGCAAGCTGGTGTGGGTGTTAAATGCCTGTTGGCCGCATTCAGAAAAGTCATTGCTTTTGTCTTTGTGTGTTTGATTTAAAGATTTTGGGCAAATACCAAAAGATTATCTCCCAGTGGCCGTGCATCCTCTCCCTCGTCTTCCTCTTAGGACGGTTTATTTATATGCTAGTTAAGGAAATCCGAATGAACCTGCAATTGGAACAAGAGGTCAGCACACACCCAAGCACTGAAATGATATTCGGAGTGTAAAACTGTTGCATTGTTCATATTTTTAATCTGCTACCAGGATCCGGAGGAGCTGATAGGCCAACATCATATTCAGCATGTGAAGAGCCTGCTGAGAAAAACACCTACACACAGGTAAAGTACCCACAAATATCTGCACTCATGTTTTACTGCAGCATAATGATCACATCCACAATTTCTTTTGCAGAGACAAGAAATAGAAATAGAAATATATCTGAAAAGAAATAGTCAATGTAACAAAGTTTTTACCTGTAAAATCTGATCTATTTGTTTGTAAAGATACATAGTTGTAGTGTCAAGCAGTGTTGGTTCATATAATAAATATCTGTAATGTCACACTGACGATACTATTCATTGGACATTCCCTGTTTCTAACAGTACAAAATTACAGACAGCACTGACAGCAACAAAAAACCCACAAATTCAGGTACACAAACAGTTTTTCTAACCATCCTCTCTGTGTGCTCCAGTGAGCCCCTCAGCTGGTTCCAGAGAAGAGTCTATGAATGGGACCCCAACTTTAAGTTCCCCAGCAGGATGATCGGCACCATTATTATATCTCTCATAGGTCTTTACACGGTACAGAAAGACAGTGTTTCAACAATCAACTGCTCTGTGCACCTGTTTGAGGTCTTACAGTGTTTTTTTTTTTTTCTTTGTAGATGACCCTGGCAGACTACAGCCTCAGTAATGTGGCTTTTGATGAAGCAGAGGGATATAAGAATACATTAAAGCACTTGGTTAATTCATGTAACCAGACTGAAGCTCTAGGAGCCATGATTCCACAGTTGGAAGAATTCATTGACGTGGCGAGAAGTGAGTAGATGTGAATTACAGAGAATGAAAATTTACAGCTCAACTTAAAGTAAAAAAAACAGCCATTCATTACATCAAGTTGTATTTTATTGTTGTTTTTTATTGTGTATTATTTCAGAGTCTTGGCTAGCCACCACTATCTTTGCAAGTCTCAACTCAGTGGCTTACACCTGCCATGTATTGGCATGTTACAGGTAAGACCCTTAAGACACCAGAGATACTCAAAAGACACAAAGTATGGATGTGGACAGGAAATATAAATATAAAGTAAGATTAATATTACTCTCTAGCCTTACATAAAACTGCATCCAGCGAGACACAATGTTTGATGATACAGGAAACACTTGAAGAGACTGTGGAAAGGGCAGAAGAGTTTTCTTCCTGAGAAGTTTCGAAACCCCAAATCCGCCGTCAGTGTAGTGAGTACAACACACACAAACAGAAACACACACACCCAAATACAGGAGGTGGAAAAAACTTTCAAGGCAGATTATATTTTAGTTTGTTGCATGAACTTTTACTCACCAGACTTGATGAATTGTCAAACAAGTTTACCTTTTACATTTTACAGGCTTCCATCGCAAGATACTCTGGTTGGCAAATAGCGTTCACACTGTGGGGTAAGTTTCCATCATCACAGGGTTGGTACAAACATCAAATATATGCTTAGAAAACTAAAAACTACAGAGAGATGGGTTGTCTGTGTTTTTTCTTCAGGCTACCTGATCGTTCATTTTGTCCACTTCCTGTTTGCCCTGCTGATTGTCTATGTGCTTGTTCTTCCTATACAACATGGACAAGTACTGAGTATGCTCAAAAACCTTGGAATTATAATGTAATGCCATTTTGGTTGCAGATATAGTCATATCTATCAGAGTTTGAAGCAGAGATACAGACTGGTTGATTTCTTTTGTTGATTCTCTCAGACTGACCATTGTCCTGGTGATCGCTCTGGTGATTCTCCAGATTGTTCTGGTGCAAATCTTCTTCCTCCAGGACAAAATGTCTCCAACTGATAAAGACAAACCTCTGGCTCTCAACAACAGGTGGGTTCTTGGTACACAATCAAATTTATACTGATGTTTTTCAATGAGCCACAAAAGTTAAAAAGGCCATCAGTATGTGGACTGACATTTTCCTCACAGTGGTTTGTTTTACCTGTAACAGCAGTTGAGGGGTAGGTGATAGACAAAATACATTTCAACACACTACTGAGAAAGCCTTTTTTCATTTTCTGAGGTGGAGATGTGTGGCAAGAGATATATCTGATAGTTTACAAAAGCAGGATTAGATTTTTCATTAAAAATCCTTGCTAAAGTAAGGGTGATGCTTTGGTCACTGGGGGTGCCAAGATCAACACAAACCAGAGTTTCTCACGGGGCTTTAATACTCACATTGTTTTCATTAAAAAAAAGAGAGAAACCTGAACTTGTTTGTATTTTTTCTTCCTCTTAGGAAGGCCTTCCACTGCTTCAACTACTTCTTCTTCTTCTACAACGTGGTGATGGGGATCAGTAACTGCATACTGAGGCTGCTTTCTAGCATAGTGGTGGGAACATGGCTTGTGTCCCGCATAGATCGGACTATTATGCAAAGAGGATACGAAAACATGGATGCTGGTGAGTTGAATTTCTGCTGCGAGCTGCAGTCAACAAAACTGAGATATTCCTAAAAATCAAGAAAGACTTATCTCCAGTTTAACAAACCATAAAACACCAAATCTGACAGTTTGTTTCGATCGAACTATGTTGTAGAAGACAAGTAACAGTGAGATATTATTCTATAATTTCTATTGTGTTGGTAAAAGAATGATAAAAAATTCAAATATTAGATATTAAAATATATAGAGAATATTTAAAAAGATAAGGAAGACTGTCATTCATCCTCTCAGAGTTTTGTGGTGCAGCTGTTCCCCAGCTCACCTGCTTGTCTTTTCAGGAGATGGCAGTATTGTACAGAGCTATAGGAGACTAGTGTCGAACCTTTGGAGGTTTAAGATAAGCATGTCTTGTCCTTTTTAAAATGCATGGATCAATACATACAATATCTGAATACTGCATTTAACTAGCTAATTTTGATATTACAAAAACATAAAAAGAGGAAGCTTGTGTGATTTTTTGAAATGTGAAATATCAGGGCAATAAAACAGCCATGATTTTAGCTGTGTTTTTACATCATGGTTGTTTTCACAAGTGTAAATGCTGTCCTAATTTAATACAGAGTATGTGGGTTTAAATACTTTTCTTTCCAATATTCCAGGCTACACTACCTGGGTTGGGATGATCTTTGCTGACCACTATCATAATAATCCAGTCATGGTGTGTTTCTGCCAGCTGCTTGTCAACAACACACTGGAGAAAAACACAGCATCTTTATACTCCACATTCAGCAACACGTCATCTGGTCAGTGCTGTTTGTTTGTGTCATGTCTGCTGTTTTAATCTGTCTGCTGTTTAAGATCCACCATCCTTCTGGCCAAACAAATATCCTCTTTTGAATAACTTCATCTTATTTATCCTATTTCAATGTTTCCCTACAAGTTCCAGTTACTATCAAAAACTTTGTGAATTTTTTTTCACAGGGTCCTTTATAAAAAGTGCAGCCAGGAGGCGCTGGATGCTGTCATATACTCTATTGAGGAACCCTCATCTGATCCTGCTTAGAAAGCACCACCTCTGCACATCACAGACATCTCCTCTTCAGTCAGAGACAATTCTCCATGCTTGGGTCATGGCATCTCAAACACAGAGCCGCCAAGCAGAGTCCCAGTCACTCCCAGAAATCAAAGTCATACCTGCAGAAGACTGCTAAAGAAAGATTTTCACACAACACCAAAAACATGGGCTGGAGTCCATGGATGTTTATTTTTTATTTTATTTCCTGAGATAGTGGATTTTTTTACTTAAGAGGGATCTCTGCAGAGTAAGAGTATAGCTTTAACAGTAATTACAGCAGGATCTAATATAGAATAAAATGGGGGGAATGTGAACCACAGACTGGGTCCATGAAGTTAAAAGGTTTGCTGGCATGTTGTTTGGAATATCAAAAATTGTATTCACTCTTGTGTAGAGAGTTCAGATTGTCTTGCTTATTTATTCACAATATACTGAAGTTATACTGAAGTTTATCCCCAAGCATATCAAATCCACCGGTGTGAACCTTTGTACATAACCTAATGGTATCATTGAATCATGTGAGCTACACAACACATTTACCTGCTTGCCACCCTTTGTGTTATAAAATATAATCGGTTATATAAATACAGAACTGTTGTATTTTTCCAACAAACAACAGCCATGTAAGGAGGGGGATGAGATTTTTATTTTTGTCTTTTATGATAGTTATGTAATTTCTTCCACTTAAGGGTCACCTGGTCTGTATTAACAAAACAAAGGAAAACCTTATATGTCTGCTTGTGCACTTAAATTATGTCATTTTTACTATGTGTACCATCCGTTAAAACGGAAAGAAGGATGAAATAATTAAAGTCTGAGAGGTTAAGATCTTCATTCATGTGTTTACCTTGAAATTCTTATATTTCCCACAGCACCTAAACACAGCAAAAAGGGCTATGGACTAGCTAACTAAAGATTATCTCATATTTTTATGGACAGACCGGTATTTTACTATATTAGAATATTTGTTTGATTAATTTCAGGACCTGTTAAGTTCAGGGACAAAGTTTAATGCCAATTCGGACAACGAAATGGATCGACCCAAAGTTACCCTTTGAACTCTTGGGCGGGAACGTCGCGTTTTCCTGAATGCAGCCAAGAAGAAAGACGTAGGACGAGGTTAAGTTTCCGAGTCGAAATTACAGGTAATGTGGAATGAAAGCATCTGAATCATTAATATATTTACGAGCTAGGGTTTTGAATGCACGCGGCATTGAGGAAATGATGGTTTTAGGGCCAATATTCGCTTTAATTCGGGTGGTCTCAAGAGGACAGTTAGCTGTTGGCTAACCGCCATATTTTTCTCCTAACTGCTTTTCCGAGCAGTTCATGCTAGCACTCCGACACACCGTCGACAAAACGTTACTAAGAAAATTGGGTTTAAAAAAATGATTTTGCGGTTTTGGACACCTAAATCGGGTTTTCTATCTTTGCCCAAGTACCATTTATTCGGGAATCTCAAATAAAAATTGTAAAGTGTGTATTTAAGACGATGTTTGACCACAGGTGTGTATGTCTGGCAGTTTAAGGGCCTACACTATTAGCTCTAGCTTAAGGTTGTTTTAAGCATTTATAAGATATCAGGGCTTGGCACTAACTTTTTTCACAAGGAGCACATGTGCTTTTAAGTTAAAATTGTAAGGAGCACAATAAAAACCGATCCAATAATGTTTGTCTTATTGATCGAAGTAGGTACTATTGTGTAAAATCAATTTGAGTTCTTTTGGTCACACGACATGGAAGCTATTGAAGGAAATGTTCAAAATTTGCCTTAAAATTAAAAACTTTTTTTTTAGAGGACAAATTAAGGAAATAAAGAGGTGTGTCTTGTTATCAGACCTTAGTATTTTTATTTTAAATCAATTTAAGGTCTTTTGGTCATGTGACATGGAAGCTGTTAAAGGAAACGGCCTTTTTCGAGAACTTCAACCGTTGATTTATAGATGGTCCCTTATTCAACACCCAACGTTGACAGCGAGGTACCATGCTTCTAACTTACTTCCCCAAAGTATTTGCATGAAAAAAACATTTGTTGCCTTCGCTAATTTTTTTTAAGCGCACATGTGCCCCTAAATACATTTTACAATTCGCACACATCTATTTTAGTCGCAAATGCAAGTGAAATGGTCGCACTGTCGAGCCCTGGACATACATTGATTTTCATGACGATAAAATAGCAGCTTTGTTGCAATGTACCTGTAAGAAACATTTTTGAAAGGCTTCAATATGCAGCCCAAAATCTTGAGTAAGTTTGAAATATTGTTTGACTAGTTTGTGGTGACTTTCCTTCAACTATTCAGTGAACTTCTAACCTTTACACATGTTGTTACCTCCAGGACTGTGCTACGCTGACTTTTGTGTGCCTGACATTAAAAGTACATTTTTTTCAGTAGCTGTGAGTAGAGTTGACTCAAAAAGTTGTTGAAAAGAATAAAAAGGAAACACCAGGTAGGATTAAACAACGACAGTGTTTTCTCATTATTGTTTCATAGATATAGATATTACAGTTAACAACAGGCATTGCTTTACCAATCCAAGTGCATCCACAGATTTTTCTCACACATGATTTAATTTATGACTGCACTGACTTTAATTTGTGTTGTTTTTTTGTGTGTAGGTGCCAATTTGTCAGGATGTCAGATAGTGAATCCGTCAAAAAAATGTTGCGGTCTGTACTGCAGTCCAACAAGCAAGGTGTGTCTGTAAACCGCCTCCCGTTGGAGTTCTATTCATTGTGCGGTGAGAAGATCCCGCTGAAGAAGCTAGGCTTCTCAACATTAGAGGACTTCCTCCGGAGCATCCCATCCGTGGTCCGTCTGGAGTATCGGGCGGGTGAGGTGAGGGCTGTGACAGTGTATGTCCTCAGGTTGAAGGCCATGGTCTCAGTGTGATTGTGATATGTTTCTGATTTCTTAAGGACCTTACACACCGGGGCCGACACGAATATAGAACGCGAAAGAGTCGGAGGAGAATTTCGACACACCGGACTATACACCTATACACATCAAGCCTGTTTCGCTTTTGCAACTTTTTTTTTTTTTTTGGGGGGGGGGGGAAGTCCCACCTCCTTTGCCTCTGATTGGCTAGAAAAGCTGGAAACTTCATCACACGCTCAAGCCAAACAATCAGCACTTATAGCCAATCAGAGGCGAAGGAGGACGGGACCTTCCCTTAACAACCAGCGTCCCGGGTGGAAGCGAGAGGACAAAAATGGAGTCTAATTCAACTTCAAGTGATGGCAAATTGGTACTTCTTTTGTTTCCTCAACACGCAATCTGATTGGTCAGAAGTGGACACACAGTATGCGAAACTTAAGAAAAATCAACCATGATCCCAAAAAAAAAATGCTGCAATATCGCAGAACGGGAAAATGTTGCTGATGTGAACGCTTGTGCTGACGGGATACGGGTTCGAAAAAAAAAAAGTTGATGTCCGAAATAATCGCACGAAAGAAACGGTCCCGATGTGTAAGGACCTTTATTCTTAATTCTAGGGCCAGAATTCTATTTTTTTTTTTAGTAACACAATATATCTCCTCTGCAGATGAGATGCTATGCTTCAGTGTGTAAAGAGACAGCCCACATTGCAGAGCTGGTGGCCAGGCAGAGGAGCCCCAAGAAATCTGGTCGGTCCCATCTTGTCAAGTGCAAGATGAAATACCAGCCCTTCAATCAGTACAAGCTCAATGGTAGGACACACTCTTAGCTTTGCAATATAACTCCATAGATTATAAACTGGGAATACCCCTGCATAGAAGTACAGAGAAGACACTGGGACCTATGTGCCGACAGGCTGTCAAGTTTGTGCAAGAAAACACTTTTTTGTTTGCTTTGAAAGAATAAGAGGGAATGTAGCTATACTGTGACTTCCATCACAAAAAGAGAGAGAGGGTGAAGAGGTGACTCTTGTATTGGCAGGAGGAGCGTTAACAGTTGGGCAGAGCATAATACGCAGGGCTGAATTAACAGCATGAGCTCATCATGAACCGGCATTACAGTCTCCAACAGTTTGATCAGGATCAAATTGGGTGAAATTTACACCATACTGAGTGACAGCAGGGATGAAGAAATTGCTGATTGATTGCTGATTTTCATAAATCAATATATTTATAACAAACCAAACATAGCTTGTCGTAGATTTTTGTAGCTACACATACATAGCTATTAGGGCTGTTGCGATTCGCCTATTCCACGATTCGATTCAACTTTCTATTCTAAGGTCACGATTCGATTCTCGATTCGATATGACTTTTTTTTACCTCCTTTTTTCAGCATTGTGAGCTGTACGACCATTAATTAGGCCACTGTCTTGATTTGTACAGAAAAACACTTTTTCTCAATCAGTCACTTTAATGACAAATGAGAAGAATTCAATGTTTAACATAAACAAACATTATAAAATAAATTATAAACTTAGGGTTTTATGCCCTAACAACTTCCATTTTCAAATTCTTCTTTAAGAAGATGTAACAGTTAGTTTTCAGGTAACAATCAATCAACCAATAATGTTGAACAACATGTAAGAGAAAAGGACCAACAAACAATGTTATTTGGCTACATTTGGCTCAAATTCAAATTCTTCCACAGTGAGTCCACTAGACCACTACTGTATTATTCACATTATTCTAACAGAGAGCTTTCCTTTTACAAACATGAAATGTGAATAATGCCAAAGCCATTACATTCATTCAAGCTCTATATCTATGTGCAAATTCTTCTTAAGGAAGATGAGCTTGTTCACATTTTCTGGAGAGAGGCAACTCCTCTCAGCTGTCATAAGGTCCCCTGCTGTTCATCATCACAGCAAGTGCGCTGTTTATTTCCTTAGCGCGAGCCGAATTTGGTGCAAACTTTTCTTTTTTCTTAATGGCGTCTTTGATTGAGGGCTGCGTCGGGTTTTGTGGTTCTTTCACATCTTTGTGGTGACAGCTGAGATGCTGTGCCATATTCGTTGTGTTGCTTGTGGAGGGATACGGCACTCGCATATAGCGGAGTCGACAAACAGTATGCGTCTTACTTACGACCCGTCGAGAGCCCTCACTCTCATAATGTACAGGGAAGCCAAAATATTTCCACACTTTAGACCTGTATGAAGCGGGAGGGTTTTCCAGCTCTTCTCTGGGGACAGGCCCATCCTCGGTGTCGTTGTTTACAGACACAGTGGCCATGGTGAATTGAATTCGCTGTGTATCGCTCTGTAATATATATCTGCGGCGACGTTCTGTTCGCTTTCGCGCTCATTCATTTCTGTTGTTACTCGAATCGCCTCTCCTTTTTTCTCTCTCCCATGTCGGAAGCACGCATGCGTCAAAGCAGGGTGTAGTGAGACAGTGGGAGCCCTAACGCAAATACTCCCCTCCCATTGGACACATAACTCATGTGACTCGTTCTCGTCCAATGGGACAGGAGTGTTGGTTTGGGATCTGACTGTCTGATGATAGCCTAGCCACGGCCAGCAGCCACACACACCCATAACAAAACCGCATGGCTCGGAGCCTCGGACGTGCGCGGAAGTGCATCGCGACTCACGTTGTGATTTCGATACGTTGAATCGAACGTCTATTACGAGTCATTTCGATTAAAATCGTGAATCGCAACAGGCCTAATAGCTATAATATTAACATAAAACAATAGAGGGAAATGATTTGATTGGTAAATAACCTGAAATGTCTTTTAGAAGTGTTAGCTTGAATTTACAGAGGTTTCCCTCTCTTTCACTTCCGTTGCTTGGAGTTGACATACATGTTTATGATTTTACTGTTGGATTAAAACATGTATCTACATTTCATAGTGCAGCGTTGAAGCGTTGTTTTGCTGGTTAGGGTAGATTTGGCATGCAAGGCTATTTCATTAGTCCAAAAGTGTTGTTTTGGTTGAAAGTTCATGTTCACAAAATAAAAGAAATCCATAAAAAGGTATCAGGTTTTTTTGTTTTGTTTTCTCCTTTATCATAAATCTGAAGTAATATTTCAAGTACAGAATAAGTGAAAGGATGAGTTCTTATCATCATCACCACTGAAAGCATTCTCTGTATCTCAGCTCTGATTTTCAGCTTTGACTTCACTTTGCTCTCCCTATTCTGTGATTTCAGCTAGACCAAGGTCCTCTCTCCGCCAGCCCTCATCTAGAGGTGCCTCGAACCGGTCAGCGAGTCATTATCAACTCCATGCCAGCAGTCTTTCAGGAGACTTCAGGTGGAAAAAAAACATCCCAATTTGAAGTAGTTGAAGTTGAAGAAATAATGTACAGTAGATATTGACACAACTTTATCATCATCTATGAAATAAAAAGCAAAGCAACCTTACAGCTTGCTCTTTTTCTGTAACTAAACAGAATTTATTGATATGTCTTTTTTTTGTTAAAGTTTATAAACAAAAGTTTTGTCTTTCCCTCAAAAACTAGAAAGTTTGACCCAAAATTGAGATCCAGCACTCCTGTTGATCACAGACCACCAACTCCCAAAAGAGCGCTACAACCTGCTGAGAAGCAGCGTGTCGTTCCTGAAAGGTAAACACACAAATCCTGACAAATCATATGCAGTTTAAGGGCGTGTTCACACCACTCTCGTTTAGTCCGGTTGAACCGAACCCTGGAGCGTTTACCCCCTTGGTGCGGCTCGTTTGTGTCGGTGTGACCTCGAACTCTGGTGCGGACCAAATAAACTAACTCTGGTCCGCCTGAAGAGGTGGCCTCGGACCGCTATCAAGTGAACTCTGGAGCGGTTCATTTCTGGTGTGAACGTCATCCACACCAATCACAGGAAACGCACCACACATATATTAAAAACATTACATCTAGGCTATTTGTAATGCTGGTTGTGAAATAAATGTTGCCCGCTCACCTCACTTGTCCTGATTGACACCAGAGAAAAAACGCATCGTGGTAGGCTCTCATTATTGCCTGTCGCTGTCTCGTCTTTATCCGTCTGTTGTTTTGCAGCACGTCTACTCCAGAATGTATTAATTAATGCCGTAGTTCACTGGCTAATGAGCCGTTCATACACGCGATCGACTAGCGTCTTTTGATACGTGCTCCAGACGAGTAGCAAAAGCAAAATCAGCCTACGATGCTCCATGACACGCGAAGACAGCAGAGCGGGGTTTGTATTCCCGCATAAACTAATGACCAATAACCGAACGATATTCATGGTCACGTGACTTCTGGTTCCGTTTTCTGGAGTGGTTGAGTTTGTCCTTTGTGAACGCAAACCAGACCAGTTAAACAATCAAAACAAATGTATCGTCTTGCCTTGGATTCGAATCAGGAAACGGACCTTTAGGCGTGAACACGACCTAAGATACTTAGAATAGCAATGCAAAATCTGAGTCACACAGATTACGTGTTCATTTGAGGGAGTCACACACAAACATGAATAAACAAATATAGATACAACCGCAAAATACAATCATAGTTTACATTTTTGAACTAATGTGAGCTTTCTAGAGCGCAGTAAAATGAGCATAGCTTTCATGAAAAAGTATGTGAAAAGCAGCAATCACTGTTAAAAGTAGAGAACAGACCAATAAGATGAACTTGTTTTGTCTTGGTTTATGGATTTGCATCAGAATGTTCCCAATAGACAGTTTGTTGAAGACAAGCATAATATTATGTACTCCAGGCCAGAGAAATCACATGTTGTGTTTCCAACAGGCAAGAAAATAAGATCTTTGCAGGATGCCAGAAGACTAAAGGTACGAGGACTCGGCTCCTGTCTTTCTTTGATGTATTGGCAGAACCTGGATTGATATTTATTCTTGAATTTTGACATTGTTGAAATGTTTTCTAAATTATTTGACCCTCTTCTTTCTCTGTCATTTTTACTCTTACTCATAACATGATATAAAAACACAAGATAAAGCAGCTCTTTTTGTTTAAAAAAAATCCTGATTCTGGCTGCAAAGAGCCTTGTCCTAATTTTTTAAAATTATATTTACATGATTCCACATGTTTGTTTAGGTTGACACTTATTTAAGAGGCATTTGGAATAGTTAAAATATGTTTAGACAATTTAAATGGACAGACTAGTTATATGTCTGCTAGTTTAAGCAGGGATCCCACAGTATCACAATAAAAATGTTCAGTGCTCTCTAAGTATTAATGTATAGTTAGCCAGATTTAAAGATGAGTTCATTGATTTATAGAATTATTTATGTAGTTTGGAAAATCATCTTTCAGTTCCTGCAGTTGGTAGCACTTCTATGGCAGTAGTATTCTTACAGCACAATTATAAGGTTCTCTTTCTTTGAACATTTTCTGTTTGATCACTTTGAGTTGGATTAGTGTCTCTTCAGTTCAGCTCCTTGTGTGTTTTTTTCCACTATGTTAGAAAACGTGCTTGCAAAGTAATGTGTCTTCTCAGATTGTTGGTTGGAAGACTTGGAGGGAGCCAGAAGAATGAGCAGGCTATCCCAAGGTTGTCAAAGGGATTTGACCAATCAAAATCAAGTATTTAGCACAGCCGGATAATTAGTACAAATACATGTTAGAGAAAATAAACACAAGTTGCTCAATTAGAAATATAATAAGAGGAGAATGGGTAAGTTATGCTGTCCTGTTTAGTGCAGGAGATCACTGCCACATTTTCTCACATTTGAACTGTTTTTTTGTTTTTTTTTCACAGCTGAACCTCCTAAAAACGTCTTAAGAGCCGACCAATCCCAGGTATGAGGTTTGTCTGTATTTGCATAATCATTTCTCATTGAGGAGTCCTTCCGAAAAGCTATAGTCCCTCAGTCGTAAAAGCGCAGGGACAAACTTGTCCACACTATTATGTGTAATCTCTCCCTGTAGTCCAGTCAGTGTGACGTGGAGCTGGTGCAGAGCAGGATGACTCAGCTCCTGGAGAAATACTGCAGCGGTGTGTGGATGTCGAAGCTTTCAGGACTCTACAGTGAAATGTTTGGTCAGGAGCTCCACCCTCAGGTCCTCAGCAATCTGGAGAAGTGGACACACATCTGCATGGTGAGTCTATACGCTCTATTTCTACATGAGAAAATTAGCATTGCCCTGATCAAAACATTAAAATAGGAAGCTGAAGCTATATGATGGTAAATCTGATTCAGGCACATCTGGCTTTCTGGGGAGAGTATTGCAGTATTACTAATAAAATACAGCAGTTGTTAAGAGTTTTAATTTATTAAGTAGCAGAACTTTTTTTTGATTAAAATCCACTTGTGACTGTAAGTGCAGATTTTTGCATTAGACTGGCATGTACCAACATCTTACGGGGAATTGAAAGGAGTGAAAATGATGTGCTTTTTTTTCCTTCATAGGTGGAAAAATCTTCCAACCCCTTGAGAGTGGATCACCTCATCTACCCTCCTCTTCCACCAAAGCCTTCAACTTTCTTTCTACATAGCACAACCACCATCCCTCTAACATCCTCGACCAATTACAGCACTGTCACCAAACCTATTTCATCTAGTCCATCAACTCCAGAACAACTCTCCCCTGCCCCCCACGTATCCCCCATTCCCAGGCCGAGATTTCAAAACCCTGTGGCTAAGCCCACTTTTGTTTTTCCCTCCCAACCTGTTGCAGGCTCTCCAGCCACACCGCCTTTAGTCACACTGCGCAGCCCTGCCCACAACCCAGCTCTCGCTCCCCGGCTGCTCCCTTGTGCCAGCCTGGCTGTTAATACAGCTACAACTACTACAGCTACCCTCAACCACAACAGTAACACTCCACCAATTGCCCAGACCTGGACTTGCCCTCCCCTTTCCCCAAACCAAATCCCTGGCCCTGACGTTTTACCACTGTTGAAGGTTACCTTCTCCCCGTCCTCAGATCTAACCCCTTGTCCTCCCTCACAAATGTCCTCCCCTGGTTTGTCACCTGATGTTCGTCAAAAATTAAAGGAGCTTCTGTCTAAGTACAGTCATGGTGTTTGGGCCCATGGTTTGCCCCAACTCTTCATGGATACTTTCAAAACGCCATTCCCTGCCCACGTCCTCCAAAACCTGTCTCTTTTGCTGGATATATGTGATGTGGAGTATCCTGTGCCAGGTGACAGGACAAAGGTATGTAAATGTGACAGTGTAGCATGTGTCAAATCAAGTCATCCAAAATGAGGCATTTTCTGGTGCTGATATGAAAGTGTAACAGCACCAGGAAATGTAACTACGTGTATAACTTAGCCCTGAGTCAGGTGTCCTCAAAAGTGCATTTAATATGGTAGCAGTCAGCTGTCAATGTCTTACTACATCAGGTTGGTACTTTTCAATCACCATAGCCATCCATAGATTGTATAAAACAAGGGCATAGTCTCAGTCATGTCACTCAGTGTTTCCTGTGTAGGGGCTGTAAAGCCTGATATTTACAGGCACTATGGTGAAATGTTAAATTAACCTTACTTTGAATCAATTGAAAACCAGGCAAAGAGGTGGAGCTGAGGCAAGCTTTAAAGACTAAAACATACAAGATGCGTGTTTGGAGCGTGGCAGCAGCGTCGTGTATCACGCAGCAAATAGGTTGCCATTCTTATCAATGCAGCAGAGCATACAGGACGCGTATCAGCTCCGTTGCAGCATCGTATCGAGAGCAGCACTGCTTAAGATACGCGTCGTCTATTTTTGCTGCTCTACGCTTCCAATGCGCATCAATCCACACAGAGAAGATCGTTCCAGACAGGAAGTCAAGCACGAAAACCGCGCATGTCATACGGTATTTCAAAATAAAACACCATATGCGAACTTCCGACTGTGTATCAGTTCGTGTAGATGAGAAATTCTTCCTGGTTACAGATTTATCAGTAACAGAACAATCCGATGGTCAGTCCTTGATCCATGTGGACCCCAACAGGACTTTGAACTGCTGTCTAAAGCAGTGGTTCTCAACTGGTCTCACTTTGGGACCCACATTTCCTCATGGTCCTTAAGTCGTGACCCACTTGTATAAAATTGAAACCACGCAAATGTATAAAAAAAAAAAAAAGCTTTGAAGGCTCTAATCTTTGACATAAATACACCCATTTTATTGAGTAAAGTGCATTTCAGAGCACATGAACTGAGGACGACAACTACTAAAGTTGCATATACAGAGAATAACTATCAAATTGCACAAAATAAAGACAAAAAATTTTTACCATTCAGGCCATATTAGTAAGAAACCGAGGAGGACCACGATATAATGTGTGCCTTTCAAAATAAAAGACATGTCAAACATCAGATGTGCATGAAATGTGTACTTTTTTGACCAGCTGTTCACGACCCATCCAGAACATGTCCGCGACCCACTTTTGGATCGGGTCCCACCAGTTGAGAACCACTGGTCTGAAGGTAACAGCACAGCATAAAGGAACATCGTTTACTTTATTAAACACGTGTAAACCTGCAAAAACCCAAACTGTAAAATCACGTTGCTTTTTCACATGTAGTAGAGGCCCAACGTCACTAAATTATATCCAAATTAGCAGGAAATAGACCACAGAAAGGCAAAACAACCTGTTGTGAGCATGTTGTCTCCTCTATATTGCATTACGCTGCTGCCACGCTCCAAATACGCATCCTGTATGCGATACCCAGGGCTGCTCTACGGAGCAAATACAGAATGAGCTCAATACGGATCCTGTATGTTTTCGGCTTAAGGCTTCTTGCCAACAGCTACAGTGCATCCACCTGCTTTTCAACACATCTGCACCCCTGCCTGTGAAGATATACATTAACCAGTCATCACACTTTGAACACCTGGGATTTCAATTCCAGTGAAATCCAGCTGGGTTTTATAGGATTGCCCAGGTATCTGTGAAGTTAGGAGTGTTCAGTGTATTTTAGAAAACACTGTATGCATAAAACCCAAAGCCATTCTTGAACCAGGCTGTAAACATGTTAAACCACACTGTAAAGCTGGACATTTTCAACATAGGTGGTCTTGGTAAATTTCTTTGCTTTTGCAGTCCTAAATGGACTCATCAACATTTGCTTCATTTATCAACACTGCAGCAAAGCAAAATAAACATTTGAGAATAAAGATCCATCATAGCTTCCTAAGTTTGTTTATCACTGTGAAGAGCTGTACTGAATATTAGTAGGTTTGCAACTGTCACAGGTGCATAGACTCTGCAGCCTTCATTACACAAGCACTCCCTGTGGTGTTAAAGCTGAGTTTTGGTATCCTTTTGTTTTGCTCTCATTGTGCTTTCCTGTTGCCAGGCCATCTTGTACAACTCCATTCAAACAGAAGAAGACGACAAAGACAAACCAGGAAGCCAACAGGACAGGAGCTGCATTCTCCCCTCTGGTCTGGAGGTCATAAGTCCTGTAGTACCTTCCTGCCTGGTCCCTCCTGTGCAGCAGTATCCCTCTGTGTTGGTTACTGATGCCACTAGCAGCAATGCTGTCACGATAAGGCAAGAAACACGTATTTTCATATACAGATGCCAGTAATACATGTTGAAACAAAGAAAACTTCAGTGTCAGTGTACCCAGGACAGGAGACAGCCTAATCTGCCAATGAAGTTACTCTGGACTGATTCTAGTGATATAAAAATGAAGAATTAGAATAACTTTATTTTATCTCCAAAGGGAAATTCAATTTTTCCTTTTATGACACAAAAGGAAAGTTTGCTCCTTTTAAGCTGAAAAAAAAAAAAAAAAATTTACTTTGTCTCCTCATTTGATTTACCTCTAGCAACTTGAAGCCCCAGGTCACACACACACTCATGTTTTTGTGTCTTTTTAAGTACAGCAGCCCAAGTTTGAAGATGTCTATGCCCAGATTTCAAAGTGTTTCTCTTTCTTTTCAGGTATGTAGGTGAGAACTACTCCGATGCCCAAGAGGCTATGGAAGTGACAATGCACTCCTTCTACACAAGCACCACCCAACATCCTGTGAATCGCCCTGTGGTCGGTCAGCTGGTGGCTGTCAAAGGAGAGGATGGAGAGGAGCTTGCCAGAGCTCAGGTCATGGATGTGACAGACCCCAGCAAGATCAAGGTATCTTGTAATGTGAGAAGATAGTTGTTTGTGGTGTAGATTTCTGAGAGGATTGAGAGTTCTGTTTTTGATATTGCTGAGCCTCAGAATGGGTGTGTGTTTCTGCAGCAGATAGCTGTCTCCCTGTCTGTGTCTGCTTGTCAGGTGTACTATGTAGACTATGGTTTCTATGTGGAAACCAGTCAAACCAACTTGCTGGAGCTGCACCAGGACTTCCTCTCCCTGCCATTCCAGGCTACTAATGTTGAACTTGCAGGTGCGCAGAAGACTAAGGCATCATTTCAGGGATTGCTTTTGTGTAACAGTTTGATGTGGACAGTACAGGCCAGAGATCACTCAAGTTCTTCCTCTCTCTCCTCCCTCCTCATGCCATTCTTTATTCACCTCTCTCAGGTCTAGAGGTTTTTAGTACCCATCCACAGGTACTGTCCTGCCTGGACAAGTTAGCAGTTGGAAAAATTCTACTGATGGAAACACTGGAGCAGTCTAATAAGAAGGAGACGCCCATGGCAGTGCTGTACGACACTTCACAGGATGAGGACGTCAACATCAACTCTGCTTGTTTCAAGGCTCTGCAGGACATGTCCATGAACAACCCCTTGAGAGTAAGCATGGTGGTGCTGACAACATCTATTTTGTGAACATAAGGCCAGGTAAAAGCCTGACTGAGTTTCTCAAAAGTTGAACATCTCTCAACATCACAGATTAGTTCTACCTGTGAGTGGTGATGTTCTAGCTATCCCATGTTGGTCTGTCTTTTTGGTGAAATTTCTGGCTGGAGTTGAACCAGCCTCCATGATGGTGAGGTCCTCATTTTCATCATTTTATCTCTATGCAACATCAGTCTCTGTGTTACTTGCAGGTAAATGTTGTTTATAAGGACGCGTGTGTCACAAACGTGTGCGCAAATGGGATCATTCATTGCCAGTTCCCCTGCAGGGGAAGTGCAAGACTCGAGAAGTTACTGGAAAGAACAGAGGCCATCCTCAAGTCTCAGGTAGATGAGTCATAGATGAAGAAATGAGTTTGTGTCATTACTCTTAAAATGGTCCACTGAGGGTGTAAAAGCAGCACATTTGCATGTTACTGGGCTTTTTGACTAAGACAGTCTGTCCTCCTGTAACAGTGAAGGAGTTTGGAGATACTTCTGGATCACCAGACTTCAAAAACTACAAAAGTTTACCAACATAAAGCACTTTTTAAAGGTTTAGTTTGAAGTGTTTTATATAACAGTCTTGTAATTTAAGATTTTAAGTGCCAATCCAATAACAATCAAGGCACAGGTGTCACATGTGTTAAAATGTGACAGAACTAACTAGAAGTGAGTGTCTGAAAATTTAGAACAGGACGAAACCAAAATTGGATCACAGACCATAGACTCTATATACTATGGACAACTTGGTTCCGCCTACTGCCTGTTTACAGATTTGAAGCCAAAAAGCTCTCGGCATTTCTGGGATTTTTCTTCATTTCCTGAAACCAGTGCTGCGCAGTAGCGATGCGCACATTCGGGCGCGCAGTCGCCGAGAGTCGCTGTGATGACGCTCAGCTCAAACAGCGTATCCCCCCGGGTGAGCTACGCAATCCCTGAACGCCAATAGGTTGTATCAGGTGTCAATCAAAGAAAACTTGAACCCCCTAATAAAAACAGAGTTTCACTGAGAAAAGAAGACTTGAGCACAAACCAGTCTTACTTTAACTACATGTCAACATCACAAGCAGGGGGGAGAAACATTTATATTCTGTGTAATGAATTTCTAAAGTTTGTCCACAGCTCCATAAGCTTTGCTGGTGGAGGCGGGATTTATGACCTAAACTGCAGCCCATCAACAGAGGGTGCTGTTCTCGTAGTGGCTTCACCCAGAGAGGAGGCAGACTCTGTCCATTCTATATACAGTCTTTGTCACAGACACACACTTTTAAGCATTTGCAGTCACTGTCACCCTAAACCATGATTTTAAAACTGTTAACCTGGCTTAGGTTTGCGTACATTATTTTATAGTAAAATTTAATCTGAGAATCTTAACTGGTACATGCAAAGCTAAATTTCATATTTTGATTTCCAAAGCACATTTTTCTTGGGCCTATAATTGTGTGTGATGTGGTGTATCTTGATTAAAATCAGAATTTATTGTTGTAAGATGGTATGAGATGTTTTCTGTTAAGGAATCCAGATGCCTCTGTAATTAAATATCTGCAACAGTGTGCAGGTACCCCCACCTTATGTTTGGATTCATCGATGCCTTATAGCCTTAAGAGTAGTGAGTAAACTTGGCAAGTTTTTCCCATCCCCCACCATAGACTGTAAATACCATGGACAACTTCATTCCACCTTCCGTCATTATAAAAATTTGAAGCTGAATTGCTCTCGGTATTTCCGGGATTTTCTCAACCACTTGCGCAGTAGCATTGTATGCATTCTGCGGGAGACTCGCTGTGATGGCGCTCGGCTCAAACAGCGTATCCCCCGGGTGAGCTACGCAATCTTCTTACGCCCATAGGCTGTATCAAGTGTTCATCATAGAAAATATGAACGCCCTAATAACTTTTAAAAACTGAGCTGCACAGAAAAAAGAGGACTTGGGCACAAACCAGTCTTACTGTAACTAAATGTCAACATCACAAAAATTTAAATTCTGTGTAATACATTTCCAAAGTTTGTCCACAGCTCCATAGGGATTGCTGGTGGAGGCAGGATTTACGACCTATACTGCAGCCCGTCACCAGAGGGTGCTGTTCTCACGTGGGCTTCACCCAGCGATGGCATTTATTCTATATGCAGTCTTTGTCCCCCACTAGATAGATACCCCTATGAGCCAACTCCTACGGTCTTGATGGGTTCTGTCTAGCCGTGAACTAGTCACTGGTTGTTGACTTTGACCCCTTCCTACTTCAGTCTCCGACTAGTTTTAATCCAGTGTTTACAGACAAGTGTTGTTTTTAATTTATGCACCTTCTTTGAGCCTTTGCTGCCAAAGTTTCTTCTCTCTGTAAAGTCTGCTTGTTTGATTATGCTACTCTTTTACCTTCTGGTTATAATGTGGTTATACTAAAGATATCTTGATATTTTGAATCCCACCAGACAACATCTGAGCTGCTGGTGTCTAGACCCTTTCATGGCAAGCCCTGCTTAGCCCGGTACAAAGAAAAGTGGTCTAGGGCCGAGGTAAGATGAGAAACATTACAATGTGTTTAAATTGAAGAAGATGATCATTTTAAAAACGTATCGACTACTCTGCCACAAAAACTACCACAGTTTCATCTTATTTGAAAAAGTTTCAGGTCATATTTTTTGGCCTCTTGTTTTCAGATCACCATCATGTACGGAAACGGAGTGATGGACATTCTGTTCACAGACTTGGGAGTATCAGCAACTGTGAAGGTCACTGACCTCCGAGAGATCCCCCCTGTGGTCCTGAAGGCCTTAATCATCATCCCTCCACAGGTCTGTATGGGCATAGGTAAAGGTGGGAAAAAGTCATCAGGTTTTAACATTTAATCCGTCTTTTGAATGGAGAATATTCTTTGCTCTATTTATAGGTTCACGTTCCTATCTGAATTGTTCAGAAATACTTGCCTTATCTACTTTCAGGTTGTCAAATGTCGTCTGGCTGGGTTCCCAGTTCCAAATGGAGACTGGAAATGGGAGGCTATACGGTGGCTGAGGGAAGTCACTGAAGACTGTGATATTCGGGTAGGAGATTTATCATAATCAAACAAACGCTGAACATATTTAGAAATTCAGCTTCATTCAGACACGTTCCTGGTTTGTCATAATGATTACTCCTGGAGGGCAGGCATACGCCAAAGCTAACAGGAAGCTTATGAAGGTATATTTGCACCCCTGCCTCTTTTTAAAATCAATAACAAACCAACCATGTGGCAAATGACAGAATGATCATCTACATCACTGCTACGCTGAAAAGTCTCCAAAGTAAATATGAAGTAAATGCCTACCCTGTGCTGAAGGACACTTTCCTTTGTCCTATTAGCACAAACAGGATTCTGAAACGGTTAGCTTAATTGCCCTGGTCTTTAGATCCATCCCAGTTGAAAATATAATCCACTGACCCTGGTGTGTATGATGCAGGATAAAGTCTTAATGTACAGAATTATGCCGAGTAGACAAGCCTTTGTAAAACAACCATGTCCAATTCCTTTTTTTCAATTTCAGATTTTGAAGTTAGACCAGCAGAAAGAGAACCTGCTGGCTTACGTGTACCTCTTCTCCGGCACTGAGAGTCATGAGCCGGACAAGAGCATCAATCATCAGCTCATCCATTCAGAGTTATGGCAGAAATACACAACGGAAAACACCAACACAATCCCCAGCAGTGACAGCCCGCCAGTTTTAGGTAAAACTGCACTCAAGCATTAAAGTTCTCCCGTCATTGGGTTAAGAGCATGTACACACAACACTCCTCTCTACAGGAAATCCTTTGGAAAGTGACAGAAAAAGACTCTTAGATATGTGGCATGGTGGGTTGATGGTCGGATATTATGATTTAGGGCAGAAAACATTTTCAGTCTTAAGTTTTTTATTTTTATGTTTTTTGTTTTTTTTTGCTTTAATCCCTGAGCTCATGGTACAAAGGCTTTGAAGTGTAAGTGTTGACTCAGCTTATGTACGAGTGTGTTGTACCATTTAGGTCTCAGTGATCTCCTGGAGGGTTTGACTCTGAGCGGCGTGGTCCAAAACCAGATGGTCCAGGCTGCAGCCCAACCTCTTTCCAGAACCTTGGACTTGTCTTTTCCAGAGCCAACCACCCAAACTGGGATGCACCCTGTTTCAATGCCTCCTCCGCTGGAGCTTCCCCAGGTGCGCAGACATATACCAACCCACAGCTGCTGTTGTCACATGTTAGGAAAGTAAATTCCACGTTGACTAAGGGCTTCAAATGGTCACACAAAAAGCGATAATTCATTTGTAGATGGTCCTAAGAAAAAGACAATACAGTGGTCTTTATAACAACTCAGAGGGCCTTCAAAAGCAGAGCAATACAGTGTTTATATTTGTGTTGTTGTTCTTGTTCTCCTCCATGTCTTCTTTCAGCCTGGTCAGAATATGGATGTGTTTGTGCCAGTGGCCTGCCACCCTGGTTACTTTGTGCTGCAGCCATGGCAGGATCTCCATAAGCTGGTTGTGTTGATGGGGGAGATGATCCTCTATTACAACCAGATGTGGCAGAGCAACACCCCAGTGCACATTGAGAAAGGAGAGGTCTATGCCGCAAAAGTAGACAAGAAGTATGTGACTCATTTGTTGACACCTCACAACAAAACGCATATCAGTCCTCCTAAAGTATGTTTTTATTGTCAATCTTTCTGTAAACAATGACCATGGCAAGTGAGAACATCACATAAGAAGTTCAGTTGTCTAGCTTTTAATGGGTGTTTTCCACTTCTCAGCTGGCACCGTGTTCTGGTCAAGGGGATTCTGACAAACGGGTTGGTTTCTGTCTACGAGTTGGACTATGGCAAACATGAGCTGGTCCGTAACACTCTCATTCAACCACTGATTGAAGAATTCAGACAGCTGCCTTTTCAGGCCATCACAGCTCAGCTGGCAGGCAAGTTAAAGCACAAGTGTCTGACTGCAGCCCTCATGGTTTATATGCATTAAATCAAACAAAACATTTTTATTTATTTAAATTAAGAAAGAGAGGTGAAGTTTCACACTTTAAAGTTTGTCCTTATAAAACAAAATCCTTATTGATTTCTTCATATTTGACATGCTGGTACTACATTGGTTTGATTCTCATTCCTCTGTATTTTTCATTCATATAAAGGGGGTGTTATGAAGTGGAGCTTTAAATAATGACAAAACGTGTCTCCTTTGTACTGTACTGCCTTGCCCTCATTCTTTAATGTTGACAAATGAAAATCGCAAAACACGGACATCATTACCATCCTTGACTTCTGTGCAATCAAGTTCCATACCAACAACGAAACCATATTTCCTGTGATTTCAATTTAAAGGTGGGGTAGGCAGGATTCTGTTCAAGAAGCATCTTTTTTGTGGTGTTTATACAAAAAAGCTTTTAATATCAGTCAATCGCTATTATTTATTGATGACATTTGGTAATATCCCGATATTGCTGTGTTTTGTTATGCCTGTGTAGTCAACATTTTAAATTTTTCGAGCGTCCCGCTCTTTCTGACCGTAAACAAAGCCATTCTCCGCCTCCCCCAACCTGATTGGTTGTAAGGCAGACACTGCTCCCCCGTGTTGTGAGGCACGCTCCATGTTTCTAAAAAAGTTCACGAGCCCAAACAAAGTTAGCGTGCTACAGTATCCGACAGTAGAAAGCAACCAGAAAGTTAGGGACTGCAATGGAGTTTCACAGCCCAAGGAAGAACATTTCTGATCATTTCTTCAGCATTTCCTTGAAGTAATAATCATCATATTAATAATTTTGCACTGCAGACGCGGTAGTTCTTCTGCCTTAGTGTCTCAGGTTGATTGCATCTCCATGAAGAAATTAACATAAATGTTCTTCTTTGAGCTGCGAAACTCCACAGCAGTCCCTAATGGACTGGCCTGAGGTCTCGCTACAAACAAGTGGCTGCTGGAAGAGAGTAGGTGAGTTGTGTTTAGTCGCTTTGGTAAAGAAACCAGGCAAAGCTAGAAAGATGTACGGTGGCTAGTACTATGGCTGGGACCCTGGATGTACTGTTAGTGAAGTTAGGTGCTGTTCTGAGCATTATTTGTGGGTGAGCATGTGGCTCCTGAGACCACTGTGTATTGCTAACTAGAGAAGCAAGCGGTCGGGAGCATTTATCTCTTGAGGGGGTGTCTAACTTAGTGTTACGGCGTGTTTGACCCTACATTAATTTTACGCCGGAATATCCCTTTAACTCAGTGCAATATTTCACACTATTCTTTAGTTATGTTCAATAAACTGTTCACAGGAGGGGGTCTTACAGACTAGAAATTGACAGATTTGTTTGACAACAAAAAGCATCATTCTTGGTTACTTAAAGAGGTGGCGCTCTGGTCATCAGTGTGATAACTAATGCCTCCTCCTGTTGCTCCTGCAGGTTTGACACAGACCCGGTGGTCGGAGGAGGCCTCAATGTTATTCCGGAATCACGTGGAGCATCGTGCACTAGTGGCCCAGGTTGAGAGTGTGCAGGATGTCTCAGAGGTTAAAGGTCAGCTTTGGGAGCGCAAGTTAACAGTTTATCTGGTCGACACCACATTGGAGGAAAGGGACATCTGGATTCATAGCGTCATGGCTGACCTCAGCGGTGAGCTGACCAGAGCAGCTTAAGACCTCTTCTCATGCAGGTTCGATGGAGGACGAGAATAAACTGCATCAGAAACATACTTTTGAACCAACAACTGTTTTTTTGGGTTCTCTCTTCTCCCCAAAGTGCTCAGCTTATTCAAAAACCAAAAGTCACTTTTCTCGGCAATGTCAAATGAAGTTTGTGTGTTGCACGGTTTGTGTGTTCAGTTTTTTTGTTTGTTTGCTGTGCTTCGTCAGAGGAACTTATTTTGAATTTAATCAATATGTAAATAGTTGTTTTAAGATTTGTCCAACCCAGACAGTTTTGTTTTGGTAAGTGTTTGTAGGTGTTTAACTTCATTGATGGGTGCACCAGTCTTGAAATGTTTTTATGTTGCTCAGCTGGAAGAATTAGTTCATTTCATTTACAGTTGTTTTAAAAGGATTTTAAAACAACGCTCAGCTGGAAGAATTAGTTCATTTCATTTACAGTTGTTTTAAAAGGATTTTAAAACAACGAAGAGATATGTGTTTGCAGACACAGCTAAACAATTTATTTTTGCTGTTTCTTTGGGGGCTGTGCTCAAAGTTCCTATACAAGTGTTTGTACCAAAATAAATAGACTTTAAAAATGTTTAAAAATCAATACCAAATTGTCTAATAGTATTTTTTATAAAGGGGTTTTCTCCATCATGCAGGTAGCAACTTGAAAACAATGAAAAGTAAGTGGAGTTAGATCAAACTTAAAAACAGGGAAATGATAAGGGAAACAAATTCGTCCGATAATGGACGCAGTTTGACTCCATGACATCACTGGAGTGACAGAGCAGCCGCGCTGGGGGGAGGAGGAGGAGGAGGATCTCTCCCCTCAAGTTTACTTTGCCCTTTGAGGGAGATGAGTTCCAGCCTGAGCTAACCCGCAGCAAGACGACCGGGTCCGAGGGAGGAAATCTTCTGAACACGCTGAACTTTCGCTGGTTTCTGGATTATCTGTGGGTCATGGATGGTTCGGTCTAGCGAGGCCGTTTGCGGATTCCCGGCTTGTGCGCCCCTACAGCTGAGCGGACCGCTCGGTGCGACTCCAGGCGGCTCTGAAGGAAACCATATCTGGTCAAAGTATTCGTTGCTGTCACACAGCGGGACCGTCCGGCTATAAATAGCGCCGGAGGAGGTACGGAAATAAATGCAAAAATTATACTGCAAGCTGTTAAACAGGCAAATAAGTGAGCATCACACATCCTGGTAAAATTTATGAGAGAAGCTACAGGACCGTTTGAAATTACTTCAAAAACTGCATTTATGTAAGATTATTGAATTCAAAGAGGGAAACGAATACTTTAAATTTACTATTAGTAGTTAAGCTGCTGTTGGGTTATGTTTTAAGCTGCTGGGTCTCAATGACCTGCAACAAGTCTCCACTGCAAACTTCTGCACAGAGACCCCTTCCTCTAGTCTTCAACAGGGACAACACCTGAGATTAACAGGCTGAAAAGTGTATTGTGAGGTTAACATGATAACAGTGATAGTGTCCATTTTACCTATAATCTCACCATTCAATCGACAGCAACAAATTGATGTTATATTTTTGCACACAAGGTAAAAAAACAACTTGCAGAGTCAGACCGTCAGTCAGCAAGTGCTGCAAGATGGAGCAGTTGTCTCCTGGCATGTTTGTTGTCAGCTCCTTTGTGAGCTCCATGCATGCATTGCCCTGGAGTATGAGGAGGTTTGTAGCATTGCTTACTTGGAGAGTTATGGTTTTCCACATTGTTTAATTCTTTAACTTCAGCCTGAAGCTGTTTCTCACTCTTGGTCATTTATTTATTGCTGCACAGTGCCTCACCAAAATCATTGTTGCATGTGTTAAAAAGTTAGCGCTTCATCTCTTGGATTTGTTATGTATTACATCAGGGCCCTACATAAGAATGACACACTGAGTACTAGTGTGACAAACATCTCACACTTTGACTCCTACAGAATGCAGAAATGGCCTGACCTCCAAAAGCAGAAGAGCTACTCACCCCCTTATTCTTCAGTTCATGATACACAACTCCAGGGTCCTCTAAGTGGACTCTTATGACACAGTGGACAGCTATAAATGATGGCTTGAATTCCTCTGACACTCGAATTAATAAAGTTACAGGGAGTTTTATAAACTTAATTTGTCTAATTTGTAAACTATGCATCCTCTGTTAGTGCAAAACTGCTTTTTAAATGGATGCCCTTATTACTGTTACTGTAGAAAATCCACTAACTCACACACACACTGTCCTGTAGTTGATCATTTCATACCACATGCATTAGAGGAGTAAAGCAGAGCAGTTGCCTCGAGTCTCAGCTGTCTTCTAGAGGGTCTGTTCAGATATCTGTGCAATAATAACTGCAATCCTGCAAAGTATTTTCAACCAGAATATAAATATTACTCTAAAATGTTAAGCTCTGAACCATAGACGATGAATGCATACAGTGAAATTGATTCTTTCAAGAAACTACCTGATTGAATTCTTGCCAAGTCATTTGATTGAAGAGGAAGACCTGTGTGAGAGGTGACTCAACAACAGCACAGGGACTTTTTGTCAAGTGTATCCCTCCGCTTTCAGTCTTTGGACTACATTTAATCACACTATAGAGGACTGTTTGTCTAGACTGACTAAGATGGTACCTTTGAATCACACTGGTTGCCAAAACAAGTAAAGCACGGCAGTTAAACATACATGATACAAAGAGGCATGTCTGCTGAAGCCTTACAGTGTATCCAGAGTGTTTATGAGTGTTAATGTTTGGGTTGCTTTGGGGATTATGCAGTTCCAGTCAGTTGTCAGTATGAATAGTTACTCTAGATTACTAACCAGTTACTGAGTACTTTTTGGTTTGCTGTCATTTTTTAAGAATACCGTTCCTGAGGTTGTGCTGCTGTACTGAATATCAGCATACCTTTAGCATGTGGCCTTAAAGGGATATTCCAGCATAAAATTAATTTAGGGTCAAACATACTGTAACACTGAGTTAGACACCCCCTCGAGAGATGAATGTTGCTGACTGCTTGCTTTTCTAGTCATACCAACTGTTTGTGGGGAGAGCCCGGACGAGTCCATCACTGAGTGCAGTGGATCATTTCCTTAAAGTAATAAACATCATAATAACCATGTTGCACTGCAGACGCAGAAGTTCTTCTGCCTTAGCGTCTCGGTCTGATTGCACTTCCATGAAGTAATAATCATAAATGTTCTTCCTTGAGCTGCGAAACTCCACTGCACTCTGTGATCGACTCGTCAGGGCTCACCCCACAAACAAGCGGCTGCTGGAAGAGAGTGGGTGAGTTGTGTTTAGTCTATTTGCTAAAGAAATCAGGCAAAGCGAAAAAGCTGTTTGGTGGCTAGTGCTGTGGCTAGGACCCTATATGTACTGTTGATGAAGTTAGGTGCTGCTCTGAGCATTATTTGTGGCTATAGATTGGAGCTTTGGTTAAGTTTGTGCCTGGAGTGGTGGACTGCTGTGTATTGCTATCGTGCGGTTGCTACTTAAATTGGTATAACTAGAGAAGCAAGCAGTCGGCAACATTCATTTCACAAGGGGGTGTCTAAATCGGTGTTATGGTGTGTTTGACCCTGACTTAATTTTACGCTGGAATATCCCTTTAAATCTGAAATGTTTATGTCTGAATTTACAAAGTATAAAATCCTCACCTCTCATAAGATTGCTTGAGTTAAGTTTTGAACCCTTGTAGGAGGTCCCTGAAGGTGTATTATTCCCACCTGAAGATGAACATCGTTATAGACCATCACTGCAACTTCAGTGTCCATTTAAACCTGACATAAGCTCAGAGGTGATAATAAAATGTTTTGTTTTTCACAAGATTAGAGGATTCAGAAAAGTTTAGGAAAAGTATACTTGCTGTGTGTCAGGTGTTCTTCGGCATCATGTGTGAGTTTTGCAGAGATTTATCTGGCTGGAAAAGCTCATAGTTTTTCCTCTTGGTTTACGTCAAACTCAGACTGAAATATGTGTGGTTAAAGCACTTTGCTGTATGTTAAGGTGCTGGGACCAGTTGTTGTGTGACATCAGTGTGAAAGTTTTACACTCCGGTTTGAGTTTTGATTAATGATCCTGAATCTGTGCTGCTATTCTTAGAGGCCTGAGGACTGGACAGGTCTGGTTTAGAGGGCAGGGGTCAATTCAAGTGTTTATGACTTTACAGGGTACATTCTGGCTGGTTTGCCTTTCTTCTGCTTAGTGAGCATCTAATGAAGCAGAAGCTTGTAGAAACATTCGAAAAACAGACACAGGTCTGGTTGATATCATGAGAGCAGATCAGCGTCTTCCAGCAGAGTTTATTGGAGCTCAGCCCGGTTCTTCATCTCTGATTTTGGAAATATGTCTTGATGAGGAGCCTAGAGAAAGCAGAACAAAAGAAAAACAAGCTTGACTAAACCCTTTTAGGTGGTTAGCTTAAAGACACTTACTGCTGATAATCCATATTTCATTCCTGCTATCAGCAGTTTTCACAGTTCGACCCCTCTGCTTAATTTGAGAAAAACATTTCAGGGTTGTCAGGCAGACTTCTCTCAGCAACAGCAGTTTAGTGCACATTAAAAGCCTCAACTCATGCATGCTAAACATTTGGTGCCATGACCTGAAACAGTTCAGGCTGCAGCTGACCCATCACCAGTTGTCTCTTCCCACATCCAAGACTTTGAAATGAGCATGAGGAAAACATATTTCTTCTCAAGTTATGTGGATTTTATGGATTGACTTTTTTAAATAACATTCTGCTGGGTTTTTGCTGAAAATAGTTCATAGTTTTACCTTCAGTGACTCCAGATGTTTTTGTTTTTCTTTCTTATCAAACAACTTGCCATTCATCTCAAATCTTCTGGTTTCGAATCCTGCTCCTACATACTGTTGATGTCCAACACTTTTGTTCAGCTCAGAGTCGCAAGAAATAAAAACATTTGGGAAAAAAATGTACAAAACCCAAAATATTAACTCTTCAACGGATGTTTGTGGCTTGATGATTGGTAAATATTCTCAATAAGACAAGTCTAAGCTCAGGCTTTGAGACTGAACAGTCAAACTGAGATGGATGTGTGAATATAAAAGCACTCACAGAGGGATCCTGTTCGACAGATGTTTTCTAGTTCTCAGGAGTCACAAACAAGACAAGTAAGAAATGGACCAAATCTCTGTTTAGACTTGATAAATGTTGATTTCTGTTTAGAGGATAAAGCTTATAGGTGTCAGATCCCATCCTTCATTTTACTTTGCAATGGCTTAGACTAATTTTTAGTTTGGAGCTGTGCATTTTCCAAGAAGTTGATTCAAATTAGTTTATAACAGAGAATGAAATACAAAATAGTATTCTTCTATGATCAGCGAAAACAGACATTTTTATGTTTATTTTTAACTCCTAAAACTGATGTAAGAGGGAGAGTGTCAGTGGAGCTGACAGGAGAAAAAGCCTTATATTAAAGTTACTAAAAAAATAAAAACATTTGAGTTTGAAAAATCAGCAGGAAATTATCTTTTTCCTGTCAGAGGACACTAAACCCTATAATGCATGAAACCACAAATTATGGCCAGAAAATTCAATTTTTTTGGAACTGAAATGTTTATTTCACTTACTACTGCAAACCAAAATAATCAAAATGTCAGTAAAATTTTACAAATATATTTATTATCTCATTTGATACATCAGATGTTTTTGGAAACTGATAAACCACAAGAGGACATTTTTATCATGTATCAGTAATTTGTTGATCATATTGATTGATAGAAGTATCATAAAAGTATGTATTAAGTATGATACAAAAGGCAATAAAGGGATAAATATGTATAGGACAAGATACACAAAGGCTGCTGTGTCCACAGGGGGCGCCAAAAGTGACACAAATGGGAAGTTTCTGACAGGTGCTTTAACAAGATATATGGAAAAATATGTATATATGTATGTATGCTTAATGTCCTCCTTGGTAGCTCGTTTGTTGTTTCGTTTTGTTTTTTCTTACATTTGCCAAACTAATCTCTTTATTCTTTCTCTTCTTGATCTGTCTATTTCCCAGAAGCACTCCTGGCACTTTGCTGCCATCGCTGTTTTTCCTTTAAACCCTGAGCTGGGGGAAATCGAGGTAAGATCGCTCAAGTAGGTCTATATTTTTGTCAAAGTGTAACAGCAGACGTTGTATCTTATCATTTTTAATTTTTAATTTTAATAAAGCTTTCTCGGCTGTTTCCTTCCCAGGTCTCTCTGTTTTTCTCAAACTTTAGCACTGTGTGAGCTCCTGATCCCAGCCTTTGTATCATTCTAGGTTGGAGGGGTTAGTGAGGTGAGCAACCAGAGGGGAAAACTCTCAATTACTTTGTTTTTTTATCTTGGCAGGACTGAATCATAAATCTCTGATACATCGAATTATCTGTACCTTGCATCAATAACATGAGACAAAAGTAGAATGACTAAAGTAAAAGTCTGGTTTTACTGGTAATCTTATCCCCCTTTAACTAAGAGTCAGGTTTATGTATCAGCCCTTATTCAGGTTTTTTTGGTTCCCCTTTTTTAATTGCATTATCTGTGTTTCCAGGTGTGCTGTCCATCATGTCGGTGTTAAAGAAAGAGATGGAGAAGTATAGGGACATAGACGAGGACGAGCTGCTGAAGAAACTGTCAGAGGAGGAGCTGCAGCGATTAGAGGATGAACTAGAGGAGCTGGATCCTGACGTAAGTTTATAATATGAAGGCCATAAAGAGGGGTTTGTGTCACTATGTTGGTGTATATGGAAAATTATGTGGTCATTTAGGCCAAACAGAGCCCTCTGAAATGATGCACTGCGGTACGCTGTATATTTCTATACACCTGTGTTTGCATTGAAACCACGGTAAGCTTCTTCCTGCTGCATCAGTGCCCTGAAACATACTCATGAGTAAATAGTTATGGTACAAAGGTGACAAGAGTTTTGAATGCTATTCGGACAAAACTAACCGCTCAGTCAAGTCAGCCATTCCCCCAATTTTACTGAACTCATTTCATTACTCTTTACTATTGATGCACTGCGCTGCCATCTTGGATTATGACGTTGTTGTCAAGTCGGGGTCACTTGGAAATCCCAACTTTCGAGTACAACTGGAATGTAGCATATAATGTTTTTTATGTTTTTGTTGATGTTGTTGTTGTTGTTTACTAGCTTGTGAAAACTTTAATTGTTGCTTGGTGTTGACTGGCTTTTTGATCAGGTGTGTGTGGCTTTGGGCACTTGAAGCCCACCTTTAATCAATGGAGAGGTCATACCAGTTTTGACTATTTGATAATAATTTATTACTCAGCTGTGTTAAACACTTGATTCTGATTGGCCAGGCTGTTATTTATGCATGACAAACCCTAACTATAAATAGCAAACGGTTGCCAGGGACCATCAGTCAGTGGAGAGAAATGCAGCATATTTAACCTGTGCCTGTTGACACTGTGGCAAAAAAGTTCTGTTTCCATTGGTATTCTTATTCAGTAAACATCATGACTAATGCTTTTAAAATCACTTTTGATTTTCACAGAAAATAGGAGAGGACTGAAACAGGGTAGAAACAGAAAGAGATGTTTAAAGAGCAAAAAGGTGGAGATGCCATGCCGAAAGGAGTCAGAATTTATTTGATGTCAGTGTAACTGAAAAATGAAACTGTTATAAAGACTAATGACACACAAACTGTAAGCTAGAGAAATCTACGGTCTATATTTTTCTAACTTTGTTTTTGTAGGACTTCCTCTATCATTTACAGAATCTCTCCTTTGTATCCTGCATCTGTGAGTTAGTGTGGTACAGAATCAATCACACGTTGGTTATACCTGATGGTGTTTAGTACTCTTGCTCTTTGATGATGTGTTTATTTCTAAAGTACTGCCAGCTTCATACTCTCAGTGTTTATCATGGGTTGAGATGGTGACAGCAGCTGTAATAGCTCTCTGATGAATGTTTGACTGCTTGAGGAGAGGCCAGATTTTCCCTCAATGCCAAGTGGATGACAGGAAGGGTATCATGTGCTGGGCTCAGTGTGTGTGTGTGTGTGTGTGTGTGTGTGTGTGTGTGTGTGTGTGTGTGTGTGTGTGTGTGTGTGTGTGTGTGTGTGTGTGTGTGTGTGTGTTGGCGAGGCTGATGCCAGCAGTGAGTGAGCGGAGGGACCCGGTGACGTAAACAGACGAAGCAGAGAGAGGCAGTGTGTGCGTGAGTGCTTACCTTGTTTGTGCCTGTTTATAAGGGTAACCAGTTGCACAACTGTTCAGTGCTGCTTTGCCGTGAAACACCCTGGAAACTTCCCAGCATGACGTCCCGTATCAGATCCAGTAATCACTCGTAAAGGCCTCACAGAGCAGGACAAAAAAACACGTCTGCCAGCTGTGCTGATGTTAAAGAACAATCAATTTATTTTCACTTCACAAAGAGAAGAGGCAGTACGGTCTGACCTAGAAACACAAACCATACAAATCACTGCACAGTTTAGCTTGGATTCCTTTTGCAATTTATCTGAAACACGGTCTCTTTTTTCTGGTACTGCTGAAAAAAAATCTAAATTCTCACTAAGTTTACAATTCTGAACTTTTCCTTAAACTTTGAAACTTAGAACTGCACTTGTTTAGTTTTCTTTCGGACATCTCCCAGCTCATGGTTTTCATATTAAAGCGAGCAATGAGTGTTTTAGTACAGCCCAAAGTTTTTTTGTGATATTAGTAGACAGCAAACTGTGACAAAGCTGAAGAGAATATAGTGTAGCATTTGATTGCTTAAGAGGGGAGATTTTTTTTCTGGAAAGAGACCAAACTGTTGAAAATAGACTAAAAAACATATCATGGCTTGAAAACACACATTTAGAAGACTTTTAATAACTTCTATTCCTCTGTTTCTGCTGGTTTTTATTAGGAGTGCTTCAGTATGAATATATATGTATGTCAATGGTAGTGCCAAGAAGTGAAAACGAAAGAAATGAGTTATTGCAGGTTTAAAACATTTACCACTTCTTTCTTTAAGCTTCTGTGAGAAACTTCTGGTTTGTATTGATTTTGGTGCCTCTTGTAGACGAAGCAGCGCCTGGTGTCTCTTTAATGAAGTCCTTTCGGCCTATGAGGACGTTTTTGGACAAAAAGTAATTCAGTGCATTTATTGATGTATTGACTAAGTGAAACTAGACCTTTAACATTCTATAACACACCCATCTTACTTATTTTCTCCAAACTGAAACTGGTCAAGTGTTCTGTACATACTCCGGTGTTTGCACATTGGGCTTTGAGTAACACTAATGTGTTTCTAGAAATCCAGGTAGTAAAAAAAACTTTGACAGAAAAAAAAAGGACGTAAGAGAAGACAAAACTTACTTATTGTACAAACAAACAATTGTGTGTTTTCATAACTTAATGTGCATCCCATTAGCGTCTTGTGAGCGAGTACCGTCAATCGTTTTAATACATGATATGACAACCAGGAGATGACCCGATAGTAAGGGAGCATGTCACCTCTCACAAAAGGAAAGGCAGACATACTTCTGTCAATAACTCAAACCCAGGGGCAACCTGGGTCAAGGACAGCACTCCAGTTAATTCTAATCAGGCTCTGACTGTAGCTGACTTGACTGATTGCCTGCTGTCCTTAAGCAGTGGAACACATCATGATTCTCTGCGGGGAAAAAGTATGAAATAACAATAAGGGCTGTTTCAATCATAGACTGTATATAGAATTAACACCATCTGCCTCCTTTCTGGTTGAAGCCACCCCGAGAAACAGCACCCTCTGGTGACGGACTGCAGTATAGGTCATAAATCCCGCCTCTGCCAGCAATCCTTATGGAGCTGTGGACAAACTTTAGAAAATCATTACACAGAATATAAATCCCCCGATGTTGACATGTAGTTATTGTAAGACTGGTTTGTGCTCAAGTCCTCTTTTTTTCTGTACAGCTCCATTTTTAAAAACTATTAGGGGGTTCATGTTTTCTAAGATTGACTCTTGATACAGCCTATGGGCATACAAAGATTGTGTAGCTCACCCAGTGGATACGTTGTTGGAGCTGAGCGTCATCACAGAAACTCTCGGCGACTCTTCCGCCGAATGCGAATGTCAGTTTCAGGAAGTGGAGAAAAAACGCAGAATAACTGAGAGCTTTTCAGCTTCAAGTCTGTATACTGGCGGAAGGCGGAACCAAGTTGTTCATAGTATAAACAGTCTATGGTTTCAACAATGCGCTCCAACTCACCTCATCTGCCACCTACTTGGCGTCAGTGGTTACAGGCTTTAAAAGTAACTTTTATTCTTATAATTGTTTTTAGGTCGGGAGGCTTTGGTTTAAATGTAGTCTGTTTCATAACCAGCTAAAACTCCTCAAGTTTTTAACTCTAATGTATCAAAAATCTTATAAGAGACACCCAGTATCTCAGTGTATGATGGTATGGACTGTTCATGTTACATTTATGTGCTTAAACATGAGCACCATGGCCGAAAGAGGAGGAGAGAGATGAAAGTCAGATTGGCTGGAGATGGACTGACGGGGAAAAGAGCCAGAGAAAAATACAGTTAAAAGGACAGGAGTCTCAGGCTGGTAAAAATAACATGCAGGACTGGAAGTGTGCCTGTTATCTTTAGCTAGAGAACCCGTGACATAAAAAGCTTGACAGTGACGGCGTGATATAGTCCGGGCTACTCTATAAATACTGCTGTAAGTCACGTGAACATTTATGGAGCACTAATGGAAAGACTGATACAGGAGACAAAGGAGAATGTACATTTGAACTAAACAATCGTGGTCATGGTCTGACAGTGTAAATAGTTTGGTATTATTTGAAAAATTGTGTATACTTTGATTGTATTATTCTTTGAAGAGTAAAAGGAGAGGAGTAAGGGTTCGAGAAGAAGAGACTGAGAGAAAGTTAGGAGAGAGAGAAAGAGAGAGAAGTTGGAGTGCTGAGAGGGCAGATAAGATATAAAGCTATTAGTAGCACTCTTAAGATCTGGTTTTTGCATTTCGCTTTAGGTTGAAAATAACATGGTGAGTAGTGAAGCACTGGGAAATGTCTCTACACTGTGTTCGTCTGGAATAGTGAGAAAGAGGGATGTGGGAGTTACATTAAACAGAACAAAGATACTGTACCACCATCACTCTCCGTGGCTTTGATTTAATCCTGTAATACTTGACCTGAGGAAAGCCTCTAAAGTTCAGAGAACCATAATGAGAAAGAGTCTCTTCTGTACCCTGCTCCTGCAGGAATATTTACATCTCCATGCAGCTCTCCTTCTCGGGCTTTACAAACTTAGTGGCTCACTCATCAGATCTGTCGCCACAGCATGGACTGCAGGACAGTGTCTCATTTTTCTTTCCAGAGATAGTTTAGGTTCAGTAGCTCCTCAGGCTGCCCTCATGTCTGTGCTTTATTCCTGTACACGGCTCTGACATAAAACAATTTGATCTGGTGGGATCAGGTCGTCTCCTCTGGCTTGGCCATTTTGAACTAATTGTTGTGGGGTTTCGACCAATCAGAATCAAGTATTTAACACAGTCATGTCAAATGATAAATAACCTGAAACCAGTTATTCTTTATTAGATGTTGGTGGATCTCAAATCCATTATTGTTATACAGGTTACTCATTCAGACAAATATAGTTGATAATAAATGTTTTAAAGTTAACGTGGTCTTTAATGAAGCACGTTACTGATTTGTTTGAAATCCTAAAACATTTGTTTAAAGTAAGACCAATTCTATCAAATAAATAACCAAAACATCACGTCTTTATCTAGAATGCATTGTTGCCTGCTGGGATGCGACAGAAAGACCAGACGAAGAAAGCTCCCACGGGAACATTTCAGAGAGACAATCTCATCGCCCACTTGGAGAAACAGGCAAAGGAGCATCCTGACAGAGAAGACCTGGTGCCCTACACAGGAGAAAAGAGAGGTAAGGAAAACTACTCTAAATACGTATATTATCACCAACTAGACGGTTCTAGTTCAGATATTTAAAAATTCTAATAAAAATAATAACAACTAGCTAACTCTGATGGGCTCGCGCTGTGTCACACAGCCACCTCTGTGGACCATCTCCCCCTTTTGTTCGTCCTGGAGTCCATCATAAATGACACTGATTCCATAGGTTTGGGTCACACGCAGGACCAAGGCTTACAATTTGAAATTTTGTAGGGGTGCTGTGAAGCAATTTTTTGTTGGATCTCCATTTTGACAATGGAGCCCATTTTGTTTGTCTTGGGGTCCAACATTAGGTGTCCTTGATTCCATCGATTTGGTTCACACACAGCAGTGAGGCTTACATTTTGAAATTTTTTAGGGGGCGCTATGCAGCCATTTTTGGTTGGATCTCCATTTTGACATTGAAGCCCTCAAGAGGACGCCCCCCTGATCTGGGTACCAGATTTCATGTGGCTGTGCAAATCTATAGCAATATAAAAGATTGCTATTTTTTTTGGAGACATTTCATAGCGCCATCTAGGAGCAGTTTAACAAAACAAGGTGCTGATTTTGTAACTTATCTGGTACCCCATCAGATGTGTCCTGAACAAATCTCAGCTGCATCCCATCAATAAAGAAGGAGTTACAGGCCATTAACCGAAAAACTCATTCCTTTCTGCCACCAGGTGGCGCTCCAACATACAACCGTAAGTTTCATGTCAAATTGTCCGGTGCTGGACCGTTATCAAATGTGTACCATTGTTCGTGAAGTTATACAGGAAACTTCCCGAGCATGAAAACTATAGGGTGCGCCAGAGAACCATCTTTTTAGGGGCACAGCAAAATACTTGCATTTGAACCGGGCCCGACCCACCTGCCAAATTTCAGGAGCATTCGGCCGCGCAGTCGCCGAGAGTCGCTGTGATGACACTCGGCTCAAACAGCATATCCCCTGGGAGAGCTACTCAATCCCTGAACGCCCATAGGCTGTATCAGGTGTCAATCATAGAAAACATGAACCCCCTAATAACTTTTAAAAATGGAGCCGTACAGAAAAAAGAGGAGTTGAGCACAAACCAGTCTTACAGTAACTACATGTCAACATCACAACCAGGGGGGAGAAAAATGTAGGTTCTGTGTAATAAATTTCTAAAGTTTGTCCACAGCCCCATAAGCTTTGCTGGCGGAGGCGGGATTTATGACCTATACTGCAGCCCATCAACAGAGGGTGCTGTTCTCGGAGTGGCTTCACCCAGAGAGGAGGCAGACTCTGTCCATTCTATATACAGTCTATAGCCAAAACCTTTCAAAACTTAAAAAAAAATTTTGGCAAATCCAAACTTTATAAGATTTCATTCAATAAACTGATGATCCATAGCTACAAGATCTGAGAAAATGCATTTAAAGGTGCGTTTTTAAGAGCTGTAAATGTTTTGTCAACCCATAGCGTAACTGTCTACCTTTATGTGAGCTTCATTTATACTATTGCATGTGTCTGGAAGCTCGTAACCCTGAACAAATACAAGTCCAAAGTTCATCCAACCCAGAGCAGAATCTCACTATACCGCAGCCAGCAGCATGTGTTTATATGGAGGTCAAAAAATGTCGAGCTGAAACTCTAGAAGCTGTTACACACACACACACACACAAACACACACACACACACACACACACACACACACACACACACACACACAGTGAAGATATAAATCTCTGGGTCTTTACAGTCAGACAGACATGGTGACGACAGCCCGTGGTCAGGTGTGATGTGATGAAGGGTCCTGGGATCAGATGGATCAGATGTTATGTAACCCGGCTGGTCAGGACCTCGCAGTGGGAGCTCACCTTACTTGACATTTACAGTTGAACCAGAAACTGCAGGCTGTCGGTGGATTAGATTTCATCTACTGATGTAACTAATTTGTAAGACTTTTAAGATGTTTTTGCTAAAAACAAGTCTAAAGTGTATATGAACTAAAAGTTCAGTTTGTTTAACATTGACCTGCTGACTCATGGTCAAACTAGAACTCATATGATTTTATGTCTTTTCTCTCTCATCTTAGGGAAAGCTTGGGTGCCTAAAAAGATTGTGGACCCCATCATGGAGAATGTGACTTTGGAGCCAGAGCTGGAAGAAGCCCTGGCGAGTGCTACTGATGCTGAACTGTGCGATATTGCAGGTAAGAACACCCGCATCTCCTCACTCTCTCAGTTTCAGAAGTGCATCATTCCTTTTAGTTTTATCTCATTTTTATCCATTTTTTCCCCCAAAATTACACATTTTTGACAATTTTTTTTGTCCTACATAAAAAAGTTTATCATCCAAAAAAGAAATTTATGTCAGTTTTACATCTTCCAGAGTCCTTATAGTGATAGCAATTGAAACATAATTCTTAAAGTACTGATTTTCGTAACAAATCAATGAAGACGACAGCGAAATATAAAGAAATGTATTGAATGACTTTCATAGTCTGGATCAGATTGGTTAAATGTACAAAATTTCAGGTGTTTGATCACCTGTCATCATCTCCTACTAATCAATCCAAACAACATCACATCCTGTCATTTACTTATTTCTCCTCCATCTTAACATCCTCCATTTCCTCCAGAGCTTCCTCCATCTTACCTTCGCCCTTTCCCTTCATCCCTCCATCTCCTATCTCCTCCATCCCTGCTGGATATCTGTGTTTGCTAGCTGAACATCATCCAGGGTATCTGAACCATTGCATGAAGCGAGTCTTGTCCTCATGTCCGTGTTGGCAGCCTGTGTTATGCAGACAGTCAACAAAACTGTGCAGGCAGCTCGGTTTACATTACAATATAGGGCATGACTGTGGTAAAAGTATTACTGCATGTACGTGCCGTTCAGATAAAGATAGTTCTCATGAACTTTTTGTAGTTGTTGTTGCAAAACATGAAAGAGAATCAAAAAATGTATGGTGCTTTATTGTGAAAATTGATAAACAACCTAAGTTTATGAGCGCTGTTCTAGACAATAAGGGCCTATGTCCACTGATAGCAGCTTTTGTTTGTTTTTTGAACTGTGCAGTGCCCACAACCTTGATTTCAGTTCAGTAACATTTTTCTTCGGTTTATAATAAAACATTTATTTAAAAGAGTGGAAGAATTGATGTCCCAGCACTGACAGCATCTCAGACTTGGAAATCAAAATCTCAAAACTACAAATCTGTTCTGTTACAATCTTGTTCATAACGTTGATGTTGGCAGTCCTGCCCTTTCTTCATTTTTATTGGTCGTTTTAGGAACAGCTGTGCTCCGAAAGGTTTAACTTCTTCAACTGAGAGCTCAGTAATAAAAATAAACTGACGCAAAGGATGTTTTTGCCCTGAGGATTATATAACTGTCAGCGGCTGCTGTCAGTGGACACAGGCCCTCAGTGTGAGGGCAGCATAGAGTCATATTCAGTCATCATTATTGGCTTAATGTGATGTAAGCTGAAGTAGGGAATCACTGTAGATCAAATCTCAATGATTAATAGACTTTTAATATTTAGTCTCTGACGTGTTAAAAATCAAAAACTGCTGCTTACAGAAAAATATGAAAATGAGAGATCCATTTAGAACAAATTTTATTCGTGAAGTTGTTGTAGGTAGCATGCCGTTCCTCTTTCGAGAGCACCTCGTGTTCATTGACATTCATTTTTTTGTAAACTGCACAATTCTCATGCTCTCCATCTTTCTGACAAACAGATGAGGTGATAATCCTCTCTGAATCATTTCGTTTATACAGTGTCCTTAGGGTCGGCGCTCAGTTTAGAAACTTACTTAAGCTCTACTGCTGCAGGGACATAAAAAGATGATGCTCATGCCAAAGGTGGAGCTGTTACTCAGACAAAGTCAGAATAAATTACCATTTAAACTAACCTGCATGATACTTTGCAGCTTCTATTCTTGTTCTATTTCTGTGTCACGTTTGACCTGATCGTTGCAAGTAGTTTTGTGTTGCATGGTGGTCCACTTTATGGCAGTAACCAGAGAAATCTTCAATCTATTTTTCAGTGTTTCTCTCTCTGCCACTGTGTTTTTCCCTTTTTTCTCTCCATCCTCACTCAGTCTTCTTGCTGTCTTCCAGCCATCCTGGGTATGCATACCCTGATGAGTAACCAGCAGTACTATGAAGCCCTGGCCAGCAGCACCATAGTCAACAAGCAAGGCCTCAACAGTACGCACACACCTCTGCACATGCACTGAAACTTACGTAACTGAGTCTTTTATCTGTTAGTTGATTGACCTGTCTTCACTTGGCTCTGATTCATTCGGTTCAGAGTTTATTTCAAGAAGTAAGTGAAATTATCTGTAAGGAAAGCAGATCGCTCAAAGAGTTTGGAGCAAATATGACCTCATTCAAGAAACATTTTGAGAGTTGGATCTAAATCAAGTAAAATGATCTCATGTTGGCAGGAGGGTGGTTTATTTTACTAAGATGATGGACTCACTTACAGTCATTTTGCACTCTGTGCATGCACTGATATAGTTACACAGATTAAAACTAAGGACTGAGTCAACAAGCAGAAAAACATGCATATACATACCTTTACCTAAAACTCCTCCAAGGATAACACTGGTGTTTTAGCTCCTCATCTACATCTGCACAATGAAAACGTCTGAATTCAGAGTTTTATCTCTCCATCACACACATTAACAAACTTTTTTTTATCCTGCACGGTGGTTAATCATGCAGCTTTTCCTACAGCTCAGAGACAGAGGAGGAACATTCGAAACATAACCAAGTCTCAGAAAGAGTGCGAGCTGTAGATCCTCGGTTTCTCTGCTGAAATCTCTTCTTATTTTTGTTTTTTTTCTGCCGATACAAAAGAACATGAACATTGTTGAAGCATTGTCTTACTTTGGTGTATTTACTAAAAAATCCAACAGCGCAAAAACTTGTCCTGCCTTTATCAAATTTGTCTCTGCTGTAGACTCTGGGACTTAAACTCTTCATGAGGGCATGTAAAAAGTGGGGAAATGAGCTCCAAATGTGTTGTGTTGTGTCGTATTCACAATTAGACTTTGTTGATCAACAGTTTAAATATGTTAAAGGTGTGATCCAGTGCACCCAGTATAAACCAGTCCCTGATGAAGAGCCCAACTCCACTGATGTTGAAGAGACACTGCAGAGGATAAAAAGGAATGACCCCGACTTGGTAGAGGTCAACCTCAACAACATCAGAGTGAGTGCTAGTTTTTGTGTGCGTGTATTTTTGTCCTTATTCAGCTGAGATCGCAGGAAAAGAAAATCGTGATCAGTCACTGAAAAAGAAGTCTGACAAATTTTAATTCCTTCAGTTTAGTTTTTTTCCTAAATTGGTCATGATATTAAAACTTTTGCTAATAGTGTTTTAAAGATTTTAGAGTTTAACATTGGGGGAAAAAAACCCAAAACTCTTTACCCATAATCTATACCACTTCTTTGATTTTACTCCAAATGGAGAACTTTACTTATTGCTGCACAAATGTTGAATTTCAATGGTTTTGTTTTGTAAAATCAACCTTAAAGCTGCTTTCCGTGGTAGAAAAAAGTTTGGCTTTAATATGATATTAGAAAATGAAAAAATTGAACAATATAGGCCTAAATCAGAAATGTTGAATAGACACTGTCTTTTATTTTGCTAGTTAATGACAATCATGTTGTAATATTTCTGTATTGTGACAGATTCTGAATGTGTGTCTGCTGTACCAAAATTTGTTAAAAGAGAAAGAGAGTGCAGATGAAGTATTTCTTATCATAAATTATAATTTAAAAAAAATAAAGCTTTGTGACAGAGTATTAGGGCTACATTTATTTAATTAATTATCTTTAAGAATTAGATTTTTTTAATTCAAAGTCATTTTCTCACCAGAATTAAGTCTTTAAAAAATCAAGCCGTGATGTTACTTTTAGATCAAAGTCTAAAGATAGAGTCGTAGTAAAAGTGGTAAAGTCGAACATGGAGTGGCTGGTTGAATTGTTATTCATGTCTTGGCACATCACCACCACATTGTTTTAAATGTCCTAGTAATGCAACCCAAATTAATTACCTAACTATGACTATTTTTGTAAGAGGATGATTTTATTCCAACATTATTCTCAAAGAAAAAAATACTTAGAAAAAAAAAAAATCTTAAAAAAAAAAACTGTGGCCTGAATACTCTGTTGTACTACAGAGCAAAGAGTTATAGATGTATTTGTTTTTATTGTGTTTTTTCTTTGTGCAGAACATCCCCATCAAGACTCTGAAGGAGTACGCTGAGGCTCTGATTACAAACACTGTGGTGGAGAGGTTTAGCATCGTAGGAACCAGGAGCAACGATCCTGTAGCATTTGTAAGGAACTTGTGTAATATTTGACCAAAAAAAAAAAAACTGCTCACAATTTATCTATATATCTTTAATTTTCTTTAAACCCGCACTAAAAGAGCAAAGTTAACTTAAAAAGTGTTAAAAAATGAGAATAATTTTGTTGTCTGATCTATTGGGTGTGCTGTACATAGAATAGCATTTTTCTTATAGTATAATACATGTATAGTATCTTAAAATATTCTCATTTTGACACTTTTTTGATCATATTCTTTTTGATATTTATTCAAGGGACTCATTTTGGTATTAAATGTCATATTAAGGAAACCAAACAACACTGTATCAAACTGTATGTTTTAACTTAGGAAACCTTACAAACTAATGTTACAGTTAATTTGGCATCAAGTTACTATAGTTCAGAGCAGATTTCTACAAACCAGTGTGCAAGTTAAGAGTAAATTTTGTGTTTTCTCCAGGCCCTGGCAGAAATGTTGAAGGTGAACACAACGCTGAAGAGCCTGAACGTTGAGTCTAACTTCATCACAGGAACAGGAATCCTGTCCCTTATAGAGTCACTGCAGAGTAACATGACACTACAAGAACTCAAGATAGACAATCAGGTACCCACTGACACACACACACACACATCACACCTGCAGGCTGTACAGGAGCACTTACACACTTTTTTACTGTACGTTCCATCACTCTCTTGACCACCTTCTCAACTGCATATTCTCTCATTCACCCATTCACCTATTGCTCTCTCTGTCTGAACTGCAGAGCCAGCCACTGGGCAACAAAGTGGAGATGGAGATAGCCAGCATGTTGGAGAAAAACACTACACTGCTGAAGTTTGGGTATCATTTCACCCAGCAGGGCCCACGCCTCCGAGGCTCCAACGCCATGATGAACAATAATGACCTGGGTGGGTTAACATACAAATACACTTTGTGTGTCGTAAGTTCTTTTAGGAAGTGTTTTGGAAGTTCATGAATTAGGCCTAAATTGATAAAATTTCTGAAGTATATGCGCCAACTTCTGCTCTGATGTAGCTCATACAAGGTCTTTGAGTAGTAGACCGCATTTGGCAGATTTAGCTGTTATGTGCTTTGGTGCTGACAAATTATCCTCACTCTATCTCCTCAAGTTGTGCGTTAATCACACTCTCATAGAAGAATCAGAGTGATATCATCAGGCAGTAACTCAAAAGTGTAGCCAAGGAGGCTCAGCCAATCAAAACAGACACTTTTCAAGTCATGACATCAGCGCTAAGAAAAGAGTCCGTGCATAAGAGAGAGAGACATGAGGGAGAAAACGAAGGCTTTTCTTATGATTGATCATGTCATTTCATGTGTATGTTTTTACACTGTGATTCTTAAACCAGCTGTGACTAAGTGTGTGTGTCATAATGTTGTCATAATGTTTTCCTTCCCCCACCATCTTTAAGCCCGGGCCGTCAGGTCAGAGTCAGACGGCTCCTTTACCCTCACTCTGTCCGTGCCTGAGTTGGAGAGAGCCTTCGGGAAAAAGTTCAAGTCCAAGACGAAGTAAAGATAGGACCAAAAACAGACCGCTGAGTCTTGCTTTTCTTCTTCTTGGCTCTACTCCACATCACTGGAGTGCCCTGCCACCACCTGTCATATTTTCTCTGAGAGTTCCCTCTTGCTTCTCCAAAGCACCTATCATCACTTCTTCTGTGTTGAAATCTCCTTTCGGCTCTCAGCTATTGTTTCCCGTCTACTTTGGGTTGCTTTCTGAAGCTTCAGATGCCTTCATGGTCTTCTTCTTCTATTTTCTTGTTGTCTAACTTTGTGCTTTGGTTTAATCAAAGCTGTTTCTCCTGCTGCCCTGTTGTCTGGAGGCTCTCATCCTCCCCTGCTAAGTCTTTGTCCTCTTCTTTCTACTTTAAATTCTGCTCATATCAAAAGCTGGATTGTTGATCAGACTATAATTCAGAATAATGACTCATAAAAACTCTTAATAATTGTATGAACTCAGGAATACTGTGATTATTTGACAGACAATTAAAACATAGTTATAGTTTTTTGGGCATTACTGCATACTGGAAAAGTTTGACAGAGATTCTTGTAGTTTGGCTAAAAGAATGTGGATTGAAAAGTGTTATTTAGCCTCCAACAGTTCTGAAATCTAAAAATCCAGGAGTGTGGAAGAAGTTGAGCATCACATATTAAAACTATGTCTGGGATAAAAAAGAAGACAAGCCTCCCTGTCAGATTTGATTTTTTGATTTCTTATATTTTAACTCCCTGTTGCACATCTGCCAGAATTTGTAGAGCTGAATGCTCGACAGGTTCACTGACTTTTGACCTTTTTGCTTCAGGGCTCCACAGTTTGAACATCCAGCTCTGACGTGGTTTTTCTGAGAGCTCCTGTCAGTGCATGTACAACAAAAAAATGTTTTCCCTGTTTTATTTTTTAGGACTTTCTCTCACTTGCCTCTCATTGCTATGCTTCAGCAAACTTTGCTCAATTCCAGCTCAAGTTGTTGATGATGATGATGATGAACTCATGTCTTGCATTTTGTTCTTTCATCTCACTCTTTCATCTCTGCTTTTTTTCCATCCGTCCTTTCTCCACCTCCCCTCCGTCTACAGTAAGAAAGAGAAGGCTTGAGGGAGGGCCCATCTTCCCCAAGTGTCGGACGAATGTGTAGAAACCAGAGCTACTCTCAACCCCGTGTTTCTCTTCAACCCCTGCCGTCTTTGCGAACCAGACTTGGATTCCTCTTCAGCCTCACAACTGGCCTCAGAAGTTCATCTACACCTCATTAGGTTTCTGAGATGATCTTTGAACTTTTTACTGTCAAGCCCTTGTTTTAAATAGATATCAAAGAAGCTCTCATTGCATGCCAACGGTGTTTCTCTGGAGTTTAGTTTTCAACTTGAGTTCAATGCTTGATACATTTCCGCAGCCTTTCATATTATGAATCCGTTGATATCCCCTCTAGTCTCTAAAATCATTCACATAAAAGGGGGCTGGAGGTCTGGTTTTAAATGAGGATGTTGTCAGTAAATTATAGCAACCCCTGTTTCTATTTAGGTATTGAATGAATTATAATTGTTCTTGTTGAGTTAAAGACTTAAGCTGCCATTACTGTTGCTTCAAGGTTTTCACACCAAGTATTTTTTACTGATTGTACTCCAAAGCTGATGTCCCGCCATACCGTGGGATGTAGTGATGGATTTATGGTCCTAGCTACTGTGAGATTTGCTGCTCTATATTAGCAGAGTATATTTATTTGTGACCGACATGGGAAAGAGTGAGAAGCTACTTAGATACACGACTTAACTTGGATTACTTGTGTAAAATAAATTTCTGCAGATGAACATGTACACTCTAATGACACTCTTCATCGCAACGTTTTACAGAAATCATCTTAAGAGTTTCTGCAGAGCATTCCTGCTAGCGGGGAATGGCGAATTCTAGTTTGAGTTTGTGTAATTGTCTAATTAAAATGAGATAATACTCAAAAAAAAAAAAAAAAAAAAGACAGGGATATTTTAAGGATTATGTATAGTGAGTGGGTGGTTATGCAAAGTAGAATTAGAGGAAGGGTCTTCTCAGCCTGAATGGAACCAACCCTTTCTCAATATACATATCCCCAGTTATTATCCAGCTACCAGCCAAAGATGCAAGCAAGTTGACACAAAATAGATATTCAATGAGGATGTTACTCAGTTAAAATGATTGATTTATGCAGCCAATTGAAATATGCTTGAGTTTGGTTATGTTTCCATAGCAACAGTATCATCCAATCAGCCCACTTGCTGAAAGAACTAACATGAAACTTTCATTCGGTCAAAACATTAGCCTGCTTCTCTTTAATAAATCACATTATAGTGAATATTTTTTTAAATTCAAAATAAAGTTTAAAAGAAAAAAACATTATTTTTCCATTGGCATTTTAAACTGATGCACAGACTGAGAGACCACAGCACATGATTACAGTCCTCTGTCCCATAACTTATGAAGGATGTTGATGTTTTCTTTGGCTCAGCTGATCCATAAACACTGTCCAAAACCTTATTTTGCTCTGTTTAGTTTCTCCTCATTTTTGCCTTCAGTAATTTGGTCATTATCTCTCTCATCAGCTCACTGGGTTGATTACAATCCCTCACTGGTTTAAACCAATCGGTGATAATGTAATTGAGAAGTAACCTACAGTCTGATATTGAAGTCACATCATATTAACTCAAGGTACCGGCTATTGCTTGCACAGACTTTTGTCAGACTTTCAATCAGGTCCGCCTTGATGATTATTTGTGTTGATTTTATTTACTGGAGCTTAAATGTGTGATTTTATATGAAATAAGCTGTTACTGTTTCTAAAAGCTTTCGACCCAAGTTTGTAGTTTTTGAAGGAGAAGATGGTACACATTACCGCTGTGAAATGTAACGGATAAAACATTTGTTAGCAGACTAATTCATTTCTCAAAATAACACAGTCTAAAGTCAACCTCTGATATTGGGGGTCCAGGGGGTCACAGTGGCAAAACAAGTCTGTTAAAACAAGTTTACATCGCTGTAACCACATGCTGGTAATGTAAACGCTGCTGTATATTTTGTAGCACTTCATTTTGACACAAAAGAAAAGGTTAACTCTTACCTAACCTATATCAGAGATAGTACATTGTTGTATAAGAAATGAAGGCAGGGTCTCCAATTTAAGTCTTTATATTAAAAGCCTATGTGTAATCGGGGCTACCAGTTGCAGAGGTCAAATCAAAGGTCAAACCAATCCCACCATACTCTGTTTTCCTTGAAGTGCCTGATACTGACTCTCAGTGATCAATTTTACAGCATGTTTCAGGGTCAGATTACAACATTTAATGTTATTTAATATCACTGCTCTGTTACTGTCTTGTCAACGCTGTGGGTGTTGAACAACGGTGACACAACAAGTCATTGAATGCTGAGGGGAAAGAGGTAAAGGGGACTCCTGCCACTCACAGTCTTTGTGTGTCCTTTTCTTCTACATTGTTAGGTGTTTTGTTTTTTCTTATATTTTAGTGCCTGATTTTGTGTTTCGTTAGATAGTTCACCTATTTGTTTGACTTTTTTTGTTTATTGAATAAATAAAGCTTGAAATAATATTTGCACAGTGCTTTTGCTTTGGTGTGTTATATGTGTGCAGTGTTCTTTCATGTGTGGACAACAGTGACACCCTGTGGCAGGGTAGAGAAATAACAAAGAGGTGGGCAAGTGGACTGATTCGTCTTGACTTGTACTGCCTTTCTTGGGCCAATAATGGACGTTCACTTTACCCAAACACTATCTCCTTCTTGTGACTTGTAGCTCTGCTCACATAGTCTGATAAATTTGGGGTGCACATGGTGTAAGACAGGAAAATCTGACTGGTGGTGAAATAAACATAATTGGGCTAAAACTGGGGGGGTATTCTTCCAGTTTCTCCATAAGACTGCTTTAAAGTAAACCTTAAATCACAGTGAACAAAAAAGTTACACTTTTAATGTTTGTGAACAAGGTTTTAAGTTTTTATTGAAGTTCAGGCAGAAACATACATGATAATCCTTTATTGCTCGTGGCATATAAGGTCACCCTCAGCAGCTCATTCTCACATCTAAACCAACAGTTAGTGGAATTACAAACCGAGCGTCACATTTTGTCATTTAGGAAAACTCTTCCTGTTTTACTGCGTAACTACATCAGTAATCAAACTGCACTATTCACTTTACTGTGAGTGTTTCAGGGGAAAGTGGTCTCTTTCTCTCTTCATGAAACAGACATGTAGTCTTCTTTCAAGTCAGTATTTCCTTTCATATCTTACAAATAATCATACATAAAGTTGTCTTATATTCTCAGACAGATTCATTCAGTACTCTCTCCCGAGTAACAGATCCTGATAGTTAGAGTATATACTGTAAGTTCTGGTTTTATGGCTGAAAGCTTTAAGGTTTTGGCTGTTGTATGAACGGCTACACGGTCATTCTTCATCAAAATAATGAAATAAAACAGAAAAACCTAAAAACCCTTAAATCAAAAGTCCTGAATGCATACATATCTTCTTTTTTTCTTCTTATGATATTATTAACGGTTATATCGACACAGAAGTGAAATCACACTCAAACTTAGGAGTTATTGCCTTAATATTTTTTGCATGATAAAGAAGAGGATAAAGGGGATAGGGGGGGGTGAGTTTTCACATTTCCACGTAACAAATTTGTCCAGACAAATGGCATGCAAGACATAAGAAGGACACGCACAGAACGGGGGAATAGAAACAGTTTTAAACACTACACTACATGGGTGTCATTACATCTGATGTCAGGGCGTTTGGGGGGGTCGTTGTGGGCAGACAGACAACAGGTCTGACACACAAAAGTGTAACACTGTGTGCAAAAAGTTTGACAGAAATATCAGACATGATTGAACACAAAACAGTAGCTTTAGGAGCACACAAGAGTAGTCTTTAAATTTCCTTTTAAAATATGGCTTATCGAGTTATCACATATATATTTTAATTATTTTAGAGACAGACACACAGTTAGTATAATAATTTCTAATATTATCTTATGATTGATTGCCTACCTTCAGGCTTGTAATGTATTCATTTATTTATGTACAAACAGAGTGAAGAGGGGTATTATTTTCAGTGCTGCAAGAAAGCTCAGCAGCTTCTGCAGAGGGGAGAAAAAGGGGTTTAAAACTGCTCAGACTAGAAGGATAAACCATCTAACATTGTGTTTTTAGCCCCCTCTGCTTGATGTCAGCTCCATTCGTGTAACATAGCTAACAGTAGCAGCAGTCTAGCTAACATTCACCTGGCCTAGCTTAGTTAAATGACTACTATTCACACTGCTGGCTTATACCCGAATCATTTTCCTCACATAAAACTTTGTTTTGTCCAAACACAAGAAACACCTGATTGAACTCTTGTTTTTACTCATGAAATGAACTGAATGAAAAACAAACCCCTGATTTTACCTAGCCATGTAAATGTAGCCTTTAAACTAAGCTAGTTATTGTTAGCATCTGCAAATGAACTCGGCTACTTCTTCAGCATGTCTTGCAGTGGGCCTGGCAGGTATTTCATTACTTGGTCCATGATGCTTTCCTCCTCTTCCTCATCACCACAACCAGCTGGCACGGCCTTCTTGGGTCGAGTCAAGCTTCCCTCTGCGGGCTGCTCGGCTGCAGCAGCTGCCTCAGCTTCTGCCTCCTCACGCTTTTTTAATCCATACTGGTGGTCACAAACACAGAGATATTAACAACTTCAGACACAAAGGAAACACACTTGTAAAAACGGACACTAAGCCGTACTTAAAACTATTTCAAATCTGTATGCTCAGACACATAAAGTAGCCTTTAACACAAAATGTCAGTGTCAACCAGCATCTATTAGTGCAGCTCTATGATCTGAGTTGACCTCTGCCCTAAAAAGCTTGACACCAGCTTGAGCTGAGCCCACAGCACTGCTCGTGGGACAATAAGCCCGGGATGTAATTCAGATTGACATTTCTGTGTGTGTGTGTGTGTGTGTGTGTGTGTGTGTGTGTGTGTGTGTGTATGTGCTGATTTGTTTGCTTATGCTTGAGACTGTACAGAACAGGCACGACGAGTTGTACACTTTTAACTCTTTTATTTCCTATATATGGGAGAGTGGGGTAAGTTGAACCAAAGGGTAGGCTAAGTTCACTCTTGAAAGTGAATTTAGTCTGTCATAAGTTTTATTAGAATTGTGTTCAGACCAAAAAAGATCATTTTAAATTTGTTTTATACATCAATTGTGGTATCTATGAGCTACAACATGAGGTCAGAAACCTAACATAAAAGTCCACCATTTTAGCTTAGAGGACTAATAAAGTCATGATAGTAATTCTGGGGTAAGTTGAGCCATTTGGCTCAACTGAGAAAGTAAAGGAGTCTGATGAGAGGATCAGAGTTTCAGTTCAGATTGTTGAAATGTGTTACTTTTTCTTTTCATAAATACAGCTGTGAATGTTCTGAATCACTTAAAGACATTCTCATGTTAAAATAGCTTTTTACAAAACAGCTTTTTAGCAGTTATATGCAATAATAATAAAGAGAATTATTGTACTAGTTGAATAGCATATAATACATAAAAATACACATGAATGTGAAGAAGTGACTGTTATTTAGGGGGAGAGAAGGTGAGGGAGGGCTGGGGTGGAGAGTAGGGGGGTAGTAGGGATACAGCTCAACTTACCCCGCTCCTATGGTCAACTTAGCCCATACACAGGGTAAATTGACCATAGGAGACCACTTTTTTTGGCCTGCTATATTATCAAGACAATTGATGGTCCGCAGGGATGCACAACATCCTGAAATATATGCAGATAAACTAGTTAGAGACAAAACTATGATCGCCTTGATGTAGTGATCCGAAATATGAAAAATGGCTCATCTTACCCCACTCTCTCCTTCAGTATAATTGATAATTCAACCTCTATTCTTTCTATTCTTGTGCTCTAAACCTGTGGTGTTCTGCACCTCCTCTCTACATTTCGCTCCTGTCTGTCTTTCAAAGCAACACTTTGTCAGAAATCAAGTAGATGTGCTTTGGCTGGTGCTTGTCAGTAAGACACTGTCAGTGCATGTCAAAAAAAATCTGCTGTGAGCATCTATTTCAAAACGGCACACAAGAACATTTACACCACCAGTGAAAACTGCTTCCACCAGAGATGAAAAAGAAAAAGAGGGGCTTTTATTTACTCCTTTACAATCATATATCACCGCTGGCACGAGAGAATGCAGCGGGAAAACTTGGTTACTTTGGATTCGTCGTCTCATTTGTCAGGCTGTGTTTCTGGCAATAATACCAGTATTGTTAAGTTCCCCATACAGTAACTTTCCACTTGAAAACATTTGCTCTGTCAAACTATTACAAACATCCATTGTGGTGCGGACCGCAGATACAATATGGATATTTTTCTCAGTATCTGACACAGCAGAGGGATGAAGCTGTGGAGGAGGCTGACAAAAACCTTTCAGTAACAGGCATGCTGGGAGTTGTTCCTCGCTCTCTGTTCTCCACTGGGGGAGCTTAAGGAGAACGGAGGAGGTGAGGAGTCAGGGGAGGAGTGCCGCTTTTCATCCCACTGATTCGCAGTATTCCCCTCAGAGCCGCCCCACCCTCCCACACCACCCGTGACTGCCCGTCTCTACCGCTATGTCTCCACTGCAGAGTCACGGACTTACGTCAGCACAAGGGGGAATTAAAGCAAACAGATAAAGTACATATTACTCTACGTTGATTCAACATGTGACAGTCATTACTTGACAAAAACACCATGCATTTCTAATACATGAATATTTTAGTTTAAACCCTGTTGTCGCAGCCGTAACTAAAGCAATAAAACTGTTTATTCCACAAGGCTTTCTGCACAGGGCTATTATTGGATAGCTGTTTACATTTTGAACACAGTCCTCTTCCTGACCCCCGCCTCCACCCCAAACACACACTTTCTGTCTAAATATTCAAATATATTCTAATTAATCATGGCTCCACATTTTGTTCTTCCTTCCTCAGTCTCTCTCCGCAGTCCTCTTCTTCGTGTTCCACTGATCTATTTTATAACAGCTAAAAATAACATAAAAGAAACAAAAACTGTCTCATTTCAAACAAAGGTCTGTTATAAAAGGAGTTTTGCTGTCATGAAGCCAAGATATGAAGCCTTCAGTGGTGACAAAAAACACACCACAAGGCAGAAATGATCAAAACGCCTCACATGCATGTTTTTTTTGTTCGTCCATCTTCCTGTTCCTTTTAGCACTGATTAAATATTGATATTAGATGTATCCCCTGTTTGGTTTTCTTCTGTAGAGTTGGCTCTTGTTTTTTTTTTTTTTTTTGTAATGACAAACAGACTGAGCTGTTTGCTTAAGTTGAGTAAATGCCGTGTTGTTTCGCTCAGTTTGTGCGTCATTGTCCTCGTACCTTGTCCCTGATGCCTTGTCTCATGCTTTCCCTCTCAGCCTCCATTTTGGCATACTTGGCCTTCCTCTCTTCCTCCTGCTGCCTCAGGGCCTCCTGCCTCTCCTCCTCCTTCTTTGCTGCATCAGGGTCCTCCTCCTTCTCCTCCCCGCCCAGCATCTTGCCCACATCAGGAGGACCTCCTAAGGAACAGACACGAGATAAGAAACAGAAATGAGACACGAAACAATCAAACTGTTTAACTCATGCTTTTGAGGTTGTGATTTCTTATTGCTGTAATTAGTATTTATGAGGCAGGGGCTGGGAACCTTTTCTTACATTTCTCATTTGGGTACTTGTGATATATCTATTGAGTATTACTCATTAAATTCAGCCTCTTGGACATAAATAGGAACTATAAACTTCCTATATCATGCTTCCCTCCTCCATCCTGAAGAGCACCCAGAAGGGTCAAAACCAGTTGGTGCATTAATAGTCGTCCACGTCTGTAATAAACCCAGCAGCTTTCTGAGCTAATCTCACTCAGATATGTCTCCTGTAGTGGTATCATCTTATTTAAAGAAAGTATCATGATTTTCTCTTTTTATTCTTCTTTTAATAGTTTAGTGAACGTCTTCTTGTTAATTTGACACCCCAGTTATTTAATACATTAAATGTGTTGCTGTAAAATCTAATGATGCGCTTAAACCGAGAGGTTGCTGCTCTCTGTATGTAGTTTTTGCTAGATTTTTTCTTTTTTTAAATTTTCTTTTTTTTTTTATTGGCTGCTGATGGATACTTCTGCTGGGCGAAGAGTGAGAAGAGCTCCTTTCATAGAGATCACTGAGGAAGGTGGAGACTATTCTAAAGAACATGGATCACCCACTTCATAACACCTTCATGGACCAAAGGGCGTGTGGTGGTGGACGGCTCCTCTCTCTGCTGCAGGACAGAAAGATCCAGAAGATCTTTTGTACCCACAGTCTTCTGTAAATAGTAGATAACTTGAGACATGACACATGAGACTACAGACAATTTAAATAAAGTTTTTGTTCTTCTTAAAATGTTGTTTCCTTTTTAATCATGTGTGCACATGTTGTTTTCTTGAAATGTTTGCTGTTGACGACCAACTTTCTTTATTCCCTTTTACTGTGACTGACTGCACAAAATCTAAATCAACGTATCTGTCACTAGGTACATTTTAAGACAGCTATCATCTTCACAAAACTCTTTAACGTGTTTGAATAATGTAATCGCTTTATTTACGCTTACTGAATTGTATTATATTATGATTCATCGTGTTACTCAGGGCTCAATACAAATATCCAGTTTAATATTTGCTCTTGCCTCCATCCTGTTAATAGGATCATTAGAGACGCTCCACCCTGGGTAAATGCCGAGCAGCACGTGCTACCTGTCAAGCTTTAAAAGTTGTTTGTCTTACACAAGATTGATGTGTATGTTTCCCTCTAATGTATTTTTCTCTCAATGTATTACTTTTACTTATTAGATCATAAATCGAAATTCTGGTGTTGATTCAGACCAGAATGCAGGTACAGAGTAGTCATAGCAGCTCTGTGTTATAAAGTTAAACTGTCTTTCCTCTGACACTGTGAGACAAAGATGATAAAAGCAGACTGACTGGTGGTTTCACTCTCTGTCTGATGAGTGTGATGCAGGGTGAAGAACTAAAGGGGTAAGAGAGTGTACAGTTCAGCGTGAGTCTAAGTTTTTAACTATTATACAACAAGGCACTGAAATATGTCTTATGCAAGACTTCTTGCTGTCCCTGCGGGAGTTACAGCTCGTGAAATAATGTCTCATGATACCAAGGCAGGAAAATGCTGAGTGAAGCAAAGAAGTAAAGAGAAACAAGGGGAAGCTGTCAGCAAGAATCAACAGGACAGAATAAATGAAGAGAAAAGCCAGTGGTGTGGAGGAGCTGGACATGGACAGAGGCAGAAGGAAGAGGGAGAAGGAAAGGAAAGAAGGAAAGAAGGATAAATTATAATATGGGGTTTAAAAAGTTTATGGAGGAAAATCAAGGGGAGTAAGGGGATAGGAAAAATCTGTCAAAAAGGACTGAACCTAATTAATAGAGCTGCTCCAGCAGGATTACCTAAACAGTTTCTATGAAAGAGAGAGAGAGAGAGAGAGAGAAAGAGAGAGAGAGAGAGGGAGGGAGGGAGGGAGGGCTGAAAGATGGAAGCGCAGACAAAATGGAGGGATGACTGGAAAAAAGAGACAAATGGAGACAGGGGGGAAAAGACGAGGGGATAGAGCTACGTGTGAAAGATTTATGTAAGAGAAAAAAAGAGGATGGAGGAAAGGTTGAGCAGCAGACAAAGGGCATCTGAGGAAACCAACTCCTTCAGCTAAAAGCTGCCCCCGGTACTGTTGGTGTTTTAACTCATCAGCATAAAAAACAAAAAAATGAACCGCAGCAAAATGAGGGGAGATAAAAGACAGGAGAGACGGAGGTGGGGGGTTGGGGGGTGGAGAGGAAAGGGATCAGCACAACATCTAAAGACTGACATTACACAAAACTGCAGTCTAAAAAATGCACGTTCTCAATTTTATGGCCGTTTTTGATAAGAATTGTAAATATATATTTATATGTTTATGTATTTTCTTTTATTCAAATTTAACTGTTTTCCTGTAAATAGAACAAAGCACAAGAGCTAGCTCTGGCAGGCAACACAAGCGACACTCAGTTCAGCTGAATTACTTTTAGCTTCCATCCATCCATTCTCTACTGCTTATTCCCGTTAGGGGTCATGGAGCCTATTCCAGAATCTTCAGGCAAAGGCAGGGGACACTCTGGACAAGTCACTGGTTCATTGCAGGGCTGACATATAGAGACAAACAATCATCCACACTCACATTGACATCTACGGTCAATTTGAAAGTGGCCAGTTAACCTAACCCCACTTCTACATGTATTTGGGATGTAGGAGGAAACCGGAGTACCTGGAGTAAACCAACGCAGACACAGGGAGAACATGCAAACTCCTCACAGAAACTCCCTGAGACGGATTCGAACCCAGGACCTTCTTGCTGTGAGGTGACAGTGCTAACCACTACACCACTGTGCCGCCCTTATTTTTAACTCATAATTATTATTAATGTTTTAATGAAACAAATGCTGGTCCTGTGTTGTGTCAAAGCTTTAGTAGTAGCTTTGATTAATTCAGTTCTACCACCTGGAAATAAACAAGCAGTTTACTCCTTGGTGGCGGCATGCTTGTTACATCACATTTTGTTCCTCTGACAGGTTTGTAATGAATAAATTAGTTTTTGTTTTTTTTTCTTTAAGATTCTGACTGTCTAAAACACCATCTGTGTTGTCCAGATGGATATGAGATATATCCAGTGACATGGAAATGTGAAACAGTCTGGCGTGTCAGACAGGTTAGAGTCTGGTCAAAGTGGCATCTAACCACCAAGCAACCAGCAAAGGCATGTGGGCGTTAACTGAAGGCTGGTGGTGCTAGCTCTGCAAACTTTAGCCACAGATCAGTTTGTCTTTGTGTACGCGCTGACTCATTAAGCGCCTGTTTAGCTCATTTTAAGCTCAGTTTTCTGAGTGTTTTCTCAAAGTAATGTCTTTGACAAAGTGTTGTGTGTTGTACATTTGCTTTTGCTCAGTCTGCCTGATTTGTCGGATTAATTCACTGCCCAGCTATTCCACCTTTGCCCCTCTGGCAGTCCCTGCTAGACCAGTTTGCTGGTTTAATTCGTCTGCCTGTTTGGGAACTTTCATATGATCTGTGACTTTGCAATGTCAGTCATAAAGACTAGAAGCAGCACGCTGAGGTGAAGAGCTGAAAGGACAAGATAGATGGCAAAGTGTATGTTTGAGTGTGTGAGAGAAAGACAGTGAGGCAGAAACAGAGCTGAAGAGCACACACTGTAAGTGTCCATATATACTGTATATACTGTATGTGGTCATAAATAATTACTCACTTCCTCTTTAAGCTCTTGCGTGGTAGAGCGTTTATTTTTCATGTGTGTGTATGGATGCATATGCAGATTGCAGTGTGTGTCAGTGCATGCGTAAGAATGTGTGGAGGCACACTCTCTGCTTAGAGTAATAACATTTGCATGGTGGCATTTTATGAGATAGCAGTTTATATTCCAGTTAAGTCCAGAGTAGAAATTGTTAGTCTGGGATGTTTATTTGCAGTTTTAATCTCCACTCTCCCTACATAAAAACGCACACATTGTACAGAGTTCATTTTATCTTCTTTGTGTTGCTAGGAAACAGTTTATTTCCTGTCAGCTGCTGATATGAGCAAACACTGCAAGGGAAAATTAAACTAAAGCAATCAAGAAATACTGTTCCCAATGTTTAATTATGAAGTGATGCACTTTTATTTGATCTGTGATGAAATCAGCCAATCTCAGCAGACTTAATGTTTATATTTAAAAAGTGCAAAGGGGTTTGAAATACTGCAAATTCAATTCAGGATTATTTTGCGATTTGGGCGCAGGATGTCTTCATGTGAACACTGCGATTCAGTCCTGTAAGTGGAGCACTGACTCACCGCCTAAGCCTCGCTTTCAAAAGATTCTCTCTACTGACTAATCCGTTGCAAACCAAAATAAACCTGGTGTGGTTTCCTAAAATCTCATTAGTACATATGGATCATCTTTGTCCAAATGTGAGAAAGAGGATCCTGGGACAATGGCGGAGTTATATTGAGTCACATATGATCCTGTCTCCTGCTTTATGAACTGTTTTAAAGATAAAGCAACACACTTTGGGACCAGAATAAGTCTTTAAGCTCTCAGGCATCGTGTCAGCTAAGTGTTTGATTAAAATGTCTCTTTAGTTTATTCCTGTACACGGTAAAAAGTTTTAGCAGTTATGAGAATGACACTTTCATATTTAAGCAGACCAAAATCTGTAGCAGAAAGCTGGCAGGTTAGCCTCTTTTTATCTCTTTTGGTCGTAGATGATTTAACATCAGCAAAGATGAAAAGCCTTTTTGAGGAGAAATGCTTCATCATGCCAACCCAACGTAGTACAAGTGAAGTCATCAAGTGGAGTTTATGTGCAGTCTGATTCTATTGGACGCCGACACTTTTAGGAGCCTGCAGGAAGGTTGGGACCAATTTTTTAAAATGTAATTTATTGAGACACATGAGCCAAATAGAAGAAAAAGAAATAGATATTTAAGGGCTGGAGCCAAACTGACAAATGGTTATGTACCAATTCTAGAGGGAAAGAATTATAGATTACCCATAAATCAGTGATTATAGGCTCTGGGCTTTTTCCTTCTCTTTTTGTTGTGTAAGTAGTGGTTCAAATTTTCCTAAATGACTTTGCAATGGTGTCCACTTAGCTGCTTTATCATAAATTCTTTGACAGCAGAGAGTGTTTAAACAATAGAGTCACAGCGCACTCTGCTGGGAAAACTATATGAAGACACTGTTACCCAACAACCCTGAGCACTGTTTTCTGCATTTTATACTTGGTATTACTATAATTTTTTATCAAAATAACAATTATCATGTAAACTATATAATGACATCACCCAGATTAAAACCCATCTTACAGAAAAATAATAGCAACAATCTGATTAGTTATTGGTATGGTGAATGATTAAATGAGTATTCAGCTAAATGGGGGAAAAACTCTTCTATCTGGTTTTGCACCAATTTTGCACTGATCAAATCATTGAAAACTTTTGAGTCATGGCACACTTTACTGGAAATAAAAACCAACAAAGTGAAGATACCAAATTCCTAATAATCTTTATCTTTGCTCTTGCATGAAACATTTGAAGAAAAAATCCAGACAAATGAACGTACACACCCACACTGATGTGTTATGCTCACATAAAGGTGTCGTCTCTGTAATTCTTTCCTTGTGAAAAATCTTTTCAAAATCTTTGTTAAATCCAAAGTCTTAAGAGAAAGATGTAAAGTAGACTAACCTTGGCTAACCCTCTTACTGCTTGAACTTTTGACAGCATCTGATACATACAACTTATCTTCTCTTTTCCTATCTTGCAGTTCTCCAACAAATCCCTCTTTAAACTTAAAGTGTTGTGGGAAAGCGGATGAGTATTAAGATCTAGGTTTGGCCCCCAGGACAGAGACCATTGCCTCCATCAGGCTTTAAAGTGTGTAAGGGAGGCAGGAGAGAGTGTACTCACTGTTGCTCTGCTGCATAATTGGTAGCAGTTACGCTTTGAGTTTGCTTCAATTTCCCTCAGGTGGAGCAGCTCTGAACAGTGCATCAAGAAAAAGACCACCTGTATTTACGATGGCTGACCGAAGTTCACAAATTAAAGTGAACCCTCTTGGTACACAGTTGGAGAAACAAAAGTTTTTCGGGCAAAAGTTGAGGGAAAGTCACAGTTATTTTGAAAAATGTCAAATATTCAAGATTTTCATTAAATTGCTGTCATTACATAGAGTTCAAAAGTGCCAGCCATCAACCCCCAAATCTACAGTTTCTCAAAAGAGAAAAGAGACAGTGAAGATTAAAAAAGTCTTTCCTTCTGTTTGGTGATGTGTTTAAGTAGACTAACATTTCTGCCACAATGTCAACATGACAGAAATCTCCAGTATACCTTATATTTCACTATAAGCCTCAGCTTCACAGTTACAAAGCCAAACATTATCTGGTCAGTCTGCAAAATGAGAACACAGCAGACAAGAGACTTTCAGCTCACCCCAATCTTGATCTGATGAGAAAATTGAAAAGTGAATATTTAGACTGATGCAATTGAACCCTCACTCTAATACAAGCCCTTGCCGTGACTGAGCAAAGGTGACTTATTACCTGCATATCAGAGACTCAGTTTCAGGCTTTTGCCCTCCTAATCAAGCTTTCAAACTAGTTCTGAGTCCAGCTGCTGCCACACTTGTCATTGCTGGTGCTGCTTCTCCGTGTGTCAGATTTTGACGTGGGCTTCATGTCCTCAGTTTATTTTTGGGAATGCTGGTGACACATTTGTGTTGGATACAGACTGTCAGGGGGGAGCAGTAAAACTTGACTGGGTTAGTTTGACACTTTTTCCTATTTTTGAAGCCTTATCCCAAGCGTACTGACTTTTAACTACAGACAGGGATACTGTCTGTCTCTGTCAAATGCTCGGGAAATGCTGTAACACGGAGAGTGAGAAAAAAAATATTGCATTTGCTTTATACGGTGAAATCCTTGGGTTAAAAATGTCCAAATTTAGAGTCTAACAAGGAAAGTGTATCCAAATATTTGTGGCTAGGTTCCCTTAATGTGGATATTTTTGATATATTTTTTAAAATTTCCATCAATCTCAAAATGTTTTCTTCTTTGTACTTTGCATTAGAAACCTGAATGTAATGCCCATTTAAGAGTTAAATACAAACTCAAGACAGATCAGTAAATCAATTGGCTGATTAACTCAGCTGATTAGCATTTTGACATCATCAGCAATACGTGGGCATCGGCCCTCACAAGGCTAACGTCAGCATTGTCTTTTCTAACCACATCCCCACAACCTAAATGACAGCAAATCAAATCTACATCAGTCACTGTCTTGTTTTTTATGTAAATCCCACCATTATGTGTAGAAAAATGCAGTTCATTGTTCTGGCAATCATAGCAGCTTTGTTAACCTCACAGATTTCTCTTTCCAACATGTTTCTAACCAAGATAACCACCTATATCAGATGAAATAATAGAATTTCTGCATGAATTTCTTCTCTTTTTAATCTATATTAAAATCCCAATATTTACCTTTCAGTTTTTATCTTTTTCAATAAATTTAGATAGAAATCCAAAAGATGCTGGAAATTTTTCAAAGATCAAGTTTTTGTTTTGCTCTGAAAGATTTAGTGTTAAATAAAGATAAGTATGCATGCTTTCCAATATGTGTAAGGTAAACACCAACATATTGGGGTTTAGGACAAAAATCATACCTCAAAGGTAAAAAGTTATACAGAAATAAACGACCTCTGCCCTCCTCCATTTCTTACTTACATGGTTGGATGCATTATTTATGGAATCTTGACAGTTGACTGTCAAACACACACACACACACACACACACACACACACACACACACACACACACACACACACACACACACACACACAGCCCCTTTGTACTCTTGCAGATGCTCAAGGTCAGTTTGATGCATTGAATTTGATTTCTTGGAGCACTGCACAAGATGATGATGAGAAGTGCTTGTGTGTGTGTGTGTGTGTGTGTGTGTGTGTGTGTGTGTGTGTGTGTGTGTGTGTGTGTGTGTGTGTGTGTATGTGGCCTCTCAGTATCAGCCAGTGTCTCTAAGCAGTAACCCTTTAGACCAATCAAGCGATGCAGAGCTGATTTCCTCAGCCAATCACATTACAGCGCCCGCTCAATGTGATTATGTTGCACTTTGAGTAGAGGAGGTGGAGGACGAACATCTGAAGGTGTCTTCTATTTTCATTTCAGCACAGACCGCACTGCCTCGTCACACCTAAACCACCAACCTGTCGTCCATGAGTGGGAAATGACGCACTTAATGACACTTTGTTAGGCCTACATTTTGACATGTGATGAAGTGTTTATAAAGTCAGGTAATAGCAATTTAAAAAAAAGGGTTTGCAGCTTGGAAGGGTTCATAAGTTGAATACTTGGAGGCTGTAGATGTTGAAAAACTTAACAGTACAATGATCAGATAGAAGAGTAGGTTTTGTGGTATTTCCCTGTTCTCTCCAGAAGCCTTGTAAACGTCTGATACAGCTCTGCACAGAAATGTTTCTCTTTCTTGAGGACTGTTTCCAGCTGTGAACTGATACACATTTAACGCATGACTGAGTTCAGCAGCAGGACCATGTGTGAGAGACAAACTTAACAGAACAGGGGCATGGTCTTTGTAATTAAAGCCTATTTTTAAGAACTGCAACTGTCTAGCTCCCTGATGTATTTTTATATGATTCAATAAACTTCTTTAGAGGTCTGTGGCACAAAGAATATCAGAGACATAAAATGTACAAATCTTTTTAAAAGTTTTTGATTTTTTTTTTTTAAAGATTTTAGCCATTCTTATCACAAGAAAAAAAGACATTAAGAGCCAGATATTTAGTGGGTAAGATTCCTTTTAAAATAATATCACATGTTAATTCTGTATGTGATCCATGCTGGCAGTTATCGGTAAATATAGCCAAACACTGAGTATACTGTCGCCTCTAGTTTAGTTTTCCTCTTCTGTCTTTTATCTTTTCAAGTTGCAGCAGTGACAAGCTCTTCAAAAACCTCCTCTCACATGCACACTACTTTTGCAGAACCACAAAAAATTGTCAAATGCTTGCAGTGTGTGCGCGTGTGTGTGTATGTAGCCACAAAAAGGATGAAAAATTGAACATGTTTTGTTTTTCCTTTGAGTCTGCCACAAAGCTTTAGTGAGGACGAGGCCCCTCATCGTCATGAGCTATTTTAGGCAGCAGGAACGCAGTGCTAACAAACCATGAAGGGTTATCCAGAGAGCATGTAGCGTTTTTAACCCGCCTCCTAGTGTTGGCCTGGAATCCCAAACATGCCAATAATCCTTTTAATAAACAAAACCTTTTTTTTGCTGTCCGAAGTATGAACTGAATCCCTTTGTTGTTCTTTTATAGTCGAGTTAACTTTACCTTTGTTGACCAAAACACAGTTTAAAATAGCCAGAATGAGAAAACACTTTCCTTACTGCAATAAGTATATATATATATATATATATATATATATATATATATATATATATATATGTATATATGTATATGTATATATATATATCTATATCTATATATATAAATATATATATATATATATATATAGATATATACACATATATAGATATATATATATGTATATATGTATATTTATTATAAATATACTTTTTTGTAAGTATAAGCTGAGGCTAAATGCCACATTGGTTTAATCTATGGTTTATATGTTAAAACACATATTAATTTCATGGAATCTTTTGTCTTTATTCCTGATTTGGAAAGCCACACATTAATTAAAGAGACTTAAAGAAGTAAAATGTTTCTATATTCTGTAATTAAACCTCGACATATCCTTATTGGCTGTGTAGCATTGACTTTTCTGCTGATGTAGTCAAGCTCTGACTGCTGCTGCCTGAGGCGTCCAGGGTTTAATTGAGCAGCACACCTCAGGACTAATGTCTCCCTCACTGAACAGCCCCCGCAACCCCCGATTCTGTCAAACTCACTCTGGAGTCTAAGAGTTTGGAAGTGCTGAGTCAGCGTGGGGGGGGGCACTCAGCAGCAGAGGAAATCAATGCACAATGAAACCATGTGTTTCCCTGAAGTTCTGGTTCAGAGTGGGTGCTGGTAACATAGCTTCTGATTAACCAAACTGTACATTAGAGGGGCTTTAGTGACCAACATGGTGATGCTAACAATAAAGGTGCAGTCATTTCTGCACTGCATGAGCAACACCGAGACTTCGAGTCATGAATTATTTTGTGGTCATTATGCATGAGTTGCAAAACTTTAGGCTTAAACTTAAAGTGAGTACAACAGGCACTGGGTATGTTAGGAAAGACACATTTGAACCTATAAAAAGTCTCCTAAAATACTGAGAGGTAGATATTTACATCTCATTTCATGGAGTTTTTTTTGTGTTGATGTCAGAAGTAAACACAAAACTCCTCTAAATTTGAACTGGACATTATGTAATATATTTGTGCAGAGTTTTTTTCTATTATTTAGCTTTTTAAACATTGTTTTAGACAGTGATATGCCACAAGTTTTGGGCTCACTCACTTTCTCAAATTATCTTTCTTTTTTCACATTAGATCAAAACACACAACAGCACTGCATCTTAAAACTTTACAAAGGGTAATGCGGCAAATGTGTCTAACAACCATCAGCACTCTGCAGATGTATGGCTCTGGATTTGAGTCCTGCTGAATCATCTCAGTTGAACAATGCTGTTTTCTTCCAAGTATCTGTAACCCAAGAAGCCTTGGAGGATTAGTTAATGCACTGGCAGCACCCGCTCTTTTATAGAGACTCATCCTGCACATTCGTCACCCAACAAACTCAGCAAAAAGTACAGTCTGACAGCACAGCAAATCCAGACCCAAACAAAAGCCAGACAATCACAGCTTGGAGAGAGCAAGGTCAGCCCAGATCAGATATCTATATGGGTTTAAGACTTATTAATCCAATTATCACTGCGAGTTGTATGGGGTCTTGTGTCAAAACCATAAAAAGCAATTCAATTATAACGGGAAATGACATCTTGATAGCAAACACGCAAGCAGTTCTGTGAGGCATGGCAGTGTTTGAGCTTATTTCTATCACTCTCAAGGTAACTCATGTAGCAGACACATGTATCCATCTGGAGAATATTGAACAGCTTTAGTTTCTCGGCAAGTATAAATTAGACTCTTTTTAGACTCTTTTTTTAGACAATTTCTTCATGTGTGTATCTATGTCCTCACCAAAATAAGTAGGGTTCATCTTGCATTTTTAAGCAATTTCTTACATTTATAGACATTTTTGGAGAAGTTTTGATGGGATAGAAAATGCACAAATGGAAATTATGAGCTGGTTCAATACATACACCCTAATCAGATTAAAAACAATGATTATTTGGTGTACCTTTGAGACCAATACACCACTGCCACGCCCAAAAATGCATCCAACTGATTAAAGAAAATATTTCAGTTATATGGCTCTGTTAGCTGACAAGCACTAACCCTCTATTTGATACCTTATTGATTAACTCTTTAATTGGTTAGTCTCATTATCTGATTTTTTGACCCACAGGGAGCTTTAAAGATGCACTGCATTGTCAGCGTTTTCGAGGGAATGAGGTCACTGTGTTCCACCTTGTAAACATGGACCGGAACCAAAGACAATCTTCATTGACGACAGCATAATCACCCTGATAGGCATATTGATAGATTTCCAGTCATATGACTGCACTTTCTCTTCCTTGCATCCTCTCTTCCTCACACACACACACACAAATCTATACCCCACAGCCACCATAATTCATCTCCCTGGAGATACAGCACATGCACACACACTGTCCACATACAATATCTGTAAAACATCTCTGGCACAGCACAAGCACACACAGGCAAACACCCACACTCTCAAATCTATTACCAAAGTCTGCAGGCTGAGTGCAGCCCAACTTGTGTAAAAGCAGCTTCAGATGCAGTGCAGTTGATTTAAGAATTCATAGTGCAGACACAGCAGCTATGCAGAAAGAGGCAGTGCCGGCACCCTTTGCATCCCAATGAGGAGCAGGGGTTCAGTTTGGACTCCATGTCTCAACGACAACAACGCTGACCAACGAGTGGGCAATATGCATTACTGCCTACTGCTTTCCCTGAGAAACTATAGAGCTGATAAGGATGAATTACTGAGCTATCATGAAGACTAATTAGGGGGCAAATAGTAGCTAGGATAATGTTCTGTTGGATAATACCTGAAGGCTTTAGAGAACAAAAGTCTGATGGAAAAAAACGTTAGTCCTAATACCTGCCAAAACAGGCCTCTTTTATTTCTGCTGCCTGTGACAGATGGCTCAAAAAGCATGCGTTAAACACAGTGCAGTGTGTTTCAAGTAGAATGAAACCCTTAAAGCAGCCGTATCTGAAGAGCAAACTTGTTTAATTCATGACATTAACATTTTTTACAGAATATTCAGCCTTCCTTGTACTGACGCACGCCTGTTTTAAATTTTAAATTCAACATTCATAAATTGCAGGAGAAGATGAAGCAAAAATAGGGAGACTGCTTTGCTTTGGAGACAGAGACATCTTGAATGTCAAAGAACAGTTATCGTAAACCACCTGACCTGCTATCACTGCTGAGTTTACCGTCCTATTCACTATCTGTGCCCACTTTTTCTACAAAAGCATAAACGTAGAATAACAGTCAATGAGCATGTCAGTTTATAACTCTGTCACCATCAAAGATTTCACCAACTGAGAGATGTTTTTAAATAAAACATATTGTACCAGGACGTTCACTGAGGGGAGTTTTAAAAGATGGATGCAGGAAAAGAGAGAAAGGGAAGGAGGGAGGGGGGTAATGCGTAGCTGATGTGTGAAGTCAGGAGTTTGGTGCAGGACGGATTATCTAAGCCCAGCGTCCCCATAACTAGCGGGGCCAGTGCTCGTACAGTACAGTGCTTTAAATCCTCTACACTGCAGTGCTGTTAAATCAACCTCCAGCCCAGCAGATACTCACCTCCCAGCGCAGCTTTCATTACAAAATTCATGATGAAGCAGTTCTGTCTTCTCTTCCTTCACTGGTCACGTTATCAGGGACAGACCTGCAGCCAGAGGACAGAATAACACAAGCTTTGACAGCATGAATACCTCTGTTAGGACATGCAGTTTCACTCCACTGCCTTTCTCAACAATAGTTTGATGGGATGGGGGGAGGATAATGATGATGATGATGGGGCTCGATGCAGGAAAAAAACGACCTCTAGGAGGAGGTCCTTGCTCCACTAAAAAACCCACAGATTACTATGCATCTCTACTTTAACAGAAATCTCTTTTTTTTTTTACTGTTAAACTGTTTCAGTCTTATTTCCAGAGTGGTAAAAATGTACATTAAAAACAGCCTCGATATCATCACCTCCACTCCAGGGAGCAAGGAAATTTAAGTGGTCCCTCCAGTGCAACATTGTATCCTGAGTTTTGTCAAGCACCTGCGCCCTCGATTTACAACCGACACTTCATCCTGTGCAGATTTATGCTGAGGCTGCCTGACTGCCCGTCATGTATCTTCTTAGAAATAAATCACACATGATTAAACAAAGGGTGAACACAGACAATGGCATAAATTGTGCCTTTTTATGGCAGAATCACAATATTTAATAAGACTTGACTGTTTCTAGGATGTTTTGTGATGCTGCAGGGTATGACCTTGGACCCGTGGTTCTTATTTGTGATTCTGCTGTGGCTGCTGAAGGATCCTTTTTTTTATATATAATAACCCCAATTAATGCATAAAGACGCTCTTGGTCCATTTAGGAAAAAAAATGCAAGTTTGGACACAACTGTGCTCAAGGAGATAGGATGCTTCAAAGCAACACAGTAGTTTTGATATCCCCTCAGAATTTCTATGTAAGTTCTAAAGCACAAGAGTAACCTATCCCAAACTGAATGAAGGCTTTCTTTTATTTTTGGTACATTCTGTTTACATCCTCTCGTTTTGCTGCATACAGACTCCCTAATCCCCACTGCAGCAAATGCTTGCAGAAAAACAAACCCTTCTTCTGAAAACTTGATGCACTCATTATTTCATGGCTGTTTCGTCTCCGGGTCATTTCCGTTTGCCCGAAGTCGAATCTGCAGCAGCTGAGCGCCTCTAAATCATTTCCTGGTTCTCTTCCTCACAACCACCACCACCACCACCACCATCACCACCATCATCATCATCCTCATGCAGCAGCAGCACCAGCACCAGCAGCTTCTCCTCGCATGAACCCTTCACAGTATTCACTCTCAGAGCTCCTTGTGCGGTGCAGCATTTTACACTATTACACTAACGTCACCGCAGGCTGTACGCACACAGACTCCCTGTTCAATGACTGCACCAACACGCTCAGACACCTTACATGCAGCAGCCCTGATGGTGAGTGCACGGTAGCATCAGCATCTTTTCACCCTGTACATGCACCTTTCACCATCCGGTCCCGTACAGTAAAGCCACACACACACACTCACATACACACGCATGCACACGCACTCAACTCAAACATCCGCGTCTCTCTGCGCCGTCTCCGGACATCATTTACCTTGTTTGGATCCTCCAAGTCTTCAGCTTTGTCGCAGCAGTGGTATCAAGCAACCTCCTCCTTTTCCTTCTTCTTCTCCTCGTTCTTCTTTTACTTGTTCCCCCCAAAAAAGAAAAAATCACAAGTTGTGGGTCTGAGAGGAGGGATTGTGTGTCAGTGTGCGGCGGCTCTCAGTGTGCGGACATACCGGTTTGTGTCAGAGTCAGGCTGCAGCGGCGAAGGAGGAGAGTGTATTCCTGCAGAACGAGATGAGAGAGGATGCAGAGGGAGAGAGGGGAGGGAGAGAGGGAGCACATGAATGTAATATCACCCAAGTGCAGCTTCGCTTCTTCACTTCACGATTTCAACTGAAAAAAGATGCATAAAACAGTACATAACAGGCTCAAACTGCACCGTAAACAACTACTGCAGCTGTGTCTGAAGAAGTCGATTGTCAAATAGAATTTTTTAGATTTGTCTTATTCTCAGTTTGTCAAGCTAAGTGTTCAGGGTCCTGAGAAGAAAGAGACAAGGTGCAATGAAAGCAGAAATATCCTTCAGATTGAAAATAGATTGTAAAAATGAATATCTTGAACAGTATTGGCTTGTAATAAAAAAAAAGCTATTGAAAGGTGTTGATTGAAGGCTGTCCAGTTGCACCGTTTGACCACATGGGGCAGTACAGTTGTAGTACAAGAACAAACTAATTATCTTTAAAAATAAAATAGATAACAGACAATCCAGAGGTCAGGTGGTGTCATACCCCCATATGAAACTTTCTCCAAGCAGCTAACATGTATTTTTAATGCTGTTAATCCTCATTATTTAGAGTCCATGACTACCTTCATTGGTTTTCTTTTAACCATGTGATGACGAAGAGGAGAAGCGATCGCTGAAGTTGGTCATTTCAATTCAGTTATTAAACGAGTAAAATGAAAACTTGTATCATGTTCCCTGATGTTAGCATTAAGCGATAAAGTTGGTAAAAAATTTGCTAGTAACCAATGTAGCCTGTTAGCCTTTATACTGATATTTCAAGTCAGCAGTAATAGTGGCTGGACTTTCAATATAACACTACAGGTAGACATCAACTGTATATCAATCAGGATGATGTTTCCATCAGTAACAACTGAATTATTGCCTCAACTGGGTACTGGCCATAGACTACTATGGACAACTTGGTTCCGCCTTCCACCAGTATATGGATTTGAAGCTGAATTTCTGCATTTTTTCTCCATTTCCTGAAACCAACATTGCACAGTAGCATCGTACGCATTCGGCGGGAGAGTCGCTGCGATGAAGCTCGGCTCAAATAGCATATCACCCGTGAGCTACGCAATCTTTGTACACCCATAGGCTGTATCAGGTGTCAATCATAGAAAACATGAACCCCCTAATAACTTTTTAAAAAATGAGCTATACAGAAAAAAGAGGACTTTAGTACAATCCAGTCTTACAGTAACTACATGTCAACATTGCAAACAGAGGGGAGAAAAATGTATATTCTATATAATAAATTTCAAAAGTTTGTCCACAGCTCCATAGGGATGGCTGGAGGAGGTGGGATTTATGACCTATACTGCAGCCCGTCACCAGAGGGTGCTGTTTTGGCAGTGGCTTCACCCAGCGAGGAGGCAGATACTGTCTATGGTACTGACACATTGCATGGTGGTGTATTTTGGAGTAGGGCATGCCCAGACCAGATTTGGTCAGTGCTGTTACAGGACCGCAGTCACATCTTTCTGATAGCCCAAACATTAATTTAACTCAGACCAAACATTAAAGATCCCTCAGATCACACAATCAATACGATAAGGATTATTGTGTCACTTTGAGGATGAAGCTAAAATCACTTTTATTTTCAAATTCAGAGTGAAAAGAAGTACTTTAAAGGTTAAAAAAAGAATCTGAGACCTTGGGGACAGTCTGGAGGATTCTGTGAAAAAAAGTTCCTGAGGATATTTGAAACCTTTTATTTCATTTTGCACCTGCAGACCTGGGATCTACTTTAGTGTAATGTCAGCTGTCTCAAAGGCCCCTTGAAAATATTTTCATGGCAGGCTGGAGAAGAGTCTGCAGCAGCACTTAATGTGATGCTACAGCTACCCACACAAGTCAACATCAGGTTTTCCTCTTCCTCCCAGAAACAGATGCTTCACCTGTTGTTGATGTGCTTTTAAAACTAGTGAACTGCTGGGATCTTTCTACAATGTTGCCTCATTACTAAAAATATAGTCGCTTCATTGTCACTAAAACGCTTAATAAGAAACAACTCCTGCTCACAGTTTTGACAGCTCTGCAGTTGCCCTTCAAACACATTGTTTCTATAATACAATTTTACTTGAGGTTGTTCAGTTTGTGGTCCATAAACGTAAAAAAACAACAACAGAGAAAGTCCTGGTTTCCCATGAAGGTGTTAAAGGTGATGATATGGTGCTATTGCTGTACGCCCTTGCCTTGTTAGACCCTGTCATGAAACAGTAGAGGACAAATAAGGAGGAGAAGACTGCTATGTTTATCTCCTCCACCTAACCTTGTTATTGAGGTTCACCTCAACCTCCTCCTCTTTGAAAAAAAAAAGGTTACTGTCTGTGCAACTGCTTAAAATGTCCTTGCTACAGTCTACGCACAGAGAGGCAGACAAGCAGAGAGCACAGGGAGGGCCAAGGGGACCTTAAACTGCTGTATCTCCCATCAATTAATCAGCACACAGGAGGCTGTGACCAGTCAACACTCTGTGGCAAGAGCATCCATCACCTTGTTTATAGCTAGAAACACACACGCATACAAACACTCACTATCTGCCATCTCTTCAGTACATTTCTGGTTTATTTTTTTACGTGACGATGATTTATGGCACCTTGGTGTTTCTTCACACCTTTCTCTGCCAAAAAAACTTTATGTTGGAACAAGTATTTAGTCCTTTGCTAAAAATAAAAAATAAATTGTAATTTTTTATATGTCCTAGTGTAATATGTGTTTTCTGAAAACACATATTAAAGGCATTGTTGATGATTGGAGAGATTGGTAATTATTATGAACCTCGTTTATCCGGTTTTATTCCTGTGGAACGATATCCACAAAGTGAAGAGAAAAAAGAATGGAAAAAAATCTGTTCATCCTAGCAGGTGCAGGGCTGCAAAAACATTGACCAATGGGAGCCATCCGTCCCGGACAGCTACTATTGGTCAATCTCCTGCTCTGCCTCTCCATCCAATCACATCGCTGTATTCGACACACCCCTCTCCTGTAGTTCCGACTCGTCCCCTCCCTCTCTCCTGGCCCTCCTCGGCGCTCTGAGCGGCTTAAAAGTAGCGTGGCAGCTTAGCTGCAGGAGCTGTGATGGAGAAGGACGCAAAAAATAAGAAACGCTTCTGCTTGCCCCATCGTGGGAAGAAAGCGCAAGCCAAGAGAAGAAAGGGCAGAGTCAAAGAGGAAATGTGACCAAGCGAGGAATCTAACTTGAATAAACATTTGGTCATCCTTCGAGCGGTGGAGAAAGCTCCACCAGGATTTGGGCCTGAAAACGGACGCTGAGACAGCAGTTTTTGTTGAACAGGTAATTTTTGCCTTTTATCGTGGCACATGTTACAGAAATAACTCTAATTAGTTGCTGCAATGTCAACATGGTAGCCGTCCAGACAGCTGCAGACCGTGCTCACAAGCAGAGCTGGCATTTATTGCAGCTGGTCACCAGCAATCCAACATGGTGAATCCTATTTGAAGCTAGCTTAGGATCTTCTGCCAGCCAGCTTCTTGCTCTGCCAGAGGGGGTGTGTCATGGGGAGGGCGATACAGGTTTGAGGGGGAGTTATCGTGGAGCACAGAGGGGAGAGGTTTGTGTGTGGGGGTGGGACGTTTTTTTCAAATCTGCCTCAACGGCTCAGTTTTTTCCAACTGCCTCTCAGATTGTCAACCCTGCCTTTAAGTCACAATGAAATGGCAAATATCTCGTTGTTTGGGAAAACAGCTTCTTGTGCCAGTTTGAGGCAGACACAGGATTACAGATGATCATGTATTTGTTTTTATTATTGATTCTCCCACCATTCTTCACCCATGCTAAACCCATGCAATCATGGCATAGCCTTTCCCCTCATAGGTTAACTTCTCAGAAAAATGACAATCAGATTGATCAAGCATGGCAAGAAATAACTTTAATGACAAAAACCATGTTGGAAAATTATTTCTAATGTGTATTTTGATTTCATGACTCATGCTCCAAATGTTTTGTCATCACTTTTGGAGAGCTGTTTTGTTGTCAGTCTTTTTTTAACAGCCTTTGAGTAAAACCCTCTATTCGATTTAAAGTATGACTGCATTTAAGTATCAAAAGTGAAAATAAAAGCGATCCAGTCTTTTCCAGTCATGAAGGATGTGCTGGAATTAGAGCTGCAGCTGCATTATGATAGCAACCTCTCAGTCAGAACCAGTGCTATGCTCAACACTTAAATATTTATGTACTATAGTTCAGGTATTCCGTTTGAACTGAACCAGGACTTGAGCTAACTTTTTAATATAATGTGAAATTGAAGACTGACAGTAGCAAAGGATGAGACGGAGTAGCTTTGTGCACACTGATCCCAGATCACCCACTCAAGAATGCTGAGTTTTGTGCATTATTGCAAACTGATATAAGCATCACTCAATGTGTGCACCTGTGCACACTTTGCTCTTTTAATAGCTCAGGATTCAAACAGCCAGGTGGTACTCTGGCACCCTGCACCGTTCTCTGTCTTTGTGTTATGTTATGTGTGCATTTGATTGTTGTTTCCATTGTCTTTGTTAGCCCCACAACAGGAGTCCAAATTGTTGTTTTTTTTCTTAGTTGTCCACCTGTCAGCATGTGGTCTGTTTCCAAGTAATGAGTCAGTGTGAGTGAGAGCCAAAACAAAGAAAGTTTCCACTCAAAGCTTGAACTGCTAGAGTGAACAAACTCTTGATACTCTGAGTACACTGCCGCTGTAAAAACCCTTAAAAAAACAGGCATAGTTAGAGTAAATGCCATTTGAATACTACATTAGCATTTTAGAACACAAATATGTATGGCAGAGCTCCACGGGGACTGTATGCCATTCAAAAAAGGGCAAATTAACACCGCACTGCTGTCACATGAAAACACAGCTGTAGTGCTGTTATTCATGCTTGTCAAACTCACACTTAGTTTGAATATTTTAAGGGGAATACATATTTCCTCGTATACTTGAGCAAACTAGAGGGCTAGAAACTTTCGGCTTAGAGTAACAACAGGTCACCTTTTCACGGAATTGAATAATGAATAATTATCCAATAATGTTAAGGGTCATGTGTGCAGGGCAGAAGAGTATTTTAGTCGTGAAAATACTTGACCGCATCCGGTTTGCTGAAGCTGTTGCCTCAGGACAAAGAGGAGCTGAGATTGAAATTCAGCACAGTACTGAATGTTAAACTTGGGCCTGTTGGCACTGCTGCAGTCAAATGAAAGGTAGACTGTGTCACAGGACAGCACCTTATTACCGCTGCAGCATTTCTCGAGGCAGACTGTAGCAAGAGGCAGCAATTTAGGTTTCAGCCTCAGTACATCCTCAATGAATGGCCCTTTGAAATCCTTTCATGGCCATTTTGAATGGTCTCAATTGTGGTCACCTACAGTCGGCAAAAAAAAGAAAAAACATCTGACCTATATGCTGTATTGGAACACAGCTTCTTTTACTGCCTCTGTTTGTGCTTTTCATTGTTTCATTATTATCACGTCTTATCGAAGCTTTATCTCCATTTGACGTTTTGCTGACAAAGAGCAGCTACCTTACCTCATGGCCACTTTACCTCTCTGATTTCTGATTCATCAACTCCCTGCAGAAGGAAACACAAGAAACATCTGTCAGTTTCCTTTTGTTATGATACTATATTTAAGCCAACAGAATGTCAGCTGGATAATAAGGGGTCAGAGTCACTTTGAAGCTTTGAATTATCTGCAGTACGTGTACACACAGGCAGAGAGAGAGAGGCATTATTTTAAGAAACCTTGTATGCGCAACAGCTAAATAATCCTATGAGGTCTGATGAGTAGAAAATGCTCAATTCTACCCGCAGAAACTCAAAATGTGGATCTAAAGAAGACCAAAACTTGAGTGTGCTGTGGTTTAATCCTGGTGTAGTGTGCATAACTATAACAGTATCAACATATTGGATTTAGAATTAAACATGCCACTTTTCCTAGCTCATATAAGTCACAGTTTATGTAAAGGTGATATCAAGACTACAGTTTTGTTTGTGTCTTCAGTAGAAGGCCCATACAAACAGCAGCACCTGTACTTCTCCATTTACTGAGTCAAATCGAGAGACAGATTAATTGATTTCATCCAATCAACCCAGGTGGGACTTGAACCCACAATCCCCAGCTCCGGAGGCTGATGCCTTATCCATTAGGCCACTGGGTCTGTAGATTTGTTGATCATAGTGATCATTTTTCTATTCCTGACCAACAAACATTCAATGATTTAATCTGGCAGTTTATTTACAACAGACTTCAACTGTTCTCAAAATCTGTTGATTACAAAGCAGTCTCTGAAAAGTGTAAATCACATATGTATTGTGCTGAAAGACCTGTCTAAAAAATTTTTGCAAGTGAAAATGGCTTCACATTTACATTACTATTTAAAAGGAACCACTTTTTGTAATTTTATAATAATTTTTTGAGGTTTGAATTTTTCAGAAGAAAAGATTGCATGTGCCTAATACTAAATGCACCGAGCAGTCAAGGGGCCTTGGTATGCTTTTTTTTTTCTTTCCTTTTTTTTTTTTTTTTTTTTTTTTTGCATAAGGCTTTTTGTTTGTTTGTTTGTTTGTTTTTTAGGAGTCTGTTGTACATTTTTGACTGAGAGCATCACACTGTTATTGTTGGCTGAATACGTGTTTCGGAGGTCTTTGCTATTTTCCAGCTTCTTCCTTTTAAAGAACCAGGATAGGCGTTATCCAAAAGCAGATTTTGACTGTAGACAATAGTCCACAAACCAGTGTCTTAGTGTGACTGCATCCACTTTCACAGCCTGTGACAGGAGGTCATAAACAACCATAAAATCGCCCGGTAACTGTCATTACAGGAAAAATTCATCTTGTCCATCGTTCCCTGAGCTTTTGGTTGTGTGTACTTGTGATCAACCATTATTCACCATCAGCTATGTAATATCTAGAACCTCCATTTAATCCTTGACTCACTCAACAGTGAGCCTGTGCACGCCCCAAACAAAAAAACAGACACTTTGTTTCTGCTAACTAGCTTTTTCGAGCCATTATTTCAATCGATGTTATCTCCTTTAAATAAACCCTCCCCACATCAGCTGAGTGGATTAACACACTGCAAGCTAGTCTGTCAATTTTATGAATGTCCTTATAGCGAATTGCTGATGGGGTTATACTAACTGCCTTTACCAAGTGCCTGCTTTTAACCCATATTCTCCTGTGGACCCACCAAGTGTCTACATAGTAACCGTCCCAAAATAGCACAAAGGATTCATACATCACTGCCTGTGAGCTGTTGAAGGTACCTATCAAAGAAACAGAGAGAGCCACTTTATTCCTGTTATAAATCACCCAGCAGCTTTTCAATTCTTAATTTTAAGATCTTAAATTAATCTGCTTCATGTTTTAATTTAATCTTACTGGATCAACAGCAGTTTATAATTCCTTCTCTGTTTGATGGAAATCGTTGAATCAGTGCATTGTGAGTTGATGTCCTGATCATGTTTTTGGTAACGATATGACTCAAAATTTAAAATCTGTCCACGTAATGCTCAGTGAAGGCATTCATGTTTCAATATTTATAACCTCACACTGTGTCCCCATTTTTCTTGAATGTTTCCTTATACTAGCAGGATTCATTCCTCCAGCTGAAGGGCGCAGTGGCCTCTGTCGGGCTCCTCTGTGAAGTCAGAGGGGAGGAGTCGTTAGCTTTGGATATTAGGCGTCTGTCCATCATCCTCCTGCTGCACTCTGTGCTCCCCAGAGACTCTGAATGAAGGAAAAGGAGGAGGCAAAGGGAGGTAGAGAGAGAGAGAGAGCGAGAGGGAAAGGAGCTGGAGGGATTGCATGTGAAGTGTGTGTGTGTAACGTGTGTGCATGTGTGTGTGTGTCCATCAACCCATTGAAGACCTCTGGAGTCCCAGACAGAAGGAGGTGTGTACTGCTGCAATGCGTAAAGGCATCACAGCTCTGTGGTCTCATGCAGGGAGCAGGCTGACA